CACCTACCAACTACCAACTACCACCTACCACCTACCACCTACCACCTACCAACTACCAACTACCACCTACCACCTACCACCTACCACGCTCTTCTCTCCTCTCGAGGTGACTTTTGAGTCGACTCAAAAGTCGCCATGGGGGGATGAGGGAACCTCTCTGTCACAAGAACCACCTACCACGCTCTTCTCTCTGTCATGGGAGCATGTGCGAACCTCTCTTCTCTCCTCTCGCAATCCCTTAACAGCTCCCCAGTTCCTCAACCCAGTCTTGTCCGGGTGTATTTTGAGTCGACTCAAAATACGCAACCCCTTAACAGCTCCCCAGTTCCTCAACCCAGTCTTGTCCGGGCCAATGGTAGGGCATGGAAAAACCTCTCTGATTCAAAAACCACCTGCCATGGTCCCCTCCCCCCTCCCCATCCCCCCACCCCACCACTCCCCTACTCACTCTCGTCCCGGCCAGGGTCAGCAGCAGCGACGGCCAGAGCAGGTCAGCAAGGAGCAGCAGCAGCGAGGAGATTTGCTGCTGGAACACCCACTTTGATACATCACCCACTTCCTTACCGAATCACACTACCCTCACACTCTGATACAGCACCCTCTCCTACTCTCGTTCCACTCCCTCCCCCTTCCAAACTCACTCTCGTCCCGGCCAATGGAAGCAGCAGCGACGGCCAGAGCAGGTCAGCAAGGAGCAGCAGCGAGGGCAGGGCTCCAGAGCTAGCGTCGAAACAGCAGTTTCTGACCGTTGCCATGGCCTGAGGGGGCCCGCGGGGGGGGGGGGGGGGGGAGGGGGGGGATGGGGGAGGGGAAATGGGGGAGGGGAAATGGCAGAGTGAAAGAGAAGAGAGGGTGGAATGGAGGAGGGCAGGTCCGCAAGGGGCAGGTCAGCAAGGGGCAGGTCAGCAAGGGGCAGGTCAGCAAGGGGCAGGTCAGCAAGGGGCAGGTCAGCAACGGGCAGGTCAGCAAGGAGTAGCAACGAGGGCAGGGCCCCAGAACTAGCATCGAAACAGCAATTTCTCACTGTTGCCATGGCCTGATGGGTGGGGAGGGGAGTTAAGAGTTAAAACGAGAGGGTCAAGTCTGGTAGGGGCAACAAGCAACAAGGTTAGGATCCTTGAACTAGCATCAAAGCAACAGTTTGACCGTTGCCATGGCCTGACAGAGGGGGAGGGGAGAGGAAACAGGTGAGTGAAAGGGAAGGGTGGGTGCAGGTGGGCAGGTCCGCAAAGAGGGCAGGAGATGATTAGAATGATAGAAACAGTCCAGCTCACTCACTCACTCACTCCCTGCCTGGCTGCTACTATCACAGTGAGAATATTGATGAACTGTCTAGCTCGCTGACCCCTTAAGGGATTTGCTGAGAATGCCAACAGGGATGTGTCCAGAAGAGACGATGCAAATCCCTACCAGAAGAATTATGCGATTGATGCATCTCTAGACTCTACCTCACCCCCACTCACTCACCCACTCACCCACTCACCCACTCACCCACTCATCCGCTCACTCACCCACTCACCCACTCACCCACTCACCCACTCACCCACTCACCCCCTCACTCCCTCACTCCCTCACCCACTCACCCACTCACCCCCTCACCCCCTCACCCCCTCACTCCCTCACTCCCTCACCCACTCACCCCCTCACCCCCTCACCCCCTCACCCCCTCACCCACTCACTCCCTCACTCCCTCACCCCCTCACCCCCTCACCCACCCCCTCACCCACTCACTCCCTCACTCCCTCACCCACTCACCCACTCACTCCCTCACCCACTCACCCACTCACCCACTCACCCACTCACCCACTCACCCACTCACCCACTCACCCCTTGGCTGCGAATTCGGTTTGAAGACGAGGTTTGCGGCAGGATCTGTCTTAGAAGCTTCTTTTCCGGATCCAAAAGCAGCTTCCTGGCTGCTTCCAGGCGAGTGGCGTTGACTAGAATGGTGGCCACGTGCTCATAGTCGTCCTCCTCCTGCCCCTCCTCCCGGTCAGCACTCGTTGCGAATCGCCTTGTGAGGGAGGCAAGGAGAGGCACGGACCCACTGGGCTGGATTCAAAGGGGCGAAGGTGTGGTGGGGGGGGGGGGGGGGGGGAAGGGGAGGGAGTGGGGGGGAGACCGGGGATTCCTCGATTGCAAATGCATTTTTTCCTGGAAAGTTCCAACCAGAATAGCAGCATTGAGAGGGGAACGGTGGGCACGTGCTCGTAGTCGTCCTCCCCTCCTTCCTCCGGGAAAGGAAGGGGAGGGGGAAAGGGGGAAAAGAAGGGGTGTCTGAGTAGGAAGAGTAGAAGTGGGAAGAGTGGGAGTGAGACGAGACGGAGAGAGGAACAGGAATCTTACCACGCTTCGCACTCACTTCTCAGCCCTTCTTCTAGTTTTAGTCAGATTCGGTACCCCTCATTTTTTTGAGACGTCTCAAAAACACTCTTCTTTCACGTGCAGATTCGGTACTTCTCGTTTTTCCCCTTCCCTCCACCTCCTCCCCTTCTTTCTTCCCCCCCTGCTCCCCTGTTCTCACCAACCCCCATTACTCTCACCTCAAGAAGCATCACCAGCTGAGTCAGAAGCATCACCATCAACCCCGCATTCTTCCCCTTCCCCCCTCCATCTCCTACCACTCCTCCCCCTCCTGCTCCTCCCAAACGCCCCATACATCCTCCACAGCTCTCACCTCAAGAAGCTTCTCGGCTCCTTCGTCCAGCTGAGTCAGATTTGCCAGCAGCATCACCATCAACCCCGCATTCTTCCCCTTCCCCCCCCCTCCGCCTCCCCCTGCTGCTCCCCCTACCACTTGTGATGAGTATGTTTTTGAGTCGACTCAAAAACAGACCTTTCCCCTCTCCTTCCCCTACCACTCCTCCCCTTCCTGCTCCTCCCAAACGCCCCATACGTCCCCCACAGCTCTCACCTCAAGAAGCTTCTCTGCTCCTTCGTCCAGCTGAGTCAGATTTGCCAGCAGCATCACCATCAACCCCGCATTCTTCCCCTTCCCCCCCCCTCCGCCTCCCCCTGCTGCTCCCCCTACCACTTGTGATGAGTATGTTTTTGAGTCGACTCAAAAACAGACCTTTCCCCTCTCCTTCCCCTACCACTCCTCCCCTTCCTGCTCCTCCCAAACGCCCCATACGTCCCCCACAGCTCTCACCTCAAGAAGCTTCTCTGCTCCTTCGTCCAGCTGAGTCAGATTTGCCAGCAGCATCACCATCAACCCCGCATTCTTCCCCTTCCCCCCTCCGCCTCCCCCTGCTGCTCCCCCCCGCCCCACAGCCATCCCCCCTGCTGTCTCCACGCCCCTCGCTTTAATCACAGCCCTTGCTGCCACTTCGTGCTGTGATAGATTCACAAGGGCTTGGGCGGATGGCAGGGAGATTTCCTGATGAGGGGAGGTGGAAAAAAAAGATGAGGGGGGAAAACCAGAGAGAACAAGGGGTTGGTTAGTTGCAGCTGTTGCCACGTCGTGCTGCTGGGATAGGTAGGTTCACCAGGGCTGTGCCGTGCCGCGTGTAGAGAGGGTGGAAAACTTTTGAGGCGCCTCAAAAAGAGAGATTTCCTGCTACGCGTGGAAAACTTTTGAGGCGCCTCAAAAAGAGAGATTTCCTGCTACGGGGTGGAAAGTCGGAAATCCCTGCTAAGGGGAGAGTCGGAATATCAGAGAGAAAAAGGGGTTGCTGTTGCTGGGATAGGGTCACAGGGCCGGGGCAGATGGCAGGGAGATTTCCTGATGGAAGCAGGAAAGTGTGCGGGGGAGGAATGTTAGAGAGACAAAGGTCACGTTGTGCGGAGATAGGTTCACCACGGCTTGAGCTGAGAGGATGGCCGGAAAATTTCCTGAAAGGGGGAATCAGGAAGGTGGGTGACGACGTGGGGGGGGGGGAAGAGCGAAAGGCGGGCAAGGGGAATGATTTGTCAGAGCGAACAAGCGGTTGCTGTTGTTGCCACGCTGTTCTGAGAGGATGGAGAGAGCATGGGAAGGAACAAGGGGTTCACAAGAACCTGAGCAGATGACAGCAGAGGGGATGGGTGAGGGGGTCGAGGGGATGGGTGAGGGGGTCGAAGGGGATGGGTGAGGGAATCGAGGGGGATGGGTGAGGGAAACGAGGGGGATGGGTGAGGGAAACGAGGGGGATGGGTGAGGGAAACGAGGGGGATGGGTGAGGGAATCAAGGGGGATGAGTGAGGAACCATAGGGAATAGTGTGGGGGGAAATGGGCCGCACCTTATTGGCTGAGAGCAGCGGCAGCAGGGCAGCAGCGATGACGTCAGCCTCTGGTAGCAGTTTGCTAAGACCCTCGTCTGAGCCTGTGAGGCCAGCTACGATCCCCACTGCCATGCGCTGCACCTGCGATGGCGGACGGGGTGGGTGGAGGTTTGACGGGAATAGAGGGAGAAAGAAGAAACAGAGGTTACAGGATCGGCAGCAGTTTGGTGAGACCCTCGTCTGAGCCGGTTAGGCCAGCTACGATGCCCACTGCCATGCGCTGCACCTGGCGAGATAAGTGAGGAGCAGGAGCGAACCAAGGAGCAAGGGTTGGTTGGCAGGATCAGCAGCAGTTTTTATGAGACCCTCGTCTGAGCCTGTGAGGCCAGCTACGATGCCCACTGCCATGCGCTGCACCTGGGATGGCAGGTGGGAGGATGAGGGGTTTAGGAGGATGGGGAGAGTGAGAACAGAAGGAAGCGAAAGAGAGGTTACATGATCAGTAGCAGTTTGGTTACACCCTCGTCTGAGCGTGTGAGCCCAGCTACAATGCCCACTGCCGTGCGCTGCACCTGGGATGCGGATGGGTGAGTGAGGGGGAAGGATTAGGGGTCGGAGGATGGGTGGTGGGAACACTGACTAGATGGAGAGGGGGTTGGACGGGTTTAAGGGGGTTCAAATGGGTTTCGGGTTTCGGGTTCAGATTCGTGAACCGGGAAAACGACAGAGAGCTAAGAGAGGGAGTGGAAGCGACGAGACCTAACGGGGAGAAAGTGTTCGTTACAATACAGAAAGGACGTTATAAAAAGAAGGAACCCGAAAACACGGAGCTTTAAGGGAACAGTTTACGTGACAAGAAGACCAAGGGAACATCACGACAAGAACATCACGGGAATGCGAAAACACGGAGCTTTAAGGGAACCCCCGGTCGGGGCGAGAGCAAGACGGTGACGCTTGATTTGACCCGGAAGACAAGATCAACTGTTAGGACTTAGTAGACTATGCTAAAAGAGTACTTCTGGGGATTGAAGGCTACCTCTGGTCGCGGCGAGAGTAAGAATCCAACTAGCTCCTGCACTTCGGAAGCCATTCTAGCCGGCTGACCTGACGGCTGCACGACCGCGACCAGCAACGGCGGCGGAGCTTGACGCGACTTGTCTGAAGTTGGTCACACGTTAGGGGAACTTGGAAGGATGCACACAAGTCCTGGAATTTACCCCTATAAAAACTAGTGCCTTGGTCGTAGAATCATAGCATGATCCACATTGTGCGAAGTTGTACATTTTGCGATTGTGAAGTGAGGTAAAAACGAGGCAGCTACTGCTGAGTATGCCGAACTGCTCGTCAAACCTCCCCATTTTCCCGCACCCCTCCCACGTCCTCAAGGGCCAGAATTATCCAATTTCGAGGCGCGTGACTGGCACACTCATGACTGGTGGAGCTGGGAGGGGTTGATTTGAATTCACGCATTTCCCGTGATTCGTTCAGAAAATTCTTTGCAATGCTGGACAAGCCAGATCGCGAGCATCCCTGGGTTATGGAAGACCACTGCATTCGGCGCTTTCCTCCCACGAAATCCACCGTGGACCTCTCAGAAAGCACAAGCAAGATGCTGATGTGCTACGCGTCAACATCCAGCTTGTCCACGTCATAGAAAAAGACCCATTTTCTGGAAACACCTGTGAAATGAAAGCATTACGTCAGCACAGCTGACAGGAGGCACTCGAGTTCGCATCAAGATTCTAGTTCCCGAATTTCCCGCGCGCTGTTCTCGAGATACATATTCGTCTTTTGTCCTTCCTTCACTTTCTAAAACCTATTCGATAATCCCCACGCACGTCAGTTCCTATCAGCTGGAGTTCAGTCTCATTTAGTCGATTAAAGCTTGATCGCTTGTTCGCGCATTCGCCGCTGATCCAACCACCTGTACGCTGTAGCGTACATTAGAAGCTAGCCGTCTTTGCCATCACAGGCTTGCATTTCTCTCGACGTGTTCAAGTGATTTCGTGCTACAGGAGAAGCATACACGGTGTAGTAGGGAACTTGGGGATAGACCAGGGATTTACACAAGGGTTTCGTGATTAAGGTTAATCTTCAATCGCGCCACAGCGGGCGCGGGCGCTTTTCTCACTACGATGCCCCCACACCTCCAGCAGCCCTCGTGCTTTGGCACCGATACAAGGATGAAGTCTTCCGAATCCGTCGCAGTCACACTCGATACAGTCACAGTCGAGTCAGACCGCTACCGTCCCCTTCCAAGCGGCGAGCCGCAAATGCGAAAAGTCACCGAGTCGCGAGGAAATTCGCGGTTCGGGTCTGTCGTGTACAAGACGCAAGAGGGTCTCGAAGCTCCCTTGCTGGGCGATACAGCGGCCGCGGGAAGAGGCGACTCTCACTCAGACCCTTTCTATGAGAAGGATGTTGAACGCGCCGCGGGCGGGGCTGGCGGCGTGGGAGAAACGGAGCGCGCGAAGGGAATACGAGGCGAGGAGGAGTATCGGCGGATCGAACATAGGGGAAACAGCGGGTTTATTGACAGCGTATTTAACGGCATCAATGTTCTCGCAGGTGAGTGGCTTGTTGCAAATCTGTATCATACTTTGGGCGACTCTTTTGTTTACCAAGGGCCATAAAAAAATAAAGTGAAGAAAATTCCAGAAAATAACATAACAAATAATACGGCCCGAACGCAGCTTCCTAGTCCTTTTTACGTTCCCTCTTCTTCCCCTAGTTTTGAGGCGCCTCAAAACTCGACTTCCCCCTTCTTCCCCTACCCTCATCCTAGTCCGCTTCTCCCCTCCTCCCCCCTACCCCCTTTTGCCCTCTCTGCCCTTCCCTCCCCCGCAGGCATCGGCATTCTCTCAACGCCATACGCCACGGCGCAAGCGGGCTGGCTGGGTCTCCTCGTGCTGCTCTTGTCTCAACATCCCCTCCTTCCCCCTGCGCCCCCCCACCAACCCCTTCCCCCCGGCCTTCCCTCCCCCGCAGGCATCGGCATTTTCTCAACGCTATGCGCCACGGCGCAAGCGGGCTAGCTGGGTCTGCTCGTTCTTCTCTTGTCTCAACATCCGCTCCCCCCCACCGACCCCTTCCCCACGGCCTTCCCTCCCCCACAGGCATCGGCATTCTCTCGACGCCATACGCCACGGCGCAAGCGGGCTGGCTGGGTCTCCTCGTGCTGCTCTTCTTCGCCGCCGCCTGCTGCTATACCGCCATGCTGATTCGCTTCCCGTCCCCCTCCCCCTTCCGTTCCCACAGGCATTGGCATTCTCTCAACGCCATACGCGACGGCGCAAGCAGGCTGGCTGGGTTTGCTCGTGCTGCTCTTCTTCGCCGCCGCCTGCTGCTATACCGCCATGCTGATTCGCTTCCTGTCCCCCGCCCCCTTCCGTTCCCACAGGCATTGGCATTCTCTCAACGCCATACGCGACGGCGCAAGCAGGCTGGCTGGGTTTGCTCGTGCTGCTCTTCTTCGCCGCCGCCTGCTGCTATACCGCCATTCTGCTGCGCCGATGCATGGACTTCCAACCATCATCATCACCGTCCGTTTCGTCGCTTCACTCCTTCGCGGATGGCCCCGCGGACTCTGCCCGCGCTCGCGCCTCCCCCCGCGCGTCCGCGCGCATCGTGCGCGCGCAGCGCCCCATCCGCTCGTACCCAGACATCGGGGAGGCGGCGTTCGGGCGCGCGGGGAGATGGCTGACCGCGTTTCTTCTCTATTTCGAATTGTACGCTGTGACTGTAGAGCTGTTGATTCTAGAGGGGGACAATCTCGCGCACTTGTTCCCGTCCGGCGATATATGTGTGCTTCCGGGGAGCCTGGTTGGAAAGGAGAGCACTGGAGTGGAGGAAAGCGGTGGAGTGTGGTTTCTAGAAGGAATAGCACGAGGAGGAGGAGTGCGAGGGGAAGGAGGAGAAGGGCAAGGGGAAGGGATGTTCGGAGCTGCAGCAGCATTGGCATCAGCGGTTGTAAGGGGGATAGAACCAGCGTTAGAAACAGTAGCGTTATCTACAGGAGTAGGCAGCTTATGCCTAGAACCGAAGCAGTTCTACGTGATCCTATCCGCGTTATTAGTCCTCCCCACCGTCTGGCTAAGAGACCTCAGTCTCTTGGCATATATCTCAGCAGGAGGTGTACTGGCATCCCTGCTGTTAGTCTTCGGCGTGGGATGGCTTAAAGAGGTTGACCATATCGGGGATATCCCAGGCGGAATCAGCAGCACCACGGAATGGTTCAAACCCATGGGGTTACCAGCAGCAGCCGGTTTATTCGGATTCTGTTTCTCCGGGCACGCGGTCGTGCCGAATATTTACCGATCGATGAAAAAACCGGACCATTTCACGCCGGTAATGCTCGTGAGTTTCGCGGCATGCACTCTACTTTATGGCGGGATGGCTCTTATGGGGTACGCCATGTTCGGTGCGTCGGTGCAGTCTCAGATCACGCTTAACTTGCCGCCGGCACTTAGTGCTTCCAAGGCGGTGGTTTGGACTACAGTGGTGAATCCTTTTACTAAGTTTGCGCTCACTCTGCTGCCGATTGCGCTGGCTTTGGAGGAGACTCTCCCCACCGCCCACCCTCACTCACTCCCTCAGTCTGACTCACATTCTCACTCGCACTCGCGTTCTCACTCACACTCGCATTCTCACTCTACCCGAGAGGGGGGTGTGTCTTGTGAAGGTGATGCTGACGTCATGGAAGGAGGCTGCACAGGAACAGGCACAGGCGCGGGAACAGGTTCGGGAACAGGGTTGAGAACAGGCACGGGAGAAGGAACGGAAGCAGGAGTGCAAGCAGGCATGGGCAAGGGTATGGACATGGGTATGGGCGTGGATTCATGGCAGCACATAGCCTCAGCCACAGCCCTCCGGACGGCGCTAGTGGCCGGCGCAGTCACTGTAGCGCTCTCCGTCCCATTCTTTGGGCTTGTCATGGCGTTCATAGGAAGCTTCCTCTCTCTTTCCATTTCGGTCATGCTCCCGTGCGCGTGTTATGTGAAGCTCATGGGTGGGCCATGGAGGGAAGGGGGGAGGTTGGGGTGGGGAGAGGTGGTGGGGGTGATGGGGTTGTTCCTGATTGGCTTGCTGGCTGCTGCTTCTGGGACGTTCTATGCTGTGAGGGGGATTACAGATGAGTGGTGATGGGTGGATCGTCCTAGCCTTTTATTAATGTATCTTTACTTTCGGGTGGGGGCAGTTGCACCTTTGTGCGTTGGCCTGGTGGCAGCTGCGATTTGGAACGTTATATGCTGTCAGAGGGGTTTGGGAGGGCGATGGATGAACGTCAGAGACTTGGGTGGAAGCTTGGGTGAGGGAAGGCGGTGGGGAGGGGTTGTTCCTAGTTGGCCTGCTGGCTGCTGCGTTAGGAAAGTTGTATGCTGTCAGGGGGATTACGGATGAGTGGTGATGGATGAACGTCAGGAACTTGGATGGAAGCTGGGGTGAGGGACTTTTGAGGTGCCTCAAAAGTCGGACGAGTGGTGATGGATGAACGTCAGGAATTTGGATGGAAGCTGGGGTGAGGGAAGGCGGTGGAGATCTGTTCCTGGTAGGCCTGCTGACTGCTGCATCTGGGACGTTTTTGTTGAGAATATCTTTGTATGCTTTTATTATAAGTGCACTGTTCGAAGTGTGCTTACAGGGGCTCGCCATAGCGAGGGATTTGAACCTGGTGGCGAGTCAACGGGGCGCAACCGAGCACAGCGGTTGCGACCCGCGTGGCAGCTGAAAAGTCGGATTCTGCAGGAGGCAGCGAGAACAGTACACGCAACTGACTTGCGGGGCGCGGCAGGATACCGCGCCCTTGCCGAAGCTGAAAAGTCTCGCCAGTGCGACTGTAACAAGGCAACCCAAGCGACGCAGCGCAACTGTTATACAGTTGCGCCTTGGTAACTGTTTGCCCTATCTGTTTGCTATATAACAGAATGTAATGCCTTGCTCATAGGGAAAATATGTTACAAGTAACCAAAATGGGACTGGATAACACGAATAGTAAAAAGATAACGTATACGGTCACTGTATCGGGTTTGCTGACGGGCTTGGTAAGTGGGGTCACGGATTCAGTCATTAACAACAGGTAAAAAATCACGCGAATGGTCACACATGTAACTCCCGCCAAAATTTCTTGAAACTCTACAAATTTCCCGCTCGCGCCCAACCAATCTGCTAAGTTCTAACAAAACTAAAACCCAATCGGAATCGGATGCGGTTTGGGAACGGATCAACCCTGAACACCTGGCGATTTACGTGTTTAGGGTTGATTCGTCCGAAAATGAATCCAGGTTCCATTTGGGTTATATTTTTTGGCGGGAGTTTCATCTGTGACCATTCGCGTGATTTCTTACCAGTTACTAGTGACTGATTCCGTGAAACGTTTTATCAGTCGCGTGAAAACACCCTTTGCAGTGACCGTACCCTTTATTTATCAAAAATGTTTTCGAGTCCCATTTTCGTTACAAATGGCATATTTTCCCCTGCTCATATTACACAATTCCCAAGCTTGTGTCCGGCCTACCCTCGGCCGCTGCTCTGGCACCAAGTTACAAGCTAGGAGAGCTACCTCTGAGTGACCATTGCCCCGCCGTAGGGACGTCGTTATCTTCCTAGAGCTTCCGCTGCGCTCTAGCGACTTCTTGTTTCCAACATGGCATTAGAGCAAGAGTTCCAATCCTTGGAACCTGTGGTAATTTCTACAAATGGGCCCACCACCAGAATCATCACCAGAAGCATCTCCAGGAGCAGGTTCGACCTGCCATTTCCCACGGAGCACAGCGTGGAGGAATTCTTCAACGCACAGTCGCATTATTTTGGGCGACTCGGCAAGACGCAGTTCAAGGCGTTTCGGAAAAGTCACTGGCAAGGACTTCACAACCTCAACCCGGCAGAACTGCAGCTCTCCTCGTTTCTACACTTCTAACAGTGGAGGGGAGTGTTGAGAATATCTTTGTATGATTTTATTATAAGTGCACTGTTGGAAGTGTGCTTACAGGGGCTCGCCATAGCGAGGGATTTGAACCTGGTGGCGAGTCAACGGGGCGCAACCGAGCACAGCGGTTGCGACCCGCGTGGCAGCTGAAAAGTCGGATTCTGCAGGAGGCAGCGAGAAAAGTACACGCAACTGACCTTGCCGAAGCTGAAAAGTCTCGCCAGTGCGACTGTAACAAGGCAACCCAAGCGACGCAGCGCAACTGTTATACAGTTGCGCCTTGGTAACTGTTTGCCCTATCTGTTTGCTATATAACAGAATGTAATGCCTTGCTCATATTACACAATTCCCAAGCTTGTGTCCGGCCTACCCTCGGCCGCTGCTCTGGCACCAAGTTACAAGCTAGGAGAGCTACCTCTGAGTGACCATTGCCCCGCCGTAGGGACGTCGTTATCTTCCTAGAGCTTCCGCTGCGCTCTAGCGACTTCTTGTTTCCAACAGTTTTACCAGTCAGCTGGTAGGGGGATTACGGGCAAGTGGTGATGATGGGTGGACTATTCCAGCCTTAGCCTTCAGCGCATCTGGGGGGTGACAGCACGGTTCGCTGTGTGTCGGCCTCATTTTGCAATAGTCCGAACCGAAGAGGGATAAGAGGAAGATGAAAGGGGAGATAGAAGGTACCCAGTACACTACCGTATGTGTGGTGGCTGCTGTTGCCTTCAAATTTTGGTCAAACAGTGGCTGATTACCGGTGATTTTCCTTTCTAATGTTGTTAATTGAGGCTCGGTGCAATGGATGGGATGTGAGCCCATACCATAGTGTATTGTAATTGTGTCGAAGTTCAATCCAGGTTTCGTACGTGGCTTGCATATATCATACTACCGTATCTACAGCACAGCACAAGCACATGAAATATCTGTAATTACCACCATTATGACTCTCAACACTGAGGCAATGCTGCTCAGTGGTCAATGCCACCAGAACCGCTCATAACCACTAGGCTCCACTCCTCCACTACCAACACAGCATTGAGGTTGAGTCGAGGCAATGCTGCTCAAGAAGTCAATGTCAGCAGGGACTGGAATCACACATTGCATTGCATTGCTTCATATGGGTATTACAAATCGAAGTGCTGCATCAACCCCCCCTACTCCTGCCACATTCCCCAGTATTGAGGTCGTTTTTGAGGCGCCTCAAAAACCCCCCTACTCATGCCACATTCCCCAGTACCACCACAGCATCGAGGCAATGCTGCTTCAGTAGTTGCAAGTGTCACCGCAGTCACACTAGCTAGTGAAAGCCAGATGGAGCAGAGGTTGGAGGTTAGAACCCCAACCGTACCCCCATGAACCACCCTTCCAGGCAGGTTGCCCAGGGAGAGGACCTTCCTCCATGTCCTGTCCTGTCCACTCTCTGTGCAATGCCCTTGGCCATATTGAAACCCCAGGAGGAGCCTAGCCTAGCCCACGCCCATGCTTGTATCGCTCTTGTGAGAATTACCGCATCAACAGTGATACCGTACAAGCATAGCCCGCGTCTATGCCTAAGCCCTCCAAGCTACGCACTTGGTGGGCTTGAGGGAATCACCGTCACCCTTCTGCAGGGTCTTGGGCAGGATGACGTCATCCACCCCGTGCACCTGCACCACTCGGAGCGAGATGACGTCAGCAGCCACCACGGAAGCTTCCTGCAGGCCGTCCCTTGCCTGCACCTCTACTGGCTGGGCGCCGCGAGATGACACCTTCACTAGACGAGCCTTGCACCCGCCTGCTGCCGCCTTGAGCTGCATTGGGAAGGGGTGAAGGTGTGGTTGGGTTGGGAAGGATTAGGTGCGGTAGGAGGGTGTCCGATCTTCACAGGGGATGGCCTGCACCTCGACTGGCTGGGCGCCGCGAGCTGAAGCCTTCACCAGACGAGCCTTGCACCCGCCTGCTGCCGCCTTGAGCTGTGATAGGGAGGAGAGAAGACGAGCATACGCATGGTTAGGAGGGATTTGGCGCGATACATGGATGTCAGACCGTCACCATGACGGATGCTGCAAAGTTGACTTTTGAGTTGACTCAAAAGTTGCCTTTTGTACTTTTGAGTCGACTCAAAAGACAGCATATGCATGGTGAGGAGGGATTAGACGCGGTACATGGATGTCAGATCGTCACAGTGACGGATTCTTCCCATGGTTGGGCTAGATGATTGATGGTTACGTAATTAGGCGAGGTAAGGAATTCTGGTGTCACTAGCACACTGTCTCACCTGCTTGCGAGTGATTTTTGAGAATTCTAAAAAATTCTGGTGTCAATTGTTGAGTCGACTAAAAAATTCTCAAAAATTCTGGTGTCACTAGCACACTGTCTCACCTGCTTCCCCCGGGGCGGTGCCATCAGATCAGCGGCAGTAAACTTCTTCTGTACCAAGTGTAGCAGCAGCACCTCGCGCAGCACCTTTGCTGTTCCAGTCGCACACTCAGCCCACACCCCTCGCAATCCCCACCATCATCTCTCACCTGCTTCCCCTTTGGGAGGGCCATGAGCTCGGCAGAAGTGAACTTCTTCTGTACCAAGTGCAGCAGCAGCACTTCGCGCAGCACCTTGTCATCTTCAATTGCCTTCTTCGCGTCATCCGAGAGCTCCTCAAACGCCGCGTCGGTGGGCGCGAAGAGCGTCGGTGGGCGCGAAGAGCGTCGCCTCGTAGCAGTCGAACAGATCGGGGAGGTCCTCGTCCAGGTCTGGAATATTGAGTGAAATTTCACGAATGAGAGAGGGTACTAGGTGAGGAACGGACGCCGCGTTGACGGCAGTGTTAGGAATACAGAAAAACAAATGCCGCACATTGTGTCTCGTCAAGGATTGCGAGACGTCTCGTCGAGGATTCCGCTCAAAATGAACAGTTACTCCATCCGTACCTGTCGGGTATTTTTTAGAATTCAAAAAAAAGTACCCTGCAGTTACTCCATCCGTACCTGTCGGGTATTTTTTAGAATTCAAAAAAAAGTACCCTGCAGTTACTCCATCCGTACCTGTCGGGTATTTTTTGAATTCAAAAAAAGTACCCTGCAGTTACTCCATCCGTACCTGTCGGGTATTTTTTAGAATTCAACAAAAGTACCCTGCAGTTACTCCATCCTTACCTGTCGTCTTGAGTGCGGCGATCAAAGTCGAGTAGTTCCCGGCCGCCTTGAGCTCTTTCACGAGGTTGCTCACCACCAGCTTCCCGTCGAAGCGGCAGTACGGGCGGTTGCGCGCAGCCTCGGAAGGCGAGAGAGCTCTACAAAATGTGGAACGCCACATCCCATGCCCAAATGTGGGTTTCCCCCATCCTTGCGCACTGTCCATTGCACGAGCAATGGCTGAGGTCACTAGAAACAGTGTTTACGAGGGTTAGCAGTGCAGAACCTATGCTGAAAAATTGGTGAACAATGCACCCCCTTCCCCATTGTCTCTGCAGCCGCCAGCAGGTTCGCACCCAACTCGCCCCGTACGTGCCAAATTGGATTGGTACAGCGTTTTTGCTTCGGTTGTGTTGGATGTACGGTGGTTTCGAGCTTGCGCGAAACTAAAAACAGAATTCAGGTCGAAGGAAATTTTGTGGCGTTATAACAGAGCAGACTATAGCGACATTTTTTGTCAGATAAGGTTTTGCTGACGTGTCAGGAAACCGCGTCACTTGTGAAGGTGCGTTGTCACGATCTGGTGTGACAGCACGGATGGGATTTGGACTAGTCTGGGCGAACTGAAGCTCACAAGGTAGGGTTTCCAATTTTTTCGCTAGGCATCGTCATGCTGCCTCTGAATCCGTATGAGCGGTACGTTCAAACCGACTCCAGTTTTGACGACCTCGCGAACTAAGTCGCCAACATTTCGACAATCTTCACGTGCGACCCAGCACCACACAACAGCACCCCATTCAACACGCCTCTCTCTCACAACTCATAATCTTCCAGAGTCAGGCACTTTCTATTTCACTCCAGTATTTCTATCTGTTTTCCTCGCTCAGATTGCACGAGTTAATGGCTGCTGCAGTCTATCCGTTCGTTCCTTACGTTCACATTGCTAACTTATGTTCTTTTATCTGTTCCTACATCCTCCCTCCAGCATGATAAAAAAAAACCGTTGTGCTGGACGATTCAGCTGTGAAACTCGCCCAGGCTGCATGAAACTTGCGATGACGCTACCTTTTGACGCTGGTCCGGTTGTGTGCTCATTCAGGTGAGTTTATGTTCCAGGCAAGTACGCTTTGGCTAATGCAAGCACCTATGTTGTTGCAGAATACAAGCGCGCATGACAACGCTTATACCAGCGACTTCCGAGATTATCGTCAAGCCTTCGAGAATATTGTCGCCAAATTTTTAATATCTTCCGGAAGATTTATCGCCAGATTATTGCAAAGTTCATCGCGGTTCCTTCAGGGCCGCCCAGCAGTGCATTTCCAGGCATATTAAGGGCATGACTGATTCGTAGGTGCATCTCTGTTAACCTTTGCTGTGTGGACCTAACTCTGCTGCTTGTGCTACTGGGTGCAGAATCTCTTCCTGGTCGAAATGAGCTACTGTGTTCATTATTGCATGATAATTGTGCTGTGTGTGGATGTTGTACGCGGTATCTAGGATGTTGTGGTTTAATTGGTAAGGCCGACCAGGTATTGTAGTAATGGTTGTTATTGACCTGAGGTTGCGTTGAAATAGAAGTATTGAAATATAAGTACTACCAATACTTACAGTTCCTAGCAGAGAAGATAATTCATGTGTCATGCTTTTACGATTATAATAGTACCTACCAATTTTGCATTTTCCCTTTTTCCGTAATTAGTTTATGATAAGCTGAGTGTACTGTGAAAATTAATCCGTTATTAAAGGCGCCTAAATGATTTGTTTTGCTTGCTGTAGTGAGGATGAGCAATGCTGGTCGTTGGCTGGTGCACTGCTTGCCGAGCCTGGTCAAGATTGCTCATGCAAACCTTTCAATCATTCCTCAAACAAAGCTCAAGCGTGAAGATTGCTCTAGCATTTCACATGATAAACCACGAGCATTGGTGGCAGGAAAAAACATCAAGCAGTCCCCATGAAATGCTTTTGCAGTCTTTTTCCTTCTGAAATTTTGTAGAGAGAGACAACTAAGACTGCCGCCAGCAGCAGCACGGCGAAGCACGACACTCTGTAAGAAGCCATGATGCTAGGCAAGAAGGAAGATAACGGCGGAATAACAAAATATAATGAACTCGAGTGGATTTATATTCAGCTTAGCGTCTGGAATGGTAGTAAACGAGCGGATAAAGGGAGCAGAATGTTTGAGAAGGGACAAGGCGGCAATGCCAGGGGAGCGAATTTATGCAAAGCTGGTTGGAATTGGAAGGATGTGGAACATTGGCGAAATGGAAATGTGAATGCGGTTCGGCAAGTGGAGAATGCGGCTCGCGTGAAGCGTCTCGCACCGCAGCATCTTCCCCACCTGGAAGCGCGGTCACCGCGCCGTCAAGTAATAGAGCGCAGAAAACGGCCGTCAACAAAATCTGCCCAATCGAAGTGCCTGAAAGTGGTGTGCCAAAACTTTGGTCGGTGTTTCTGACCTTCGCGATTGCTTCTTTTTCACGGTGACCGACAAAACAAGCTTGTCTGGTTGGCTCGGGCGGAATGGCACGCGATTACTCCCTACAAGTGCACTACACCGCACCAGACGATATGGTATGGGTGGGATTTTCTGCGTTACAGTATTGACCGAGAGAGAGACATAGCAGCAAAAATGCAATGACTGTAATTTCCCTGAGCTAATTGTAGTCTGATTACATCTACCCTGAACTAGTTGATAACATGGCAAAATGGGGTACATCGCAACTTGTAAATGCCACGTCAACTTGTTCGAAGTGAAGGAAACGTCATGCAGAGGCATGGTACCATGCTGTACTATGGTCGTGTTGAGTCATCACTTCAAAGTACAATCTCTCAAACTCACATCAGTGCACCGACTCCTTCGCATACATCTGAGCCATTTCCTTCACATCCCCATCAACCACCGCCCCTTCCTCCTCCTCCACCTCTCTATTCATGTCTGCAGCAGCAGCACCCTGCCCCTTGGGCCACCAACGCCCCAACCATGCCCCCCACAATGGGCGGGCTGAGAGAGTCCCCACTGCAAGACACCATCCCCCGGAAGCTCACATCAGAGCACCAACTCCCTTGCATGCATATGAGCCATCTCCTTCACATCCCCATCAACCGCCACCCCTTCCTCCTCCTCGGCTTCTCTCACCAGCTCTGCAGCCGCAGCACCCTGCCCCCCTGCCACCAGTGCTCGAACCATGCCCCGGACTATGGGTGGGTTAAGTGTCCACCCGAGCACCTGCATTGTCTTCCGAACCTGCAACGGAGGTTCGGAAGGAAAGAACGCACGCAAGGAGCACTAGTTGAGGGACAATGCGGGTACACTAAAGCGGCTTGTAAAGGGTATGTTCCAGCAACTTGTAATCAGTCCATATACAGCTCAAACCACATGAAAAAAAGGACCTGAAGACACCTGAAAGCTCACCTGAGAGCAGCTATCCAGGTCCCCTGCGAGTGCGTAGGCCTGGAAGAGGCGAGGATACGTCCTGGCGTTGAAGCGTAGCCCCACCCTTTCTTGCAGGTCGTTTTCTTGAACTCTCACAAACGGCTCACCTGGGAGCAGCTGTCCAAGTCCCCTGCAAGCGCGTAGGCCTGGAAAAGACGAGTGTATGTTCTGGCGTTGGGCTGTAGACCAACCCTCTGCATCTCCTCAAACACCTCCGCTGCCTCCCTCACTGCATGGGAAGAGGGTAGGGGGTTGCGATATGTAAGGGTAATACAGAATGAGAGGGAAACACAACGAAGAATCCAACAGAGGAACAGATGAGTTGACAGAAAAGACGATTTTTGAGGCGCCTCAAAAACAGAGAAACAGATGAGTTGACAGAAAAGACTGACCCAACCCATGGCTGGCGAAGAGTGAGATGAGAGCGGTGTAGGTCTCCATGCCCGGCCTGATGCCCGCTCTTTCCAGCTCCAGCACCAGCTTCACCGCCTCAATGAACTAGCACACACAGAGTGCGGATTAACAGTGGCACTGGTGGGACGGGAGGGACTCACCCAATCCATGGCTGGCGAAGAGTGAGATGAGAGCGGTGTACGTCTCAACGCCTGGCCGGATGCCCGCTCCTTCCAGCTCCAGCACCAGCTTCACCGCCTGTCTGCACCTCAGCTTCTCCTCCTCACTCGCCTCCCTCCTCTTCCCCACTCCCGCCCCCTCCTCCCCTCTCCGCCGCCCCTCCTCTCCCTCCTGCTCCGTTTCCCCTCTCCTCTCTTCTGCTTGCACATCCCCTCCATCTGCTCCACCCTCCGCTCCTTTACCAGCCAGCAGTGCCAGCTGCCGGTCCAGCTGTCGCTCCATGCTGCCATGCGCCTCCACAAGCCGTGCCACGGAGCGGTCATCAGGGGCCAGTCCCGCAGCCAGCATGCGCTTGAAGGCTGCTACTGCCTCGTCTGTGCGCCCATTGAGGCCGAAGGCTGCTGACAGGGCTGTGTAGGTGTGGCAGTCTGGCTTTATGTCCGTCTGGGCCTGCAGGACGGGAAATAGTGAGAGGAAGGGATGATGGAAGGGAGAAAGGAAGGGATTGATGGGAGCAGCTGTCGCTCCATGCTGCCATGTGCCCCCACCAGCCGGGCTACAGAGCGGTCGTCAGGGGCCAGCCCTGCAGCCAGCATGCGCTTGAACGCTGCCACTGCCTCGTCTGTGCGCCCGTTGAGGCCGAACGCGGCCGAAAGCGCCGTGTAGGTGTGGCAGTCTGGCTTTATGTCCGTCTGGGCCTGCAGGACGGGAAATAGTGAGAGGAAGGGACGATGGAAGGGAGAAAGGGAGGGATTGATGGGAGCAGCTGTCGCTCCATGCTGCCATGTGCCTCCACCAGCCGGGCTACAGAGCGGTCGTCAGGGGCCAGCCCTGCAGCCAGCATGCGCTTGAACGCTGCCACTGCCTCGTCTGTCCTGCCATTCAGGCCAAAGGCGGCTGAGAGCGCTGTGAATACATGGCAGTTTGGTTTCAAGTCCGTCTGGGCGTGTGATGGGAAGGAGGCTGGATGAAAGCGGTCATCAGGAGGCAGCCAAACAGCCAGAATGCGCTTGAACGCTGCCACTGCATCGTGTGTGCGGCCGTTGAGGCCAAAGGCGGCTGAGAGCGCTGTGAATACATGGCAGTTCACTATTGAGGTGACTCGTGTCACAAAGGCGGAAAATGAGTCACAAAGTCACAAAGGCGGAAAATGAGTCACGAAGTCACAAAGGCGGAAAATGAGTCACGAAGTCACAAAGGCGGCTGAGAGGGCCGTGAATACATGGCAGTTTGGTTTCAAGTCCGTCTGTGCCTGCAGCATGGGGAAATAGTGAGGCGGGGAGCGATGGGAGGAGAGGGGATGATGGGAGCGGTCGTCAGGGGGGCAGCTCCGCAAACATCGTGCGCTTAAACACCCAGCCAAACAATTCTGCTCCGCTCGCAAGCACACACACCCCTATCGCCGCACTCGTCAAAACTCACGATTCACTCACCACCCACTCACCAGCACTTTGTCAAAGACCGTCTGGGCGTCATCAGGCCGACCGGCAAGCCCAAACGCAGTAACCAGCGAGCAGGGGAGGGCTTGCAGGCAGCAGCGAGCATGGAGTCTAGCAGCTGCTCTGCCTTGTCCGGCTGCCCCACCTTGCCTGGCTGTCCCACCTTTCTCCCCAAGACACACACACCCCTGGACAGCCACCCACTCACCAGCACTTTGTCAAAGACCCTCTGGGCGTCATCAGGCCGACCGGCAAGCCCAAACGCAGTAACCAGCGAGCAGAGAGTGACCGGGGACGGCTTGCAGGCAGCAGCGAGCATGGCGTCTAGCAGCTGCTCCGCCTTGTCCGGCTGCCCCGCCTTGCCATAGACGGTCATCATGGTGGTGAATGCTTTGGCGTCTGGGGTTATGCCTCTTAATCGCATCTCCTCCCACGCTGCTTCTGCCTTCTCCACCTGCCACACACAGGTGGGTGGGAGGGTGGGAGGGTTGACAGTCAATGTGAGTCAAGAGCAGAGAGAGTAAGCAATCAATCATGCCCCGCCTTGTCATAGACAGTCATCATGGTGGTGTATGCCTTGGCGTCGGGGGTTATGCCTTGCAGCCGCATCTCCTCCCACGCTGCTTCTGCCTTCTCCACCTGCCACACACAAGGGCGTGGGTCGGTGGGTGCGTGAGCAGTGGACCATGGACGGGTAGATAGTCACAGAGGTGTATTTTGAGGCGCCTCAAAATACACCTCAATGCGGTGGGTGCGTGAGCAGTGGACCATGGATGGATAGGTAGATAGTCACAGCAATCATCGAGACCCCATTGCCCTAAGTATGGACCTCCATAGAAAAGAAAAACTTTTGAGACGTCTCTAAAGTTTGTGAGTGAGTGGGTGGACCGCGGATGGGTACATAGTCACAGCAATCATCGTGACCCCATTGCCGTAAATATTGACCTCCACAGAAAAGAATAGCAAATCAGAAACCATCCCATTCATAACCATCCCTGTGAGTGAGCATTTCACGAGGCCTCGGAAAACAAACACACAGCTCCTTGGCCCGCCCATAGGCGTTGATCTTAACGGAGGAGGAGACCAAATCTGGAGCTATTCCATCCACCACCTCCATGCCTGCGAACGCCCACCTGATTAGGCACCTAACGGCCGCAACAAAACCACACCTGCTTGGCCCGCCCATAGGCATTGATCTGAACGGAGAAGGAGATCAAATCTGGCGCTATCCCATCCGCCTCCACGCCTGTGAGCGCCCTTGATTAGGCACCTAAAGGCCAAACCACATAACAACAAACCCACACCTGCTTGGCGCGACCATATGCGTTGATCTTCACAGAAAAGGAGATCAAATCTGGCGCTATCCCATCCGCCTCCATGCCTGTGAACGCTCGCTCCATCTCCCCCAGCCGCCCGTCCTTGCCGAACCTCTCCACCAGCTTCGTGTAGTCCCGAGCGTCAGCCTCGTACCATTCCTCCGATAGGGACCACTGCATGACCTGCAATCGAGGCATGTGGGATATGGATATGACCAGCGTGGGGGAAAGGGGAGAGGGTGAAACTGCAGAAAAGGGAAGGACGAAAAAAGGACAAGGACGAAAAAAACAATGTGGGCCGGAGGTGAGAGACTAGGGGATGGCAGAAAGGGGTGAGAATGTGTTGACCTCTGACAAGAGAGGATTCAAAAGGCCTGGAAATTTGTCGATTGAAAAGATTGAAAAGAATTACCACTCCCTCCCTCGTTACCATCACACCCACTCCTGATACACCAGAGCTCTGATTTCTGCAGGGTGAATACATGAATGAAGTCACACCCGTCACGACTACTATCGTCTTTGCTTGCTATTGTCCTTTTCGTATCCTCGTTACTGTCACACCCACCCACCTGGCACAGCAGCTCTCGAACATCAGCTGTGCCCACCTCTTAAATTATATCCATTGAATCACGATAATTCTTCCAGGTATCCTCGTTATTGTCAGAGCCACCCACCTGGCACAGCAGCTCTCTGGTATCTGCAGTGTCCATCTCTTTAATCGTGTCAATCAGATCCCGGCGGTGCGGCCGCACGCCCTTTACCCAGCTGATCGGATGGGGGAAGGCAGAGGGATGGGGGAAGGCAGAGGGGATGGGGGAAGGCAGGGGGATGGGGGGAGGCAGGGGGGATAAGGGAAGGCAAGGCGATGGGAAAAGGCAGTGTCCATCTCTTTGGTCGTGTCGATCAAATCCCAGCGCTGCGGCCGCACGCCCTTCACCCAGCTGATCGCACAGCAGGCAATGCGGGATATGGGAGAGGATGTGAAGAGCGTGAGGAAATGAGAAAGATGATGCAGTGCATGGCACACCATGGTGTGGCCGCACGCCATTCAACCAGCTGAAGGGATGGGAGAAGACAGGGGGAATGGGGGAAGGCAGAGGGATGGGGGAAGGCAATGGGGATGGGGGAAGGCAGGGGGGATGGGGGAAGGCAGGGGGGATGGGGGAAGGCGACGCAACGCAATGTGACGGATTCTTACTGGCTTAGGAACAATGTATTAGAGCGCACGTGGAGGACATTCACCTATATGTAACAAGGAATATGTGATATTATATTAACTAATCTCAACTAATCTCGTACTTTTCGAGCCGTTGATGCAGCTCATCCTCGTTAGCAGGCGGCTTCGTTTTCAGCTCCTTTATAAGCACCAGCGCCTTGCGTGTAACGCGTCCAGAGACGAGAGGACGCGCTTCCGGCCATTTCCGACGACGATGCGCCGTGCCTGCCGCTAGAGCAACTGGCGCCATGCCGGCCGCACGGACGATCACTGGAGAACGAGGATTTTCTGTCGGGCAAACATCTGACCGTCGATTTTGACATTTGCCTGATAGCTTTAGTTTCGAATTGGTAGCGAATCCGTCCCTAACGAAGCATGAATTGAGAGAGGCTAGGGAGCTTCGAGTGAGAATGGCTGCGAGAGCTGGCATTGCGAAACGCGGCTTTTGAATAACGAGCGAAACGAGGTTACACCCGCAAACAAGATTCGCAAGCAGCTGAGGGTCAGCGTCGACGATTTTCGCAGCGACTGCTTCACTGGTTAGCTATCGAAACGTGTCGAAACAATTCACGGGGTTCTAATATTCCGTGAAAGGAAGACGGCGGCGGCTAGAAGCACGGGGGTGACAACAAGGAGAGGAACAAACGAGAGGGGGATTCTCTATGGCTCGTCTGAAGTAAGAGCGTATCGCCTTGCAACAGACGAGCTGCAGCGAATGTAGGGAGGGAAATGAGCAGACAAGCTCAAGTGAAAGGTGAAGTGAAGGCGACTATGTTTTTTTTTAGGGGATTATTTTCGTGAAGGTGACAATGAGGAGTGAGAGAGGTTGGGGGATGCAGAAAATTAGCTCCTAAGAAAAGCATCCCAACGCACTGAACCGATTTATTAAATGTCTCGGGATGATCAGGATTGCGAAAATCAGCCCGATAAACTTTCCACGCCTCGCAACCAATCAGTGCAAGCTGGGATTATCCTGGCGTAACACCCAATCTAATTCCACGTGGTAATAGTGAAATGACATACCAGGCTGAAAGTACTTTTTGGATTTCATTTTCAATACAAAAATGCTTTCCAAACTTGCCAGCATCCTTGAATAAAGAACACATCACAGCCGGATTTTATGCGCAACAGTAGTGCAGTGCACCATACACCTACAACTAAACTACCCCTCCACAAGCTCATGCTACTCCACTCGAACAGGCCGGTTTCTCTTTGGCGCTTCTGCTGCCTTGCTGCTTCCGTTCCCAGCCTCACCATCTTCCCCCTTTCCTATCCCCACCTCCTCTCCCCCAACACCACCAGCAGCACCCTTGCTCTCACTCCCAGCAGCAGCACCATCAGCATCGTCATCGACTGATGTCTTGAGTACCTGCTCTGCTTGCACCTGCCGCCTCCCCTCCCTGCCCTCCTGCTTCGCCATCTGCTGCAGCACCGATGCTACCTCCTCCTCCAACCGCCCCTCCGCCCTCAAACGAGCAACCTGCATCGTAATCACAGTACAGTGAAATCAGATATCATATCATATTAGATGGCGTTCCTGAGATGGGCCCCCAACCGAAGTTTCCCCAGCAACAGTGCACGAAACAAGTGTTTAGGGATAACACATTTGAAGCGACATTTTTGAAGCATTTGTTCAGGGTAGGCACACGAAAACGAGTTTAGAACGATCTTGACATTGCTAGGGTTACACGCATCTGATTGGGTTTGATAATTCGCTGTGTATCCACATTTGTATGGCACGTGGATAGGGTGTGGTCATTTGCAAAACTGCCATGCTGGACCTGAATATCAGCACTTTTGGGCCTCTTGGGGGAACTTTGGTTAGGGCCCCATCTCAGGAAAGCGATCTTAGTTAAGCAAACCTCTTTGGAGCCCACGCATTTGAACCATTTCGAGTGGAATTTGAAATGACGCTTGTAAAACCCAGCCATTTTAGCTTTCCATCAGCAATGGTGTTCCAACACATGAATCGATGCAGTTTTTAACACACAAACCATCCACATGCACCATTCCAAAGAGCCTCTCACCTCCTTCTTGGCGTCATTCCAGAGCTTAAACCCCAACAACAGCCCCACGCCACTCCCAATTTTGAGTCGGCTCAAATGCCCCCTCCCACCCCCACTCTTGAGTCGACTAAGAACCAAAAGCAACAGCCCCATTTCCATACGCACCTTGTCAATGGTCTCTCACCTCCTTCTTGCCTTCATTGAGAGTTGAGCTGAAACAACAGCCCCACGCCCACTCCCACTGCTGCTTTTGAGTCGACTCACAAGCAACGGCCCCACCCCTTCTTTTACTCTTGAGTCGACTAAACCATGATCATACGAGCCTCTGACCTCCTTATTAGCGTCATTCCAGAGTTTGAACCGCAGCACCAGCCCCACCACCGCTCTCCTTTTGAGTCGATCCAAAATCAACAAACCCACACCCACTCTTTTGAGCAGACTCAAAAGTCTCTCACCTCCTTCTTGGCGTCATTCCATAGCTTGAACCGCAACAACAGCCCCACTACCACACCCACTCCGCCTGTGCCTACGGCTGCAAGAAAAAACAACAGCAGACGGACGGTTGACGGACAGACAGGTTGGGTGAAAAAAGGGAAGGGTGATTACACTCAGACAGACGCACGTGTCGCCGTGAACAAGCGATGATTAGACTCCACAATCACAATGGCTAGGGGTGAAGAGAGGGCAAGAAGGGGATGATTGAGGCGGGAGGGAGGATAAATGAGGATGGGAGGGGACAAAGGCGGAAGATGAATAATGAACACCCAGGGAACATATGTGTACACTGCGCGCTCTATGAGTGTACACTGAGCGCAGTGTACAGACGTGTTCACTCTATAAGACTCACGCACGTGCGTACTGCGCGCTCTACACTGTCGTCAGAGCTCAACCAACACGGGTTCGATCACGTACCAACTCCAACGGCCTGCAGCACCGAGATCCAGTATGTGTCGTCCAAGCCCGCGCGAGCTGCCACGTGTCTCCTCCGCGCTGCCGCCAACGACGGCGACGATTGCGGCGAGAAATGCGGCGAACGCGCGCCGGAAAATGCTACTTGTCCGGGCTGTGTGGAGGAACCCAGGGGTGCGGCGACAAATTTCCCTGTCGAGCCGCACTTACATGACGATATCACGGCCGTTATTATCCTATTTTTCACCGCGCGTTGGACCGTGAAAGCGGGGACTATCGAACGTCGATTTCTGCACGTGTCAAGCCGTCGGCTGTCGGAGAAATCTGTCCGCAACGAGAATGCAGACGGAGCTGCAGCGACTCCGACGTGGCATTTCATCGTGGCAATGGGAGCGCCGCGTCGCACAAGGCTGAGCGTTGTAACTACGTCTCGAGATTCGCCAACAAAACCCGAGTGCCTAGACAGAAGGTCTGGACGCGACGGTTGCAACGACAGACGGGACGGAACGACGACGAGGTGATGCTGCCTGTGATGCTTTGTGGGTGCTGTGAGGCGAAACAAAGAGCATGGGGTCCTGTGAGGCGAATATGTTAGTATTCGCTGATACCCTACCGAACCGATGTAGATATCAGTTTGACCGTTGTGCAATGGGCAAAATCTGATTGAGCCGCACTCGGACAAACTTGTGAGATCTGGAGGGTTTTGGAAAGGTGACAGTGAGGCAAAACGAAAAGGATATGCTCTCATTGAGAGTTGAACTCAAGACCTCCCGCTTACTAAACGGGTGCTCTAACCAACTGAGCTATGAGAGCTGTTTAATGAATCGTTCTTCATTTTGAAGTACACATTGTAGTCTGCGAACTGCAAGCTTCTAGAAGCTTCTGGCTTGTATAAATCTTCCCTTGCCCTCACCATTTCCTTGTCTCTTATTTCCAGGGAGACCCCTGAACCTCGCCCTGCCAAGCGCCCGTCCGTTCTCTGCGCTGCTGCCAGCCAGTTGACCTGCTCGGCTCTCCCAACCGCCTCTCATGGCGACGATGGAGAAGGTGCAGATCAGCGGCGACGGCGTCGAGGTAAGGCTGGCGAGATTTTATTGCGGTGATTTCTCATGTACGTTAAGGGTGAATCTTGAGTCAGGCATTTGGACGTTCTTCCTATCCCTAGTTTGTGCACGTTTTAGGAATCCCTTGTTTGTATTTTTTCTATCTTCGTTGTGGCCCCCTCTGCTGTTCATTCATTCTGTTTTCGTCGTTCTCTTCTTTTTTCCTTTTCGCTGTCCTACTCGTTTCTCCTGCAGACGTTTGACGCATTCGTGGCGGGTGAGGAGGGCAAGCCGGGCGTGGTGGTGCTGCAGGAGTGGTGGGGCGTGGATTTCGAGGTCAAGAACCACGCCGTCAACCTCGCCGCCAAGGGCTTCCGCACGCTCATCCCCGAGTAAGTGGCGATTTTTTTTTTCTTTTTTTTTTTTTTTACGGCTGCAATTTTTACTGATTATCGTCCCAGTTGGAGATACAAATTCCATACATTTTTCTCGCCTGGCTCTCATGAAGCCGAATCTACTGGTGTTACGATTACTGAGCTATTTCTTCGTTGCGAACATTCTTTGTTCCTCATGTATTTCTTTGCCGTCGCAGTGCGCACAACAGCAAGGTGGTTATGCAGGCCGCGGAGGTGCAACATTGTTAACGCTCGATGCTAAATTTCCTTCTTCCTTCTTCCTTATACATCTCCTTCTTTTGATTGCAGCCTGTACAAGGGCAAGGTGGCTCTGGAGGCCGCGGAGGCGCAGCATCTGATGGACGGCTTGGATTGGCCCACCGCCATTAAGGAGATCGGCGCTTCTGCCAAATGGCTTCTGGCACACGGCTCTAAGAAGGTATATTCTATAACGCAACTTATGTATTTTCTCGGCGTGAATGAATTATATTTTTTTTTTTTCCCCTATTCATACCTAAGAATAGTTCAAGTGTTTTTAGGGTACTGAAGCGTTTCCTTTTTGTCACATCATATTGTGTTTCCAGGAGTCAGATCCGCCTTTGCTATCTACATCTAAATCATGCCACCCTCGTTTTCGCTGTGCCTTCCGTTGTTGCTTTCCCGTCTTTGTGCTTGTTCTGCACAGGTCGGGGTGATTGGGTTCTGCATGGGAGGCGCGCTGACGCTACTCGCCGCGATCAACGTCGATTCAGTGTCCGCAGCCGTGTCCTTCTACGGCGTTCCCGAGGCAGCTCTTAAGGAGGATGCCAAGGCCAAGGTCCCCGTGCAGGCGCATTTCGGCGAGCTCGACGGCTTTAAGGGCTTCTCAGACGTCGATGTGAGTTTTGTTATACGTTTCGTCAACAAAACTTCAGTCTGGTGTTCATTTTAGTGTCGTGTGATGTCTGTCTTGTGGTGCCGTGTAGTGCATTGGATCGTATTCCGCGTCCACTTCTGTTTTATTCACGCGTAGGCGAACGCATTTTCTCGGCCATATATTTTTAACCACTACCTCTTTACCCCCCGACCCTCCTCTTTCGACCACAGACCGCGCGTGCGTTGGAGAAGCGTCTGGAAGCGGCTGGCGTGCCGCACGAGGTGCGCATCTACCCCGGTCAGGGCCACGCCTTCGTGAACGCTTCGCCAGAGGCGCGGAAGCGAAAAGAGGGGATGGGGTTACCAGGCCACGACGAAAAGGCCGTGGAGCTGGCGTGGTCGCGAACCGTTGATTGGCTCAACAAGTATTTGTGAAGGGGCGGTTGCGGGGGAGGGGTGGAGGAGAGAGGAGGGGAGGGAGAGGAGGGAACGTTTAGCAGTTGGTAAGATTCGAGTGGAGCTGGAATTTCCAAATTAGCTGTAAATAGATGAGATTGCAGATATATGGTGCACCTTAGGTGCACTGTTGGCAGCAGAGGTGAGATGAGCTGAGTAGAGTTGATTCGATTTGAGTTGAGTTGGCATTTGTGTTGAAGAAGGCTGAACAGTAGGAAGAGAGGAGTCATTTGTGTGGAGGAAGGGGAGAGACGGATTTAGTATGGAGGGGTGCAATTGAGGAAGGAGTGGAGAGAAGAGAGGAGGATTCTTACAGGAGGAAGGTTCAGCGGGCTCGGCGAAGGACCACACTCGGCCAATCCCGTTAAAAGCAGCGTGAACGGGGTGCTAGCGGGCGGCGGCCACCTTCTGGCCTGCCCCTCATCCTGGGCTCATTACAGTCACACTTCGGTGTGACTGTAGGGACGCCTCACGCTTGCTGAGCTGTCATCGTGAGGAGTGCCGTGCGAAAGTCCCCGACCGACCTGGTAGAAAGTACCCGCCCGAAAGGGCAGAACCCCCCGCATTCCCTCCCCTGACAACTGCTTCGGCGGCTGTGGGCCGAGACGGGCAGCTGTGGATTTTTTTCTGTGGCTGCCCTGAGCTCTGCTGCTGGCTGTATGGCTGGCGCCAGGGGCAGGAGCGGGAGGAAAGTAGGTGCAGCACAGGCATGTGGTCAGTGGGGTTACCACCCACCAACAGAACGGGGCTTACTCTTGCCGTGCCCGCTTCCCTTTCCTTGTCTTGTATGTGTTTTTAATATAATGAGAAAAATGGAGTTACAAATCAAACTGTTACCTGGTTGATCTGTTGTGATCGTGTTCGGTTTCTCGAAAGAGCTGAGATTCAATTGTGAGACGACTTGGCTGCGCTGCCCAGTGGGGTTGCATTGCTTGGCTGGTGCTTCTTCCTTGCTTTGCTCCTCTATTTGCTTGCTTGCCTTGCCCGCAATGAAGGAAAGGAAAGGAAAGAGATGGAACCAGCTTGCAATGAACAGTGGCAACAGCACTGCATTAGCATGCCCCTGGCCTGGCTGGATTAGATACGGAATCACAATCTGACAAAAGAAACCATGGTTGGAACTTGGAAGGTGCTAGTACAAACTCACATCTGCTTATGTTAGTGTTAATTCAGCCACAGCATTTTTACCGGTAACAACCACATACGGTACCGCACTGTAGGATCATTAATACCGTCTCGCAACTAGAGCCCGACCCACATCTCCTATGAAAACCATCTTGCAAACATGCCTTTATGCTTCCCAGTATGTTTCAACGTCACTTCGTATTCCTGTAATTGCCGCAAAAACCCAATGTTGGGCTGCACTATTGGTCGGCACTGCCGCACATGGGATAGGGCTGTTCTAAGGTCCCACCCCTTGGTCTTCATCATATATGCAATCACTATTGTTGCACTGCGCGACATGCCTGAACATAACAGCAGGTACACATGGGAACAAGGGAAGATTGGGAAGACGAAAAGGGTGAATGTTGGGCTGCACTATTGGTCGGCACTGCCGCACGTGAGGTAGGGCTATCTTGAGGTCCCACCCCTTGGTCTTGTGGTCCCGCCCCTTGGTCTGTTGGGCTATCTTGGTCCTCTTGTTGGGCTATCTTGGTCTTCGTTATGTATGCAATCACTATCGTTGCACTCCACGACATGCCTGAGCGTAGCAAAAACAAGAGGTGCACATGGAAACACGGAAAAGGAAAGTATTGCGCGGCATTTCCGCACATGGAATTTCTCAGGTCCCACCCCTTGGCCTTCATCATATACAATCACTATCGTTGCACTGCGTGACATGCCTGTGTGACAAAACGAAGGAACAGGGGGGAGGTGAAAAGAGGACATGAGTCTCACTCTGCACCACGCATCACGGGATCAACCCCTTCTCACCTGCCAGGCAGTGCACCAGCACGCCTTCAGCCTTCCTGCCGTCCTCAATGGCAGCGAAGCATCCGTCAAAGTGAGAAGCTTGATCCAAGTGCATGGCACCCGCCACATGCACCCGCGTGAACGAGAAGGTATCGGGGCATGCACGGGTGTGTACAAGTGTGCAAGAGAAGGCGAAGGAAATGTGCATTTTTGTTCCGCCTCTGCAGCACGAACCAGGAGATTAACCCTCCTCACCTGCTAGACAGTGCACCAGAACTCCTCCCGCTCTCCTGCCCTCCTCAATGGCTTCAAAGCACCCCTCGAAATGAGCAGCTAAGTCCACGTGCATGGCATCAGCCACGTGCACCATCGTGTATGAGAAGGTGTCGGGGAACGGAGGCGCACCCGTGTCGTTCGCTACAGTCACAATGCTCTTTATGCCCAGCTCAAGCAGCGCTTCTCTGTGTACAGTAGGGCCAAAAAACACAGAGAAGAGCATGTGGGTGTATGGGTGAGATAAACTGGATTCATGTGTCATTCGCTACAGTCACAACGCTCTTAATCCCCAGCTCCAGCAGCGCTTCTCTGTGTGTGATTGGGTCAGGTAAGGCGAGAAGAACATGCAGGCATGGGTGAGAAAAACAGGACTCCCGTGCTGTTTCCTACAGTCGCATTGCTCTTTCTACCCAGCTCCAGCAGTGCTTCCATGCGTGGGATTGTGTCGGAAAACAATAGAAAAACATGCGGGTGTATGGTGAGCAAAACAAGATTCCCTCAGAGGCGGAGGAAAACAAGAGAAAAACATGCGGGTGAATGGTTACCTATTTGAGGCGAAATTCAGGCTTCCCAGGTAAAACCCTTCGTCGATTCTATCCAGCTTCCTGTACATAATCACGGAGGAAGGTGATGACGTGAAGAGGACAATGTAATGTCCCATGGTCACTTCCTTGATACACCTAAAGAATGAAGGGTTATATGGCTACCTGTTTGAGGCGGAGTTGAGGCTCCCGAGGTATAGGCCTTCGTCGATTCTATCCGGCTTTCTGTACATAAACACTGAGGAAGGTGACGATGTGAACACGACGGCCCGCGGTTGCAGGGGGATCTGGAGCTCCGGGGTCCCCTCCTCTGCTTCTGCAGTCATGCCTCCCCCAGATAGCACCTCTTTTTGAGTTGGCTCAATGCTAGTTGCGCCTTCTCCGGATAGCACCTCCGTGTGGGTTGATTGAATCGTGGTTGAACCTTCAACGGACTGCACCTCCTTTTGAGCTGCCTCGATACTGTTTGTGCCTTCCCTGGATAGCACCTCCTTTCGAGTCGACTCTATAGTGGTTGCGCTTTCCCCCGATTGCATGTCGGTTGAAAGGTAAGAGTGAATCAGTAGTACTACGCAGCCGACGGATGAGAGACCCTGTTGCAATTTTTTTTTTGTTTTTGAAATGGACGATGTCAGAACGACGTTAATCGTCATTCAGTGGTGGATGATGACAGTAAGACGTTAATCGCCAATCGACGATATCGTTGAGATCACGATGATTGCGGTGAGCTAGCGATGTCAGGGGTAAGCGAAGTCACGAACTGTGTCACGTTAGAAGCAGAGGTTGGAGCTTCACTCCTGGAAGTCCCTTCTGTCAGCCTAGAGGGTCGACAATAATCACATACTAAATGTTAGTTTATCCAAAATGATAGCAGTCCCCAAGAAAATACTAGTTTAGACGGCAGTCGCACGCCATCGTCAAACGTGTCCACTACGGGGAAAACTCGTCGCACACGCGTCGCAAGAATCCTGCGACTTTGGACTGAAAGTCCGTAATTATAAATGGAACCGTGGCCACACTAAGTCTCGACTTCGTGATTTACTTAGGGGAATAGGTTTGGACCTCGGAATTGAAGCAATCCGAGTAGTTCAAGATGCACAAATCCGCCCGGGTCATTTAGTTTGACCTTTTCAAGGTGGTCTTACATAAGCGGAAGTCCGAGACCTGGTTGTGTAATCTGAACTTGTGCAGAAAGAAAGCAATGTCCTGCAAAGTACACCGAATCAGCACTCTTCGGGTGACACACAGGAGGAGTTGTTTCAAAGCGAATGGAGTCTGGTGTCACATTGAAGGAAAGAGAACCTGGTTCAGCGCGGGATTGAAGTTTATCACCACCTGCGAAACTCCATTCCGTCTATTATTTTTCGCCAGTCCTAGATTTTGTCAGAGCTTTAGGGAAAAGTGATCAGAGTGTTTCGCATATAATCATGCTGGTTTGAGCAGCCTGCTCGTATCTTCCGCTGCATGACGCAGGTCGAGTCATAAGAGGTGCCTACCGGCCGACTTCATCGTTCGTTTCCGAAAATCCTCTAGCATCTTAGGCTCGTTTGCCCTGTTGTATCGAACCCTCTTTCCCGAAGGCAATCACATTCGCCGAAAACGTTCATAACTTGACACGATTTGTGTAGGAATATTTGACAAATGGTTCAGGATTCGACGAATTCGGATGATGGAGCAGGGATCGAGGTAGCAGAAGATGCTTCTGTGCCGGTGGTGGTGGAGAAAACGGGAGAGGGGGTGAAGTTCGAAGAGCATCAGCTTCCCATTGACATTGCGTACAACAAATTCGCAGGTACCGCGTTTCTCGCATGAATAAACAATGAATCGCGCAGGCGCGGCGTTCCTCGTATGACGCAGATACTGGTTCGCGCAGGTACCGCGTTTCTCGTATGACTAGATAACGATTGCTGACACCGAGTCAACGAAAGACATCGACCTTACCACTCAGTACAGAATCTCCCATCGATGTAGCGTACAGCATTCACAGGTACGGAGTTTTCTTGTATGTCCGGATAACGATGTCTGTCAACGACTGACTTTGTCTGACATTAACGTGTTTTCTCAAGAACAATTTTTCAGTATGGAGTAATCTGATGTGTAATATTCCATTGTTGTATATTCTCAGCGTAATATTTGTCAGTGCATCCTCTGAATAAATGAACCTTTCTCCCGTGTCCCACACCAGACTGGCTCGTGGATCGGAAGCGGGTACCTGCTAACTGGAGGCAACGAGTGGCTGCCATTCAGCAGCGAATCACGAAGCTGGTTACCACACTGCCACGTCACCATGATCCCTGGCTGCAGTCGCTCTCGGTGGATGGTGGGTTCATGCATGCATGTGTGCATTAGGCATGCGTTGGTGATGCATGCATGCATGAGTGCATGGGAGCATTACTGGGGGTGCTTGGGTACAGGCGTGCTGGGTGTGCTCTTCGTGGGAAACTTAAATTCACATAGAAGCAGAGTAGAAGCACTCCGTGTGTTGAGACGTAACGTAAGCTACATTGGAATTGTCCCATTCGGTTTCAGAGTAGCCTTTTTATAGTGATCTCTATTTTTGTCTTACGTTTTGCAGACGTGGGGTACGTGGAAGCAAAGCGTGTGAGGGACATTCTTGCTGCTGCCCGCCCCAGTGAGAGAACAATCTTCGGTGGCCTTGCTGGGCCTGCGGTGAGTGCTCTTTGAGACACAAGTGTTAGGGATGTGTTGAGAATGTGTTGAGAAGATGGGGTATGTGGAGGCGAAGCGAGTGACTGTTGCTGCTCGCCCCAGCAAGAGAACAATCTTCGGCGGCCGTGCTGGGCCGCGGTGAGTGCTCTTAAACAAAATGATTAATGTGTCAAGGATGTGTAAGGATGTGGAATGGAGAAGCCTGCTGTATTCCGCTGCAGTAATCTGTATCACGTCCAGTCTCAGAGCAGTCTAGTTTGTCCCAGTGTTGTGTCCTCGCAAACTCTCATCCCGTGATTGCATCAGGGCGATTGGGATGCAGTGGTTCGCACATACGCGCGTGACTGTGTATTGTTTGGGGAAGCAGCTCATGTTCTCGTCCACGCTGTAGCCCTTCCCTGAGTTGTGACGTCGCTATTTCTCATCCCGTGATTGCATCAGGGCGAGTGGGACGCAGTGGTTCGCACATACGAGCGTGACTCTGTGTTCCTCGGGGAGGCAGCTCAAATCCTCGTGCACAACACTAATTACGACATGTGAGCAGGCGGGCACTCTGAGTAGAGGGGGAAACAGGGGTCATTTTGAGGGGAGGGGGAAACAGGGGTCATTTTGAGGGGAGAGGGAAACAGGGGGTCGTTTTGAGGGGAGTGTCTCAGAAAAGCGGCTTATATTATCTGCACAACACCAACTATGACATGTGAGGAACTGTGCATACATACAGTCTGCTCATTCTACTTGCCTGTTGCCCACACTACATCCCTTCATTCCTTCCCTGCTCCATCCCCAGCTTCCCCGACTCCCTCTATTGATTCCCTAAACGTAACACATTGATTCCCCTCCTTCCTCCATTCCCTTGATAGTTTTCCTTTCGTCCCCTACTCTTTGCTGATTCTCCCCATCTTCCCGCTCCCTCACTAACTCTCCCTGCCCCTGCTCTCCACTAATCCCCCCCGTTCACCTACTCCCCACTATTTCTCCCCTTTCCACTAGTCTTCCGTTGAATTCCCCCCTTTCCCTACTCATGTGTTGTGTTCTTTCCCCCTCCCAGCCCCTACTGGCAGAAGCACAGGGCGCGGGCCCAGCAGCAGCTGGAGGAGAGCAACAGGAAGGAGCTGGACTGCCGAAGACTGGCTGCTGCTGCTGCCAAGGGGTTTCAACAGGCGTGCTCCGACCTCGGAATCAAGGTGAGTTGCGAAAAAAAAATAACTGATACGCGCTCACAACTCGTCACCCAGCTCTGTAACTCCTTCTAGTCCTACCACCCCCTTCCGCCCCCTTCCGCCCCCTTCCGCTCCCTTCAGCCCCCTCTCCCCACCCCCGTATATCCCCTGTTCTCCTCCAATGTGTGTGTGTGTTGTGTTCTGGTTCTCCTGAAAGGGTCAAGACGTGCGGCAGGAGCTCAAGGGACTGGTCTCGAAGCTTCCTGGAATTTTTCAGGAGGTGGTAACTATCCTATCGGGGGAGCCTGTGGAGCAGGCGGTGGAATATTATGCAGCTGCTGTGGCATTCGCACATGGGGGGGAGGATACGGGTTCTTCTCCCCTCCTCCTCCCCACGCTCTTGGAGCTTCGGGCAAACCCTGAGCGGCAGGACCAGGCCGAACCTCCTGCGGAGGATGAATGGGGTGGTGATCTCAGTGGGGGTGCCGATGGGGGTGGTGCTAGTGGGGTTGGTGATGGTGATGCTGTAGGGAGAATTGTGTGGGATTTGGATGTGAGTACAGGGGGAAATGGAGGAGGAGGGGGAGAAGGGGGAGGGGAAGGTGAGAATGGTGGCATTGTCTGGGACCTTGATATTTCTGCTGCTGTTGATGGAGCTGACGGTGCTGATGGTGCTGTTAACGGTGCAGCTGGTGCTGTTGACGGCGCTGCTGGTACGGATGGTGCTAATGCTTCTGCTGATGCTGCTGATGGTACCTCTATGACTGCGGATGGTGCTGCAGTGGAGATAGACTGGAGTGCTCTGGGTGGGGAGGGCGCATCTGGGGGAGGCATTGACTGGGGCATCGAGATCTCTGCTGATACAGGTGCTACTGGTGGTGAGGAGGGAGGAGGAGGGATAGACTGGGATATCGACACGGGAGCTGCAGGGACCAATGAGGAGGCGCCACCTGGAAGCGCTGGTGATGGTGATAGTGCTGGTGGTGGTGGGGGAGGAGGAGGGAGGAGTGGGAGGGAGGGGGAGAGTGAGAGGCACAAGGTGCAGCGGTGGCTGTTGGCTGATTCAGCGTATCGCAGCAAGCTTCTTGACGACCTGTTCGAGGTGAGAGGGAGAGGTGAGAGAGAGGGGTGGGAGGTGAGGTGAGAGTGCAGCCTCGAAATTGGGTTGTTGTGTGCAGCATATTGGAACTAGTTTCTGGAGGCGAGTAGGGAGTTAGTGGTTGTTATACATTCAGCGGCTTGGAGGCGTATAGAATGAATGGTATGTAGCATATCGGATCAGAACAGAGAAGGGTGCGGGAGGTGAGTCCAAATGCTTCTCCCTCTCCTCCCTTTCCCTTCACGCTTGCATGTCTTCTCTCCCGCTCCCCCCAGCTGCACATATTCCTTGTCACGCGGATAGCTGAGATGAATCGACACCAGGGCTCCGTGCTGCAGGCACAACTGATGGTGAGTATGCCCCCACAATTGATGCCCCCACGGCAGAACCATCATTCAGAACCATGGCACCGCGTCTCTTGCCTCCCATGACTCCCACATCTGCACGATTCCCTCACCCTGTCTCTCCCCTGCTCTCCCGCCTGCATTCCCCAGGCCACAGCGCCTCCCATCATCCAGAACCATGGCACCACATCCCTTGGCGCCCTTGATTCCCACATCTGCACGGCCATTGGTCGACTCACCAGTCGTCGCACGCGGGATCTCCTCCTCATCCTCTCCTCCCCTCGGTGAGTGCTTGCAACCTGTTCTCTCCTTGAAGTCCTCCTTCACCCCCAACTGATTCCCACATCTGCACGGCCATTGGTCGACTCACCAGCCGTCGCACGCGGGACCTGCTCCTCATCCTCTCCTCCCCACGGTACGTTTTTTCCACTCTTCTCTGCGTACAGTAGCGACCACCCTTCCTCTACACCGCTGCTCTCCCTCGACAACTCTCCTACATGTGTTCGGCCACATGATAAAAGAGTTGTTTTGAGACGTCTCAAAACCACCCTTCCTCTACACCCCTGTCCACCCTCGACAACCCCTTCCCTCCTACATGTGTTCGGCCATTTGTCGACTCACCAGCCACCAAAACAGCCTGTTTTTCTGCTTCCGTTTCTCCTCTTTTGTCCGTCTCCTTCTCTCCTTCTGCTTGCAGCTTCTTGGATCGGCTAGAGCAATCATTGCTGCAGAAGAAGACAAACGAGGCGAGGCTGCTGGATAGCGTTGGCGAGCTGGAGAGGCGGCGGAGAGAGATCCGGGCGGCGCTGGCTGATGCGTGGCCTAAACTGGTGAGTTGCATAGCATGGCACAGCATGATATGGCATGGTATGGCATGGTATGGCATGGCATGGTATGGCATGGCATGGCATGGCATGGCATGGCATGACATGGCATGGGATGATGTGCCATGGTGTGGCATGGTGCTGCATGGTGTGTGGCATCGGATGATGTGACATGCGGTGGCATGGTGTGGCATGGTGTGTCACAACCCTTCGCAAAATAATGTGCACTCACACGTAGTCGGTGATGCAATGATCACGGACCTACAAGGAAGCAGGTGCTTCCGCAGTGAGCATACATCCACACACTCCCATTCCCTCTCATTCCCCCCCCTTCACCACCCCCAGGAGGCAGTGGTGCAGCGAACACGGGCCTACAAGGCAGCAGCAGAGGCAGCGCTCTCTGCAATGTATTCCAACCGGCCGGTTCACATCATTGGGGAGATTAACAACGTGCTGCAAGCCACTGCCCCTGCAGGTGGTGGGTAGAGAGAAATTCAAGCGACTCAAAGCCTAGGCAGCACTCTCGCCTATGTCAGCTTGTTCGTCACAGGCTCAAAGCAGAGGCGGCGCTCTCTGCAATGTATTTCAGCCCCCCAGTTCACATCATTGCGGAGATCAACAACGTGCTGCAGGCAACCGCCCCTGCTGGGGGTGGGTAGGGAGAGGGAGACCCTTAGGTGTTTGACTTGACAGATCTGTGCTGTGAGCATTGTACCAAAACAGACTCGAGCAGAGACAACGCTCTCTGCAATGTATTCCAACCGTCCGGTTCACATAATTGGGGAGATCAACAACGCGCTGTAATCAACTGCCCCTGCTGGTGGCAGTAGAGAGAGAGAGAGAACTCCTGCTCTTTCCACTCCACTCCACCCATCCCATCCCACTGACTCATGGACATCATTATGATTTAGCATTTCTTGTAGGGGTTTTCTCTATTCTGTAGCAGCATGATGCAGCGCATTCAGGGACTTTTGGTGGTAGACAGCTGCATGAGGGCCAAACAAGTGCCCCTAATAGGAAACGCGGTGTTGGGAAGCCAAGAGCACACACGACATGCTTTGGAGGGAGTGACCTTGGGCATCTCAGTAAACCGTACTATCAACACACAACAAAGATCTTTACAAGTGCACTGCTGCGTAGTGGCATCTATGGAGTGGCGAGTGGTCAAACACCACAGAGCAATTTGAATAAATCCCAGCGAATTTTGCAAACGTGCTCAGGGTATGCGTACCCCCTACTAGCACAGCCCCTCGGCTCAATAAGAAGAAATCCGCTACAGTGGCCAACTTCGAACCTGGCTCCTTAGAAGTTGATAAATGTGCAGTGTGCCCCATCGAAACAAAAACATTTCCGAATGGCTGTAGCAGCTCCACAAAATGTGGACGAAGATATTCATTATCAGTGGATAAGAAGATGCTGAGAGGGGATAGTTGGGGTATGCGGAACATGGGGGTTGGTCTGGGTGCGTGACCAGGGACTGGCACCAGACCTGCAAGCAACAAGTGCAAGTAGAAAGGCAGGTGACAGTTGAAGGTAAGGTGAAGGACAAAGGCGGCCGAGAGAAGCGAGGGGCCACGATCCTGACAGGTGTTTGCTTTTGAGAATCCTCAACTTTTTGGTGGAGATTCTCGAATGCACGCTCCAGAATTCTGAAGAACTTTTGTGTGAATCGAGGTGTGGGCAGAAGGAAGCGCTCAGCATGCAGAAGGTGCAAGGGGCAAGGGGCCAGCGATGCAAACCCGTCAGACTCTCCCAAGTTTTGGGTGTCCCAAGTATTGGGTGTCAAAAAGCCAAAATTTTCACTCAAGTCCTAGATATCCCACATGTCCAGACAGGGGATGGATATGATACATCCACCCATGAAACCCCGGTTTGTACACCAAACACATCATCATAGTCATCCTCGTCATCACCACAGGCGTTCTTGTACGTACCGTGTGCCATCGCAAGCGAGTTGTCTAGGGTCCAGCTCTCCTCTGCTGTTGTTCTGTTTCTCCTCATTACCTGCGATTGGGGGAGTGCACAAAGAGGGAGCATTGGGTTACATGGGTAAACAATCGAGTGGCTGAGGTGCCCAATAACGCAGCACAAAATCATTTAGTTGCATGCGTGGAATCAGTTTAGAGTTTTGAGCACTCCTCACCACCCCTCACCACCTCTCACCTCCTTTCTTCTCCTCCCCTCACCTGTCCTCTCCTCTCCTCTCCTCTCCTCTCCTCTCCCCTCCCCTCCTCTCACCTGCTTTGCCACTCGTGTGCCAAGTGACAGTGAAGCCTCTGTCTTTGCCACCCACTCCTCACTAGCTGCCAATAAAGCCCACCGTCTGTCCACCTGCTTTGCCGCCCGGCTGCCTGTCACCTGGGCGTCCGCTACATACATATCTGCTGCTCGCATCTGGGCCGTCCATTTTCGGAATCGGAACAGCTGGAGCAGGGAGGAGAGGCAGAGCCAATGGGATGCCTGCAGGAATAGGGATGCCACGTCATGTGCCACGTGGCTGCGCTGCAGCAGGCAGGCAGCATCGGACTCTCCACAATGGGGCAATCCAAAGCTCCTGCAAGCGGTTGGGGAAAGATGGTGGGGGAAAGGGAGTCGGGGGAAGGGGGTGGGAGAAATGTGGTTGGAAAGGTGGTGGTGGGGCAATGCAAAGGTTTGCTAAGGAGTTGGGGGAAGGTGGCCGGGGGAGGGGAGCTGGAGGATGGGAGTCAGGGAAAGGTGGTTGGGGGAAGATGGTTGGGGGAAGATGGCGGGGGGATGGTAGGAAGGAGAAGGGGAATTAGCTGGGCGGGGAATTGGGGAGTTGAGGGGGGAGGGTGGGTGGGGGGAAAGGAGGATGTTGAGGGAAGTATTGTCTGACTAACTCACCAGTCTCCTGTTCGGATGTGCAGCGAAACATCAAACTGCAGGCGAAGCCCAGTTCCTTTCGCCAACGGGTTACCACCAGAACCCCCTTCAGGTAACGTTCCTCCGCTCAATCTTCGCGCAACCTGAACTCCCCCACTTCCCGCATCCCCCGAATTTCCCGCTTCCGCTTCTCCCCCCTCGTCCCTTGCAGCCTCCGCTCGAACTCTGCTGCGCAAATTTCCGCTTTCCCGCACCCCGTTTTCCGGGCGCCGCAACCTCACCTCTTCCAAAACTGCCAAACTGTTTCCCAGACCACCTTCTGCTTCGTTAAAAACTTTTCCATTTAAAGCCGAAGCAGTCTTCACGTGCGGAAATATTCTCACGTCTTTCTCAATCTCGTAACCTAGCTCTATTGTCGGTCCGCCTCCTAATAAAATCTCCATCGTTCTGGACCAAACGCACCAGTCCGAAGCGCACCCTAACGCGCCCATCACGCACCGCATTAACTCCTTATCCTCCTTCCAATACCTATCAAACGAGCTCGACATCGTGACTATAACGAGCGGATGCGGATCCGCGAGCGATCTCCGCATCTCCTCGCCGTTCGATACCAGCCGATCCAACGGCTCCGCGTAATTCGGCAGATTATTATTCGGAAATCTAATATCGTCGAATCCGCACGCGAATCCCGCGCAGAGGCTGTTCATCGCGTCGCCGTACGGCCCGCCGTGCCAGCGCAAAAGGAGGCGGCCCGAGAGGAGCGCGTAGACGAAGGAGGAGGAGAGCGCGCGTAGCATGTTTCCTAGACCGGCTCGCGGCACCCAGATCAGCCAGCGATCAGCAGGGTGGGCGGGATCGACGGATTCGGCGGAATCGCCGGATTCGGCGGAATCAGCGGAATCGGCGGAATGGGTGCGATTGGTGGAGTCAGTGCGATTGGTGGAGTCAGTGCGATTGGTGAGAATTTTAGGGGAATTTTCGGACAAGTTTGCTGGGAAGGAGGCAGAGAATTGGGGGAACGAAGAGGAGGAGGGAGAGGCGGAAGGTGAGGGGGGAAGTTTCGCACGACTCTCTCCTTCTTGACCTGTTATATTTTCGCGTTCTCTATCCGAACGATTCTCTTGTTGCTGATCGCGCAACCATCGCCGGTGCACGCGGAGCAGCTCGTCGGATAGAACGGGCCGGCCGCGCGAAATTCGCGAGGTGTAGGCTTGAGGCGGAAGGAGCGCGTGGCAAGAGGGGGTTACCTGCGGAAGGGGGAAGGGGGAAGGGGGAAGGGGGAAGGGGGAAGGGGGAAGGGGGAAGGGGGAAGGGGAAGGAAGAAGGGGAAGGGAGGAGGAATGTTGATGGAAGCGGAAAAGCAGGGGGCGTGAGGGAGAAGGGTGAGTCCGGCAGGCCGATACAGAGGCTGGTACAGACTCTTTGCCGCGGGGAATGGTATTGACTCTTTGCCTCAAATGCTGCTACCGCAATTTCCGCACCTTCTGGCTGCTACCGCGATTTTCGCACCTTCAGACTGATGTTATGGTGCTTGACGTTCGCGCTTCGCCACGTGGACTTGACCAGGCTGTCGGGCCACGTCATCCGGTGCTTCTGACTGGTCCGCCCGCCCACCAGGAACTCCCAATCGGCGCGCTCCTCGACGAAGCGCGTCGACACGCCCTTGACGTACACGCGCGATATCCATTCTCGGTTTATAGCCGCCAGATGACGACGGCGATGCGGGGAAACGCGGGGGAAGCTTCTCGAGTGGAACGCGACGGCTTCTGTCGCATGAGTATGAACGAGAACAGTTACTAACAGAAATAGTGTAAAAAAAAGGTAACAGCGTCTTGAAGGCCCTTTTACAACGCAACGGTGAAGTGGTATCGACGGTAGCAAGACTCGGCGTCCTGGTTTCGATCGTGAGTTAATAGGTGCTGCTGTGCGAGCTGCATTGCGGGAGAAAAGATTATTTTTTCTCTCTGAGACGGCACTGCTTGTAGCGGAGATACGCATGGTCCCGTGCCAGTGCAGCGATGATGGTTTGCAGTGGAAGGAAAAGTAAAATGACAAAAAATGTCATTCGACGTGGCACGTGTTCGCTCCTAGCCTCTCCGTCTCCGATAAGCCTTTGGGACTCGGTCGGATAATGACGTATGGTTCTTGCTTGTGGGAGACCGAGATGAGTCGCGAGTATGGAAGTCGTCTGCTGTGCCTTCCTCTTCCTCTGGTCAAGCGCCTCAGCTGGAGTTGCCCTAACGCGGTGATGTTTTTTTGGCAGGTATGGGAGAGGAAGAGGAGAAATTGATTTTGTGGGAGGATGTTTTGATGTAGTCGTGTCGGGACTCGGGAGGCTGTATAAAAGTGCATGCTTTCACGGTTGAGTAAGTTATTAGACGATCGAGCTTGTTATTGAACGGTTAGCCAAGTTTTTGAGCAAAAAGTATGTGTCACCAAATAGGAGAAGCAGTTGGCTGGGCTGCATTGGGTTTGAATTGAATTGATCGAAGCGCGGATGGGGTGCTGTGCCCGTGCGCTTTGCTGCTCTGTGATAAGAAAGTGCGCGGGAAAAGAATATGTGAAACTCACTGACGCGCCGCCAGAAGTCAGGGTGGTACAGGTTAACGAAAGTTGCGACAACTGTGAGTTCGGTCGCATATGTTCGCCTGTCTCAGATCATCGTCTGCCACACATATCTGGCCCATGGTTCTCCAGAATATTTCAATGGTAGACATAAAACACTACAGAAGTGTATTTTTCAAATCACATACAGTCTGAAGCGACAGCACAACCTGTTTTCCGGCCTTGAACTTACCAATTACCGATTACCGCTGAATTTCTTTCTCTGAAACCAGCTAGACTGCCTCTTGAATGGTCTGTAGGCCATGTCAGCTCGCTCGCCGTAGTTACTTATTCGCCAGTCTTAGCTGATCAAGCTGCGTGCAATCCGAGACGTCAGCCAGCATGGGTGCCGCCTTATCGTCGATGCTGGCGGCTCCCGAGTCGCTTCTGTCCTTAGCACTCGTTGCAGCTATCGCGTGGGGTGTCGTCAAGACTCTCTTGCAGCCTAAGGTCCCGCGAATCTTCGTCGACACTTCGTACAGTAAGCGATCGTCGCTCTTTCGTATATTGCAGTACTTCAAACTCTCGTATCCTAGAATGTAATCTACATTGTCCTCGTTAGTAGACATAAGGGAGCTGCCTTCGGTCACTGTCGTACTTCTCCGCGTTCGGTCCCTGTTGATTCCTCGTCTTCCTGCTTATTCAAACGTCGTTCCTTCAACCGCTCCATTTATTCTGCTCCACTCGCATCGCGTCGCCGTTCATTCCGTTTCTACACCGGCCTCTTTATTCTATCCATTGCGAGCACCAATTTTAAAACCATTTCATGCATTTCTTGACAGTTTAAGATTGGGAAAGGACTAACGTGATTTGGATTGAATGTCTTTCATGGGTTTGTCCTCACCCTTGTGCCTGTGTAGTTACGGAGAAGCAGGAGGAGAGCAAAACCAACAGATACATCTATGTGAGCCGTCGCTTATGTCAGCTTCGTTCGCTTTGACTGTTAATTTCACTCCTCACTCTCTTCACACTTACTGAAACAGGCACACTCACGCCGCCTTTAGATTCACAGGGAAAAGCTCAGCAAATGGTTGTCGATCTTTCCTCTTTCATCTCTCCTTCAACTCTGCTTGCTTCTCTTCCCCGTTCCCCGGCTCAGTTCCCCCGCGGGGATGGCTCAGCAGGCGACAGAGTGCAGTGCTACGACCCTGCCACTCTGCAGTACCTGGGCTTCTCGCCTGCTCTGAAAGCATCAGATGTAAGTGGGGGAAGAGGGAAAAAGGGGATGGAAATGCAACGGGAGGGGGAAAGCGAGGGGAAAGGGCACGGTAAGTGACAGGGTGCAGTGCTACGACCCTGCCACGCTGCAGTACCTGGGCTTCTCGCCCGCTCTGAAAGCATCAGATGTAAGTGGGTGGGTGAAAAGGGAGGTCTTGATGGGTCAGGTACGTGATAGGGTGCAGTGCCACGACCCTGCCACGCTGCAGTACCTGGGCTTCTCGCCCGCTCTGAAGGCATTTGATGTGGTTAGGGCATGGCTGGCAGGCGCAGCAACTGGGAGCAAAGCAGTCGGTTTCCTCACTCATTTCTGCTGTATTTCACTCAAACCATGCATCTGTATTTCCCCCATCATCCCATCATCCCATCCTCTCATTCATCCCATCATTCCATAATCCCATCGTCCCATTATCCCATCATCCCATCATTCCATCATCCCATCGTCCCATCGTCCCATCATCCCATCATTCCATCATCTTGAGGTGAAGGAGCATGTGGCGAGGGCACGGCAGGCGCAGCAGCAGTGGGTGCAGACCAGCTTGCTTCAAGCCGAGGAGGCAAATTTCCCACACATTCGTTATCTCAATGCAACTCTCGTAACCCCTTCAAACCACTTCAGGTGAAGGAGCATGTAGCGAGGGCACGGCAGGCGCAGCAGCAGTGGGCTCACAGCAGCTTTGAACAGAGGAGGCAGTTTCTGAGGGTGCTGATGCGTTACGTGGTGGAGAACCAGGACCTCATTTGCAGGTGAATGAGGGTTAGCACACCGTAACCCCCGGTTACAAGGTTACCACCTTCAGTTTCTGAGGGTGCTGATGCATTACGTGGTGGAGAACCAGGACCTCATTTGCAGGTGAATGAGGGTTAGCACACCGTAACCCCCGGTTACAAGGTTACCACCTTCAGTTACTGAGGGTGCTGATGCGATACGTGGTGGAGAACCAGGACCTCATTTGCAGGTGAGGGTCACTGCATGCCTTGTTATGCATGCTAATCTGCTTCCATACATCTCTTACAGTGAATTTCATTTAGGGTCTTTCTCATATTTTTTCTGCATGTCTTTCACTGCCCACCTCCCGCTCCACTGCAGAGTGTCGGTGCGAGAGTCAGGCAAGGTGCTTGTGGATGCTGTGCTGTGCTGTGCTGTGCTGTGCTGTTTCTCATTGCCTTTCTCTCATATGCCCCTGCTTCACTTGCCCTGTCCATCTTTGCAGTTCTTTGTCTCAGCACGAGAGTCAGGCATGGTGCTGATGGATGCTGGCGCTACTGCTGTTCTTCTCTCATTGCCTTTCTCTCATCTCCCACTGCTTGGAATCTTTGAGAATTCTCAAAATCTCCCACTTCTTCCTTCTCCATGTCCACAACCCCAGGGTGTCGACGCGAGAGTCAGAAAAGGTGCTGGTGGATGCTGGTTCTTCAGTCTATTTCTCACTACCTTTGGTCTTCTGCCTCTATCCCTGCCCCCTACTCCCCACCTCATTCCCTCCAGGGTATCGGCGCGTGAGTCAGGAAAGGTGCTGGTGGATGCTGGGTTTGGGGAGATCCTGACGACGTGTGAGAAGATAGCATGGCTGCTAAGCGAAGGGGAGAGGTGGCTCAAGCCCGAATACAGGTCAGTCCTTGCGAGACAATGCAGTCACTGTGAGTAATTGCAGTAGTCAATGCAGTCAATGCATGTGAGTGAATGTGAGTCGGATGAGCCAGGTACTGGTGGATGCTGGCGTAGGTGAGAGTTCGATGACCTCCTTTGAGAGTTCGATGCCCTCCTTTTTTTTTTCGTCTTTTGCCCTCCTGTCATCTTTTCCTCCTCTCTGGTGCATGTGTCAGGTCTGTGGGTCGAACCATGATGCACAAGGTGGCTCGGGTTGAGTTTGAACCAGCAGGGGTGATCGGGGCCATAGTGCCGTGGAATTACCCTTTTCTCCCTTCTCTTTTCAGTCCTTCCTTCCCTTCCTCTTCCTTCCCTCTTTGACCCTCGTCTTCTCCCATCAACAACCCCAGGTCTGTGGGTCGAACGATGATGCACAAGATCGCTCGGGTGGAGTTTGAGCCGGCAGGAGTGATCGGGGCCATAGTGCCGTGGAACTACCCCTTCGGCTCGTCTCTATCGCCTTACCCTTCTCTTCCCCCAACCCCCCTCAACTGTCCTCCCTTACCTGTTCAGGTCTGTGGGTCGAACCATGATGCACAAGGTCGCAAGGGTGGAGTTTGAGCCAGCAGGAGTGATCGGAGCCATAGTGCCGTGGAACTACCCCTTCCACAATGTGCTCAACCCCGTGCTGTCTGCCGTGTTTGCTGGGAATGCTGCTGTGATCAAGGTGAGACAGTGTTTTCTGAGACGGGAAGGGGGAATGAGGGACAGAGGGACAAAGGGAGAAAGAGGCAGCCTTAAGGTGCAGGGGTGATCGGAGTCATGGTGGAACTACGCCTTCCACAACGTGCTCAACCCTGTGCTGTTTGCCGTATCCGCTGGGAATGATGCTGCTATCAAGGTGAAATAGAGTGAGGGACAGAGAGGGACAGAGACAGAGAGATAGGAAAACAGAGGGACAGAGAGGCAGAGGGATAAAGAGAGGCGCCATAGTGCCGTGTTTCACAACGTTCTCAACCTTGTTCTGTCTACCAGTAGTGGATCGACCACGAATTCTGGAACGACTTCAGCGTGGCGGATGACACGTGGCGGTATGCGCCACAAACATAGTTGATCATCGACCACGAGTTCTGGAAGGAGTTTAACGAGGAAGAATGCACGCGGCTGTCTGATATTTTGTGCTTCCCGGCGGTTGAAGATCTGTCAATCGAGCACACATTCTGGGAGGACTAAAGCGCGGAGGAGCAGACGTGGCTGTACGTTCCGGGGGTTTGTTCTGTGAGCCCGTTGTGACCCTCACGCTTGAAGTTGCCCCTGCTGCTAGCGGCACGTCAACAAACGGTTGCAGCAACTCTGTAATTGCCAGCAGCAGCGCCACGCGTGAGGGTCACAACGGGCTCACATAAACAAACCCCCAGGACGTACAGCCACGTTTGCTCCTCCTCGCTGTAGTCCTTCTAAATTGCGTGCTCGATGGACGAATCTTCAACCAGTGGGAAGCACAGCAGGTTAGGTAGCCTCGTGCATTCTTCATCACTGAACTCCTTACAGAACCCATGGTTGTTGCTCAACGATTTTTGCGATTCGTACAGCCACGTGCCATCCGCCACGCTGAAGTGATTCTAGAATTCATGGTCGATCGATCAACGAGAAAGAGAGAGACAACGACAGTGGTAGAGAGACAGAGGTACAGACAGACAGTTGTAGAGGGAGTGGGCACGATAGTGTCGTGGAATGGAACTATCCCTTCCACGACGTGCTCAACCCTGTGCTGTTTGCTGTAGTTGCTGGAATGCTGCTGTCATCATGGTGAGATGGAGGAAAAGACAGAGAAACAAGATAGGCAGAGACAGAGGAAGAGAGATAGAGAAATGGAGAAATAGGGGACGAGGAGAGATGTACAGAGAGAGGGGACGGATTGGATGGTGCCGGAGTGATTGGTTGGCACAGTAGTGCTGTGCAGGGAGGGAAGACCGGCCTTAATTCCTCAGTTCACCTCCCCTCTCTCCTTCCTCTTCTCCCTCGCAGGTATCAGAGCACGCCAGCTGGGGCGCGCATTACTACCTGGATATCATCCGCACGGCGCTAAAGGCTGTTGGAGGCCCGCCCGAGCTTGTGCATGTGATTACTGGGTGAGTGAGTGTGGTTGTGTGTGTGTGTGGGGGGGGGTCAGTGTGAGCTAAAGCTTCTAAACCTTAGGCCCACGCATGCAGCTGGTTGCAGTTCATCCCACCACCTGTGTCTCCATGTGCTTGTGCAAGTGCGGGTGTGCGTGCGTGTGCGTGTGTGCGTGTGTGCTTATGTGTGTGACTCTCTGCTGGCTGGCAGGTTTGGCCCTACGGGGTCAGCTCTGGTGCAGTCTGGTGTGGATCGACTCATCTTTGTGGGGTCAACTGCTGTGGGCAGGAAGGTGAGAGGGAGGGAACGGATGTGAGAGGAAGGAAAGGGTTTGAGCCCATGGGCTGGGGTCACATAGAGCTCTGGTGCAGTCCGGCTCATCTTTGTGGGGTCCACTGCTGTGGGCAGGAAGGTGAGAGGGAGGGAGCGGAGGTACGAGGAATGGTGCTGCTTGTCTCTCCTGTCCTTTGACCGGCATGCACTGGAGGGCTCTGAAGCGAATCTGATTGATGTGACAGATGCTCAACTTTCTTCCTCCCTTGACTTCACTCTGCGACTCCTCACCAACAGTTGCGCATCCTCTCTGCTTCTCTTCCGTGCCCGCCCTGACCGGCAGGTTCTGGAGGCGTCTGCAGTGAATCTAACACCCACGGTGCTGGAGCTGGGAGGCAAGGACGCGTTCATCGTGTGTGACGACGCGGACTTGAAGCAGGTGAGTTGATGTGGGCACACTCTCCTCGATTCACAACCTGACTGACTCTCACAGTCCTGGAGCTGGGAGGCAAGAAGACGTTCATAGTGTGTGATGACGCGGACTTGAAGCAGGTAGGGAGCTGGATTACTATGCAGTGGGCTTTTGAGGTACACTTTATTCGCAATCTCATCTCGCGCCGCCTGCGGTGCTGGACCTGGGAGGCAAGGACGCATCTATAGTGTGTGATGACGCGGGCTTGAAGCAGGTAAGGAAGACATGAATTTCGATGCAGTGGGCAGTTGTGATAGACCCCATCTTTTACAACCTGACCTGATACAACTGCCCACAGTGCTGGAGCTGAGAGAGGCAAGGACGCATCTATAGTGTGTGATGACGCGGACTTGAAACAGGTAAGGCGATTCGGGTACACCTCACTAGCTAGCGTTAGGCCTTTCCCGGTGCTGGAGCTGGGAGGGAAGGACACGTTCATAGTGTGTGATGACGCGGTCCTGAAACAGGTGAGTTGATGTGATGTGAGGTGTACTGGAGGTGTATTTTGAATTGATTCAAATTACATGAAATGCATGTGGGATAGGCGAAGACTATTGAGGCGTCTCAAGAGTTGATGTGAGGTGCACTGCAGGTGTCTTTTGAGTTGACTCAAATTACATGAGGTGCATTTTTCTCGAGTGACAGCCTGATTCTCCTGGTGCTGGAAATGGGATGCAAAGGTGCGTTCTTGTGCTCTGCTGCCCTCCTCCTTCTCGTTCTTGTGCCCTGCTCTGCTGCCCTCCTTCTCTCCCGGAGGCGTGAAAGACCACCCTGATACTGAACCTGCCTGCCCTTCTCTTCCTCCTCCTCTCTCTCCTTCTCTCCTACGGCTGCCTTCCTTTCAGGTCGTCCCCATCACTCTGAAAGCTGTTTTCCAGTGCAGCGGGCCGAACTGCATTGGGGCAGAGCGGTTCTTCTCTGGCAGAGCGAGAAGGGATTGGGGCGGAGCGGTTCTTCTGGCAGTATGCCTTGGGAACAATCACTTTCTGAGACGTCTCAAAAGTCGGTTCTTCTGGCAGTATGCCTTGGGAACAATCACTTCTCGCTCCCCATCCATCCCTCCATCCTTTTGACAACCCTCTGTTCAACAACCTATCCTCTTCCCAACCCCCAACCCCTATTGAACTACGTCATCCCAAATATCCCCATCGTTCTGAGAGCCGTCTTTCAGTGCAGCGGGCAGAACTGCATTGGGGAGGAGAATACTGAAATCTCTACCGTCTTCCTCCCTTGCGCCCTCAACCCATTATTCCCCTCTGACTTTGTCATCCCAGGTCGTGCCCATAGCCCTGAGAGCCGTTTTTCAGTGCAGCGGGCAGAACTGCATTGGGGCAGAGCGGTTCTTTGTGCAGGCCGGCATCTACGACCAGTTTGTGGGGGAGGTGGTATCTGTGGCGCAGAAAATGAGACTGGTAGGTTGTAGTACCTTGGCAGAAGCAGGTTGTTGTGGGGGAGGTGATATCTGTGGAGCGGAGCAGAAAACGAGCAGCAGACGAGGCTCTAGATGAGAGGGATCCATGTTGGGTGGTAACTGGCTTGAAGCGCCCCCGGAACAACAGATTGTTGTGGGGGAGGTGGTATCTGTTGTGCAACAGACGAGTCGAGACGAGTGGGTAGGTGGTATTTGACTTGCTGGGAAACGGGGAGTGTGGGTGCGTTTTAGAGATAGCGTTTTGTTTGAGATTTAGAATTCATTAGCACCTGACACCAATTTTCCTTTTAGGTAAGGCGCCTGTGATAAGGACGTTGGGTACCTGATTAGGGTGTAACTTACAAAAGTTAGTCAGCTCACTTCTAAGTCGGCTCAGGAGTGTTCTTCTTTCCCCTCTCCTCTCTTTCTTTCCCCTCTCCTCTCTTTCTTTCCCCTCTCCTCTCTTTCTTTCCCCTCTGCCTTCCATGCTCCAGGGCTACCCTTTGGCAGATGAGTTGGGGGACGGAGAGCGAGATGGGATGAATGGGGGAAGGGAAAAGACAACTGTTCCTGCTTTCCAGCATGAAGGGGCGGGAGGTGGAGAAGTGGGAAGAGGTGGAAAGGAAGTGGAAACAGCTCTGGAAAAGGGAGAGAGAGGAGGGAGCAGTGGTGGGGGAGGAGGAGGAGGGGTGCAAGGGGGGGAGAGACGGGGAGAGTTCAGATCCACGTCAGCAGGGGGGGTTGCTGACATGGGTGCGATCTGCATGCCACATCACGTGCAGCGGCTGCAGCGATTGGTGGACGAGGCGGTGGGGCAGGGGGCACGGGTGGTGGTGGGGGGGAAGATACCGCTGGGAAGCTGTGAGGACCTCAGCTGCAGCCCTAGAGGGAGTGAGGTGGGAAGAGAAGGTTTTGGAGAAGCAGCAACAGTAGCCGCAGCAGGAACAGCAACACCAGCAGTAGCGGGAACAGCACCAGCAACAGGGGGAACAGTAGCATCAGCAGCAGCAGGAATAGCTTCTGAAGGAGCAGCCCTCCCCTTTGGCTCTTCCTCCTCCTGCCGCCCGTCCCTGGGGGGCCAGTTCTACCCTCCAACTGTACTCGTTAATGTGCGCCCCACTATGCGCATACTGCACGAGGAGGTTTTCGGCCCTATAATGTGCATCGTGAAATTTGAAAATGATGAAGAGGTGGTGGCGGCGGCGAATGACTGTCCGTTTGGGCTTGGATGTTCGGTGTTCTCCGGGGATAGGAGGCGCGCTGCTGCTATCGGGGCAGCGGTGAAATGTGGGATGGTGGCAGTCAATGATTTTGGCAGCACCTACATGTGCCAGTCGCTGCCGTTTGGTGGAGTGAAGGAGAGCGGTTTCGGCCGGTTTGCAGGGGTGGAGGGGCTGAGGGGGTGCTGTAACGAGAAGGCTATTGTGGAGGACAGATTCTTCTCTTTGATCAAAACCAACATTCCTCCTCCTCTCCAGGTATGTGCTGTCCTTTCTCTTGCCTCTCTGCCTCTTTGCCTCTCTGCTTCCAAGGATTCTTTGAGAAAATGTCAGTCCTCCACCTCTCCAGGTGCGTGCCATGCCTAAAAATACCTCGTGAGCATTTTTCCACCACTCTCACTCTCGTACGCCACTGCCCCTCTGAACCCCCTCACCCTCCTTCCCACATGCACAGTACCCCCTGACACCCAATGCAGTGCCATTCCAGCAGGGTCCTGCTGGAATGGCACTAGTGCTCTGTGGAGGGGCTCTTGTGCGCATGTTCTTCCCCCACACCCTGCTGGCAGCGTCATGTCCCGATTCACCCTTTTGCCCTGCCCTCCCCTTCTTGAACTCCCCTCAAACTCCCCTGCCTCCCCCTCCCCCTCCCCCCCGCATACACAGTACCCCCTGGCACCCAACGCAGTGCCATTCCAGCAGGCTCTGGTGCGCATGTTCTTCCCCCACACCTTCCTAGCCCAGCTCTCTGGCCTCTTCCACCTGCTGCTGGAGCTCCTGTTCTCTCTTAAGAGGACAAACACACAGCACGACCCAAGCCCGGCTGTCTTTGGTGCTGGTGCTGGTGCTGCCGCTGGTGCTGGTGCTGGAACCGCTGGTGCTGCAGCATCTGTCATTTTCCGACCTGCCTTGTGCCTTTGTCCCGCTATCCCCCAACCCTCCGCCCACCCCGCATACACAGTACCCCCTGGCACCCAACGCAGTGCCATTCCAGCAGGCTCTGGTGCGCATGTTCTTCGCCCACACCTTCCTAGCCCAGCTTTCTGGCCTCTTCCACCTGCTGCTGGAGCTCTTGCGCTCTCCCAAGAGGACAAACACACAGCAAGGGTCAAGCTCGGTCGCCCGTGGTGCTGGTGCAGCTTCTGCAGCACGGCGCAATTCAGGTGTAGCTGCATCAGGTGGTGAGAGGCCGCATATTGAGTAGAAGATACTGTTGCTTAGGACAAGGTACGCTGTTACACAAAGTATGTTCTGTTGCACAAGCTGCAGTCAGTATCCTGTGAAGGGTAGTCTCTAAGGCCGTTGAAATATTTTTGACATTTGTGACAGGCTTTCTTAGACAATCTACTACGGTACTTCAGACGTCTTTTGCAGTTCACACCATACCCATGTTAATGACACAAGATCCAGTTGTCATTCCCCAGGCTGTCTGAGGTCGGGTGCAGTCCTGCCTGATAGCGTAGGCAAGTTCTTGTTCTCTGATAGTTGGCAGGCTGACAAGCTTATTTTTAAAACAGTAAGTATACTCTACAGTACAGCATGCCTCTTTACTTCTTCTGCAGGGAGGCAAGCAGCTGGCCAGCACCGAACGCAGCAGCTCCACCAAACGCACACAACAGCGAAACCACAACCTGAAGCGCAATCAACCCAGTGCTGTCATCAGGCACGAAGTACACGAATGCAGGGCCAGCGAGGAGGAGGACGAAGGCGAGGGCTTGAAGAGTGCCAGGTGTCGACCGATCAGTGGCAGCGGAAAGGATACCGAACTCCTCGGCCTTGGAGAGAAGGCCGAGCTCCTCAATGGCTGTCAATGAGAGGCCGAATGACTCTGCGAGTGAGAGGAGGCCTGCTTGCTCGGCCTTGGAGAGCAACCGGAGATCCTCCACGCGTGAAAGCAGGCGGATTTCTGGGTCCGAGCCCACGACCTTTCCACGGACGCCCCCGCTCTTGTCCTCGCCGAAGAGCTCAACGACCTTGACCTGCAGGCATGAGGGAGGTGTTAACAAGGGAGCGATATATTGAGTGGTGCATAAACTAGGTGTATAATTATATTGATATTATCTGCACAAGCACGGATTCACTCGAGTTATGCTGCTGGCTCTCTTTCTTGAATGTGGTTAAAGAAGCCGGGCGTACGGCAATTATCCACCAATGGGGTGAATCGTCACCCCTTGACTCGACGTAACAACAGCGCTTGAAGTTAAAGATGCCCCAGTCTAAAACTATAATCAGGTTCGTGAAAACAACGCGTGTTCTTCAGTGCAATCTTTCAACGGTGGAGAAATTAAGGGCAGTACCGGAGCGAATGGTGTATAAGCAGGTGCTAGATATGGCACAATGAACAGTGGGGGTTTCACGAGAAAAACAGGCCTAAGATTGAAAACGTAAGGAAACGAATGCACTGGTACATGCAGAAAGTGCAACGACAAGGGATTAGCGAACAGAGTGCTTATACTTTTCAACAATAGGTCGCGAGAGGAAATCATTCGGAAGGGGAAAAGGCTAATTGAAGGAGTCGTACATTTCTCAAGACCTTGGTCCCAGCGCGAACGGTAAGGTTTCTCCTAGCCGGAGCTGCCTCGAGCTTCGGAAGGCCCACGGCGACAGGAGCCGCGAGGAAGGAGCTGCGGAGGACGACAGAGGCCATTGTGAGTTTGTTCTGAATTATCTCTGAAAATGCTAAGAGATAATTAGAGAGTCAGTCAGAACAAAGTCTCAAGGGCTAGAGACAGGGACCCAAAATTACTCCTGGTAGCAGTGTTCCAGCAAGAGTGACTGCTCTTTTCTTCAAAGACACAAAGCTGAAGTTGAGAGGGCTGTTGAGGTTCGGGCATGCCTAACCACAAGGCACACATACCTGACTCACCTCAGCCAGGTTCGGTAAGAGCTTAAACTCACCTTACCTGACTCATCCACAGCCTTCGAGGCTTGTCATTGGCTGACGAGGCCGTCTTGTCGGCTCGACACTAGCTTCGGAAATCTTTGGTAAGTGGCTGAGGGAGATTGGTGGGAGGCATTCCGCAAGGGAGGGAGGGGAGGAGCCTCACGGTCAGGAAGTGTCGACGTGGCAGAACCAAAGTGGGCAGTGTGTGCCTGCCGCTAGTTCTGGATTGCTGGGCATCTGCTGGAGTGGCACAGAAAGTCGCAGCGCGCCTGGGATCAGGCCCTCCACTGCAATTGGTGTTTCCCGGATGCCGATGTGAACCACCTTTCATCGCATGACAAGTGTGGGAGGTGCTTGTACTGTTTCGGAGGTACTCCATTAAGAGCCGAGAGAATGTGAAAGAAGAAAACAGTTACCCAGTTGTCATGGAAGAGTTCTTCAACACCAAGTCCTCAACATTCTTGCAGCATACTGGACATACAACTGCCATTCCTACAACACCAAGGAAAGCGCGCTGTAGATAACTACGCTATAATTTCCCAAAGCATTTACATCAGCAATGGCTTTGACTAGTAACCCAAAGTATCACGGAGTGACATTAGAGCCCCGACTGAAGAGGGGGCAAACTTGCGTGCAAACAAAAAGCATGGAGCCCGCTCTCCAGCAACTCTGCACGGACCAGGAAAGGCAACGTCCAGAAGACCAACGTTCTCTGAAACTGCAAAATGACGCCTCTGCATCCTCTGTATCAAAGCCGCCGTCACACTGCTCCCACTGTACATTAACGGATGCTCAGCCTTGTAATGTGGCCAATCCACATGCATCACGGAGTGAGGCTCTATGCCTCTCCGATCATATCCCCAAACCAATGTCTGGATGTAACCCTCATCAGGATATTCCCCCCTGCCCCTGCCAAATGTCACGTAATACTTCATATCTCCCACCACCAAAGCTGCATGTGGCCGGGTCAGCACGAACCACTGAGAACCTTTTCTGATTTGCCACGGATGAACAATCTGACGCGGCATGAATATCCAGAAATATCGTGGAAACCTCCACCAGCGAAGGGCTGGAAGGATAGCCAGGAAGCTTCTATCCCCTGTAAAGAGGTACTCGTAAATAAAATCAAAGCTCCTAATGGAAATGCAGGCCTCTGACAGCAGCACGAACCGCTGATTCACTGGATTCTCAAGCCCTGCTGCAAGAAGACGCCTGGTAGCTTGAATCATTGATGGCATCCCCCTTACAATCCTCAATCCTGGAATCTGGGTCCCCCAGAATACACTGCCTTTCCCAACATTGTCGTGCATTCACGTCCCAGCCCTCTGTCGCCGCATGGACATAGATTGTGGCACGGTCCATGTTCCCACGGAAAAACTCCTCCCAGAGAGGCTGGAAGGGTAGAGGCCCTCGAGTGAGGAACAAGAAGGCGATTTTAGGTAGCGTCCCGTTAGGCAGGAGCATTGACGGTGTAAATGTAGGTGGATGCTTCGACTTCTCAACCACAGCTGCAACTGTCTTGTTATTGGCGTTTCGGTTTCTCTCCAGAGCTTGAATTGACAGCTGGCTGAGGTGTGAATGGTCCTCGTAATCCTCCTCCTCCTCCTCTTCACCCTCTAGGCCCTCTGTCCGATGGTGGTGGAGGCGTAGAGATGCTGGTAACTCGGTGATAGGAACGAGCTGATTGACTGGCGGTACGAATTGCCGCTCTGTCTCCATGGCTCGCTGAATCAGCATGCTGTCTGCGTCTTCGAAGAAGGTGTACGAGAACCAATAAGCGGAGAACAGCTGCCAGAAACCCACGGCCGCGATACAGTAAAAAATTGCTCCGAATACGAACACGCATTTGGAGAATGGCGATGTCGTGGCGATAAGGAGACGGAGTTTCGGGAAAAAAGATAGAGAATTAGGAGATTGATGTGGAGATTCCATCTGATCTGAAGACCCTGCTCGTTGTCTGCTGTATCGGCTTCCTCGCCTCACTCTACCCGGACCTTGACGACTGATAAGCTTTTCGTGGCCGTGCGATCTAATCGGCTGCGGATGGTCTTGCTGCTGTTGCTGCTGATGCTGATGTTGATGACGTCTATCTACAAACGGTTCACGCGCGTTCTCCGTCGTGACTCTGTCTTGATTAAATGTGGACTGTTGAGTTTCTAATTCGTACGGTTGCCGTCGGTGTGAAAAGTCGGTGTTTGCTGCAGGGACCAAAACGGCCGCTTCAATTGATTCCCCTCTCAGGCCTTCTTGTTCAACGACGGCAGTTCCTAGTCGTCGCTTCTCTGCCATTCAGGAACTAGTATCAGCTACGCCAATTCAGCTGGAGCTTCTCCAATTACGGCGCCTAAACTTCTCCTAGAAACCCCTAACCTTCCACACGTGTGAAACTTCATAGGTCTGACCGACAACTGGGCACTTACAACTAATTGACAGTCCAAGCAGGCACTTGGTCCAAGAAAGCAGAAGGACTAATCAGCTAGTTGAGAACGGAAAATGCGTACTGGGGTTCTATGGGGTGGGGGTTCTACTGTGGGATCTACACAAAGCAAGGGCGCGGACTAGTTTGCACGAGCAGTATGTTCTAGCCAAGACGAACCAAAGGCTGTGTTACCATTTGATTTAGGCGAACTCGTTGGTGCTGTTCGACAGCACCATTATATCTAAGAACCACGGGAAAGCGACGGGATCAGGAAGGTGGGTCTCGCCTTCCTGATCCCGTCAGTTAGAGTTCGTTAACCTCCGTCAGCTTGGTCAGCCCGTGAAAAAAGTGCCGAGCCTCACCTACCGTCCAAACCAACAAACAAAGTGGGCGTCTGGCGAACGCCCACTTTTCAACAACAAATCTAACAGTTCGACGGCATCGGGAAGCGGTGACGAAACTTCGTCCCCAGGCAAAACACCATCCCCTAGCCATGCCATCGCCATGCTGCGTTTTTCAAAGCACAGCGATGGCACAGCCGTCGCATTGCCGTTCAAAGGGGTTTGGGGGGAAGGTGGGGATGGAATTTCGCCTTTCGGGCGCGCGTAGTTTCTCGGGCGGCATTTCGCCCAAACCTCGGAGGAGGGTTCCGCCCCCGTTTCCATATGCGGTCGCGATGCTGATGCCATCGTTTTCAATTTAAAAAACGATTTGCTGTCGAACAGCACCGTTGTGTTCGTCGCCACTGCCCACAATACCAAATCCACCTGATCGATCAGGTTCTGCTCTCCTTTTCGGCGGACGGGTCAGCCGGGGAGAGTGGAGCTTTGACCAAAACGAACTGTTACACCCTATCTCCGCGAACACCCCCCACTCGTCGTCACAGCACCGTAACCAGCAATAACGAATGGAGTTCGGTATCTCCTTTGGCGAAAATGAACATCCACACCAGGAGTAATCCACCAAGCAGTTCGTCTTTGTGGCACCTCTGAGTCGAACCAAGGTCGTTCGGGTTCACAATCAGCAAAACAAGCTTCCAAGTTTCCTCCCCCTGAAGCCTCTGCCATCCATGTCCGTCCTCCTCAGGGTACCCCCCTTTTTTCCCCCAAACTAGGCTCTAGCCGTTGGCAAGTCCAGCTATGCTCACCGCGTCCTTAGGGTAGTGCTTATCCCCTTTTCACTTCCTGGGATTACCCTGCGTACTGTATTACATTTACCAGCGATTAGTTACCTCTGGTGATGGAGTCGGAACCTGCAAAACGGTTCAAATCAGGTGATCCACAACCGCCAGCATCCTCCGATGATTTTGAGTGTCGCCGATATTTGACGCCTGAAGGTTGTCCTTTCGGCGACAGATGCCGTTATCGCCATGGTGCCGAGGGTATGGATTTATCTTATGCTTTTCGCACGTAACATTGGTCTTCATGACCGACTAGGTTTTGAATCGTGTTTTTTCGCTCGGATATTATTCGACGTTACAGATTCAAGGGATTTGTTCCCCGACTCGAAGGCGAAGCCTTGCACAAAATTCTTCAGGTGCTTATTTGTTGCCCTCAGTATTTTTCACCAAATAACCTGCTTTGTCTTTTCGCTATATATCCTTGACTTACATTGATTTCCTGCTTCAATTCACAGCACTTCAGGCTGTCCGTACGGCGAAGAATGTCACTTTCAGCATTACGTCCCTGGCGGTATATCAGCTCTCGGAATTTCACCAAGACCCATGCCTCCTGGAATACCCGGATCCGGAGGCCCTTGGCCGCCTGCCGGAAGCCCCATGGGAAGAGGACCAGGTTCAGGCAGGCTCGGAGGAGGACACGACGGAGACGCTTCTAAGATCTGCAGACGTTTCACGGCACCAGGTGGATGCCGTTTTGGTGACCGTTGCCATTTCTCGCATGTAGAGCCTGATGCAATGGCCAGATCTCGTCCCCCTGGCCCCGGTATGGGTGGTCCAGGAGGGAGAGATTTTATGCCTGGCGACGGATACGGATCGGACTCCAGATATGGTGGTGGCCAATGGGAAGGACCTGGTGGATATAAAGGAGCGGGTGGTTTACCCATGGAGCCTGTATCTCCTGGGAGAGGCGGAGGAGGTCCCTTGGGACCTGCGTCCGATTTCGGATCTACTACCAGTGCCAAGATTCCCATCGACGCATCGCTCGTCGGTGCTATTATAGGAAAAGCCGGTTCTGTAATCAAGCAAATCCAGAGGCAGTCAGGAGCGAGGGTTGCTGTTCGGGACCATGAATCGGACACCAATCTCAGGAATGTCGAAATGGAGGGATCGCTTGAGCAAATTGAGTACGCGACAAGAATGGTTCGACAGCATTTGGCGGAGAGAGCAAATCAAGGCCCAGGAGGAGGTGGGGGTGGATTTGGCTCCGGTCCTCCCCGTGGGGGTGGTGGGAGGGGACCTTCCAGCCTGGGTCCACACAACTACAAGACGAGGATGTGCGAGAAACTTGAGAGTGGGACCTGCACGTTCGGATCTCGCTGCCACTTCGCTCATAACCCTGATGAGCTTCGATCTGCTCCACCAGGAGATTAAAAAAGGTGAGATCTCATCCGGTAAGTTGTCCAATAAACTGTTTCTAATTTCACAAGCATCAGTCAGATGTCATGTATCTTTGTTCTGGGAATACGCAATCTTGGCAACATGACTCAAGAAGGTGATTTTTGCAATTTCTCACATGCATTTGAAGAAATCATTTTTCACAGAGGGCCTGCTAACATTACTGGGTGATGCGTTTAACACATCAAATTTGTGACTTGCAGTGACGGATCAAGGGCGTACAATATTCAATCCAGAACAATCTAACAGACAAATAGTGTGCCGGATGAATCAGCAGTTTTTTGCAATCCATGAATGACGTCACTCAAGAAAGCCTCTGCAAGAATTCAGAATAAATGGTAATATTCAAGCTGGAGAAGTACCTGGACATTTTTACTGTAACACCGAAAAAGAGGACAGGGAATGTACTCGAGCAGGCTTAGCAATCAACAAGCCCGCTAAACGGATGTGGTGAATTAGGTTTTACAACGGAGTATTAGTGGGAGGTAACAATAGGGTTTTAAATTGCTGGCCAGAATCAAGCTTGGCGGTATGAATGGCTGGGTTATGATTTGGTGCAAGCTGGTGTGCAAACTAAACCTGCAATTATATAGTTACCAGGGTGAATTGTGGAAAGCAATTTTTGTGACCTGTTATACGTTTTAAGGTCTTGCAACCTGTGAGGGAAAGCAGTTGTCTTCCTCTAAATGTGCGTTGAAGATTTTGTTTTGCCTTTTTTCTCAGACATTAGAATGCGGTTGCGAGGTGTTAGGGTTGCTTGTGAACCTAATTTGTCATAAACTGAGCCGTTCCATCCGTAATCGTACTACTTGTTGAATGATTTCCTTGATCTCATCTCTGGCATTATTTGTCCAACCTATTCTTACTGTCGTAGTTGTCTGTCAGCAGTAGCATGCATGACTTCTGTTCTGTGTTGTTTGGTCGGAAGGCGATATGCATTGCACTGGCTCTCACATGGAAGCCAGAAAATGGATGGACCATTTACACCAGCCACACCAGGAGCAAGAGGTACGGTACCTTACATGCTGCCGCCACCACCAGCAGCTATTAGACAAGACTTAGACACACCACATGAGCATGCTCAACAGGTTACATGCATCACTTCAGTCACCACCACCAGACCAGCCTGCACACGTGCAGAGCAGCACGGTACATCCAACAGCCATCCATCACACCAGCACAGGCACATGTGCCACTATCTGCATCTCTCGTTCCGTTAAGTGTTTCCTGCTACTGCTGGTCAAATACACTACACCTGTGCACGGGCAATATCCAATTTCTTTCCACCCAATCCAGCTTGTATGTTTAGATTTCAGCTCTGTCAGGTATACCACAAAAATGAACTACAATTGAAATAAATTAAACAGGGCTGTTAAAACAAATATATCAAACCTCTGCCTGGATGTCAAAGCTTGTAGCAAGGCACTTCTGCCTCAGTACACCAAAGGCTGCAGTGACCAAATTCCTCCCAGCCGCAATACCGGTAGCACAGCACACTCACTTACACAAGCATTTGGCATCTGCCTTGGCCTTTCTGTCAACCCTGGCCCTCCCAAGGCTTATGAATCCATTCCCCTCACCCATATTTTATATTCCAGTAGACACCGCTTCTCACGCTGCGTAATCCACGCAACTTCCGAACTGAAGCGGTGCCATTGTCGCCACTTGTGGGCACACACACGGACACAGTCTTCAAGCCAGCAGCCATTGCCCGTGTCCTCCAACTGTCTGCGCGAGTTGCGGAGATGGCAGGACTCCCGTTCATTCGACTTCCAAGTTTGATTGAACTCTCACTTTCCTGCTTTCAACTTCCAGCTTTCAACCACAGCTTCATCCAGCCTCCCCCGACTTATCCTATCGTTCTCCATCTTCACCCAATTTCATCTCCACCTTCACCAGTTTCATCTCCAGCTTCACCCAGTTTCATCTCCAGCTTCACCCAGATTTCCCAACCACAGCACTAAATCAGCTGCAGGGTTGGCTCGAGTTAACCAACATGTTGGGTGATTTCACCCCATTGCCCTCTAACACCCATGAAATCTGCCTCTTCCTAAGATAAAGTAATAAAATTTTGCATCGTAGCTGATCTCTCGCAGGCAACCCATGCGCGCAGCCTCTCTTCGAGACCTTCAGCTCCGTCTGAGCTGAGTCTGCTTCCACACGCTGTCCATCTGAGGCTCCTCCTCCCGCGGCCCGTACAAATGCAAAACTTTGCATCACAATTCCTTCAGGGAGCTCACCAATAGCCAGTTCTATTCGGCTACAAGATGGCACGCCTGCACCCGCTCGTCTCCTTTTTCGGCTCCACCTGAATTTTCTTCCAGCCACTGTCCATTTGAGCCTCTCCCCTTGGCCCATGCAACCATGACCACCCACAGCCACAGCCACTGCAACCAACCATAGCCTCTTCTACTCGGCTACAAGATGCCACACCCACACCCGCTCGCCTCTTTCTTCAGCTCCACCTGAATTTTCTTCCACCCGCTGTCCATCTGATGCTCTTCTCTCGGCCCATGCGAATTCAGTTAGTCCCAACATGAACCATTGAAACGCCTCATATGACAGCTGCTACCCCTCAAAGCTACAAGATCACACACCCACACCCGCTCGCCTCTTTCTTCGGCTCCACCTGAATTTTCTTCCACCCGCTGTCCATCTGAGGCTCTTCTCTCGGCCCATGCCGCGACGCTATCCCATCCTGAGAACCATCATTCCCCCCTCCGCCCCCCCCTCCCCCGCCTAATGCGGTGCCAGGTGGCGGCACGCCGTTCGTCGCCTTCCCTCCCGGGCCAAGAGGAGGCTTGCTGCTGCTGGAGTCTGGTCCAGGAACAGGCACTATCGAGTCGTCAACCCTGCAACAGAGAAGTGAGAAGAGAAAGGAGGGGGGCAGGAGGGGGAATGGTTTAAGACGCCTAGTAAGGAGGCTTGCTGCTGCTGGAGTCTGGTCCGGGAACAGGCACTATCGAGTTGTCAACCCTGGATATAAATAGAAGAAGGGGGGGTTGTGGTTTTGTGGGGGGGATGGGGGAGTGTTAGGGGGGAAAAGTGCCTAGAAAGGAGGTTTGCTGCTGGCGTCTGCTCCTGGAACAGGCACGATTATATCCTGGAGTAATTTTTCAGATTAGGAAAAGAACAAAAAAAAGGAGAAGACTTTAACGATCCTGGAACAGCCACGACCATATCGCCAACCCTGGAACAGAGAAGCAGGAGGAAGAAAGAGAGGAATGTTGGGGGGGGGAGGGGGGGGTGGTGGGGAATGTTGCAGGCACCTCGAGAGGTCTGGGAACAGGTGCAATCATGTCGGCCCCCCCGTTCCCCCCCCCCCCATCCTCCTGAACAGTTATTCTTTCCCCATCCTCCTTTCCCCAACACTAACCAACCCACCCTTCTCCCCCTTTTCCAACTCACTTGTTGCGGCTCCTCCCATCCCCGATTCTCTCCACGTAAGCCACAATCTCGTCAAAGTCGGGCCGCTTGTCGGGTTCCCTAACCCTTAGTGGGAATATACGCTCAGAACCTAAAGCGTATAGCGTATATACGCTTGCGTTCAAACGCAAAACGCTATACGCTAGCTAATACGCTATACGCTTTCAGTTTTTTTTTAGGGGCTGCCCGGGAAAAAAATTCGTGTGTATACGGAAAGATGCGGAATCTCCTGGTGAGCATTTCGCCGAAGTCGAGGTGCAATTCGGGGTTGTAGGGAAGTGGGAATGTGCCTTACATTCGCGTCTGGCAATTCAGATCTACAATTTTGATTAGTACTATATTGAAATCCATCCCATCTACGAACTCCAACCTGTCAAAAACGCCCCCCCAACAGACCCCACTCACGCAACTAACCAGCCAGCCCAACTGCACTCGACATTTCCTGCTTCCCAACAGAGCTCATCCCGATTCCTACTTCTCCTTCTAGCGATAGTGTCTACTACACATCCCACCCTAATCGAAGTTCAGTCTTAGGAGAATGCTACGAAATTCTTAGTGAACTCACCTTCCCGATCTTGAGCGCGACAACCCAGCAAACTACACACCTTCCCGATGTTGAGCGCGACATTGTTTTTCACCCTGCCCGGGAATTTTTTTCCCTGCCCGGAAAAGCGGATTCCCAAAGCCGACCCTTGAGCGTTTAGCGTATATACGTTAGCGTAAATACGATACGCGTATATACGCTATACGCGTACATTCCCACTAAGCCCTAACCCAACAGCGTGTGACAAAATCCCCCACCTGTCCGCCCCATGCCATCTTGACTTTTGAGTCGACTCAAAAGCCCACCTGTCCGCCCCATGCCATCTTGACTTTTGAGTCGACTCAAAAGCCCACCTGTCCGCCCCATGCCATCTTGCCTTTTGAGTCGACTCAAAAGCCCACCTGTCCGCCCCATGCCATCTTGACTTTTGAGTCGACTCAAAAGCCCACCTGTCCGCCCCATGCCATCTTGACTTTTGAGTCGACTCAAAAGCCCACCTGTCCGCCCCATGCCATCTTGACTTTTGAGTCGACTCAAAAGCCCACCTGTCCGCCCCATGCCATCTTGACTTTTGAGTCGACTCAAAAGCCCACCTGTCCGCCCCATGCCATCTTGCCCATCCTCCTCCCCAAACACTCAAACGGCCTCCCCTGCCCCCCACTCCCGTCCGTTTCCCCCAAACCCAACCCCCCCCACTTCCACACCCACCCTTGCTTTCCGACTCACCTGTTGCGGCTCCTCCCATCCCAGAATCTCTCCAGGTAAGCCACAATCTCGTCAAATTCTGGCCGCTTGGCCCTAGGTTCGTTTCCCATTCCCCCCATCCTTCTGCCCCTAACATCCCTCCCCCACAACCTCTCCCCGCCCCCACCCCACCGATTCACTTGTTGCGGCTCCTCCCATCCCAGAATCTCTCCAGGTAAGCCACAATCTCGTCAAAGTCAGGTTGCTTGTCACAGCAGTACATACTCCCATTCCCCTACCCTCTGTTCCGCCCCAACCCCCCAAACTCACTTGTTGCAGCTCCGCCCATCCCCGATTCTCTCCAGGTAAGCCACAATCTCGTCAAAGTCAGGCCGCTTGTCACCCACCCAGGGCCGTTTTCCCCATCCTCCTGCCCATGGCATTCCCTCCTCTCCCTCTCCCCCCCCCCCCAGCCAACTCACTTGTTGCGGCTCCGCCCATCCCCGATTCTCTCCAGGTAAGCCACAATCTCGTCAAAGTCAGGCCGCTTGTCTGGGTCCTTATCCCAGCAGCGCGTGATGAGCTTCGTGATCTGGCTGGGGCAGTCCTTAGTGGGGGGGCGGAGGTTCTGACGGGTGAGGGGGAGCAGTGGGGCGGGAGGACGGGGGGAAGGAGGTAAGCAAAAGGGGGGAAAGGAGCTCAATCTGACTCCAAGGTTGAAAAAAAACGCGGCTCAGAAGGATCAAAGGCCGGCCGCTTGTCGGGGTCCTTATCCCAGCAGCACGTGATGAGGTGACTTTTGAGTCGACTCAAAAGTCACCTCGGGGTCCTTATCCCAGCAGCGCGTGATGAGGTGACTTTTGAGTCGACTCAAAAGTCACCTTGGGGTCCTTATCCCAGCAGCGCGTCATGAGGTGACTTTTGAGTCGACTCAAAAGTCACCTCGGGGTCCTTATCCCAGCAGCGCGTGATGAGGTGACTTTTGAGTCGACTCAAAAGTCACCTCGGGGTCCTTATCCCAGCAGCGCGTGATGAGCTTCGTGCTATAAGTGGGACAGTCCTTGGTTGGGGGCCGGAGGTTCTGTGGGGGAGGAGCAAGAGGGAGGGGAATCGGAGGGGAGGGGAATCGGAGGGGAGGGGAATCGGAGGGGAAGGTTTGGATGGGCGTAGGGTTCAGACACACCAACTGTCAAAGAAGCGTGTGGTGTGGTGAGCTTCGTGATTTGAGTGGCGCAGTCCTTGGTGGGAGGGTGGAGGTTCTGTTGGGTAAAGAAGAGAAGTGGGGCGTGGGGAGAATTGGGAGGGTGTGGGGGGGAGTGGAGGGGAAGGAGGGGGGAAGAGGGGAGGAAAATGCTTGATTTGGTTGGGTTTGAAAAGATAACAGCTTAAAACGTTAAAAGTTCCTCAAAGGGCCACTGCGCCGTGCAGATCTGCAACTCACATCGGCAACAATGGCGTGAGATAGCTGCACAAAGGACAGCCCTTCAAAGGGCTACTGGGCCGTGGCTCAGCAGCAGTGGTGGGGACCTAGGCTAGTTCAAGCAACAGGAACACAAGCAGGGCCGTATCAACCCACACCACACACCCCCAAGCCAACTCACATCGGCAACAATGGCGTGAGCTAGCTGCACAAAGGACAGCCCTTCAAAGGGCCACTGGGCCGTGCAGATCTCCCACAGCACGATGCCATAGGAGTAGACATCCACCTTGCGTGTGTACGGCTTGTGGTCGATCATCTGCAGTGAACGGTGCACAGGCACAAGGGGTTGGAAAACAGGAAGAGGGCTTCAGAGGGAAGGGTTGGAAAACAGGAAGGGGGCTTCAGAGGGAAGGGTTGGAAAACAGGAAGGGGGCTTCAGAGGGAAGGGTTGGAAAACAGGAAGGGGGCTTCAGAGGGAAGGGTTGGAAAACAGGAAGGGGGCTTCAGAGGGAAGGGTTGGAAAACAGGAAGGGGGCTTCAGAGGGAAGGGTTGGAAAACAGGAAGGGGGCTTCAGAGGGAAGGGTTGGAAAACAGGAAGGGGGCTTCAGAGGGAAGGGTTGGAAAACAGGAAGGGGGCTTCAGAGGGAAGGGTTGGAAAACAGGAAGGGGGCTTCAGAGGGAAGGGTTGGAAAACAGGAAGGGGGCTTCAGAGGGAAGGGTTGGAAAACAGGAAGGGGGCTTCAGAGGTGAATCTCCCACACCACAGCATGATGCCGTAGCTGTATGGCTGTCCACCTTGCGTGTGTACGGCTTGTGGTCGATCATCTGAAACGGGGAGAAGAAAGGGATGGGGAATAAATGTGAACTGGGGAGATCGGGTTTAAATAGCAGATTTCCCACAGCACGATGCTGCATGTAGCAGCACGACACACGTCCACCTCCCTGGTGTATGGATTGTGGTCGATCACCTGATGCGGAGAGAAGGGGAAATCAAGGATGGGCGTTGCATGGTGTGTGTGCGAGATAAGGGCCGCAAGCACCCAGGTATCATCCCCCTTCCTCAGGTACCCTCCCTTCCTCCCAACCACCCACCCACCTCAGGCGCCATCCATCGGATGGTGCCCGTCTCAGCCGTCATGTTGCCCAGCTCCTGTGCGTCTGTCTGCGCCAGCCCAGAGGTGAGGTGAGGTGAGGTGAGGTGACGCCCCTCAAACCATACACAGACACAACCGCCAAGCCCTTCAACCTCCCACCCACCCTCTCCCCTCACCTCAGGCGCCATCCATCGGATGATGCCCGTCTCAGCCGTCATGTTTCCCGGCTCCTGTGCCTCCGTGCCCTCCAGAGCAGATACAGGCACACCAGGTCTCAGCTCACCCCACACCCCCTCTTTCACCACACCCACTGCTCACCTCTGGCGCCATCCACCGGATCGTGCCCGTTTCAGCCGTCATGTTCCCCGGCTCCTGCGCCTCTGTCCTCGCCAGCCCGAAATCCGCCACCTTCACGGCTCCAGTTGAGTTGAGCAGCAGATTCGCGGACTTGAGATCCCTGTGGGTGGAGGGGGGGAGGGGAAGGAGGGGTACAGAGGGGGAAGGGTCAATCACCCAATCATCAGATCAGATTTCGCCGCCTTCTCCAGCCCGGATGGAACGAGCAGCAGATTCGCCGACTTGTGGTCTCTGTAGGTGGGGAGGGAGGGGTGGGTGGGAAGGGACAGGGCAGATGGGTGGGCGTACAGTGGATGTGTTTGGGAGGGAAGGCAGAGGAGAGGAGAGGAGTGGGGTTGTGAGGGAGACAATGGTAAAGACACCCACCTGTGGATGATGCTGTTGGAGTGCAGGTACTGCATGCCTTGCGACACGTCTAAAGTTGGTTTTTGAGAATTCTCAAAAACCAACAGGTACTGCACGCCTTGCGACACATCTAAAGCCATGGCCGCTATCTGCTTGAACCAGTTTTAAGTTGAATCAAACACCCCATCCCCCCCTCCCCCCTTCACCCAACCCCCCACCCAATTCTTACCCCACTCCCTTATAATACGCACCTCTGGATGATGCTGTTGCAGTGCAGGTACTGCATGTCTCGCGACACGTCTAGAGCCATGGCCACTATCTGCTTGAACCAGTTTTGAGTCGAGTCGAACCCAACCCCCTGTCCCCCCTGCCCCACCCCTTCCTCCACCCCTCTCCACCCAAAACGCACCTGTGGATGATGTTGTTGGAGAGCAGGTACTGCATGCCTCGCGCCACGTCCAGAGCCAGATGTGGCGAAGTGCAAGGATGTCATGCTGCATGCAAGCCACGTCCGACAGTTTGTTCCTTGAGACACCCACCAGTGAATGATGTTGTTGGAATGCAGGTACTGCATGCCCCGTGCCACGTCCAGAGCCATGGCTGCTATCTGCTTGAGCGACAGGCGGCGCTTGCCCAGGCGGGATAGGAAGCCCTTGACAGATGGTAGACCAAGGGCATTGTGGTGGTTTCCGAGCCAAGCCACACACGCACCTGTGGATGATGTTGTTGGAATGCAGGTACTGCATGCCTCGCGCCACGTCCAGAGCCATGGCCGCTATCTGCTTGAGCGACAGGCGGCGCTTGCCCAGGCGCGACAGGAAGCCCTTGACTGTGCCGCCATCTAGGAACTCCGTCACGATTGCCCACTTGGGCGGGTTGATGTACGCTCCTAGGAACTGGTGTTGAGAGGGGATGGTGCGGGGAAGGGGGGTGGGGGGTTTGGGGGGAGGGGGAGGGAGAAAAATGGAGGGAGGAGGGAGGAGGGAGGTAGGAGAGAGACAGAAAGAGGGAAGGAGGGAGGGAGGAGAGGAAGAGAGAGAGAGGGAGGCTGGTTGAGCGACAGGCGGCGCTTGCCCAGGCGGGAGAGAAAGCCCTTGACTGTGCCGCTGTCTAGGAACTCTGTCACTATGGTCCACTTGGGCGGGTTGATGTACGCTCCTAGGAACTGGAGAAATGGAAGGAGTGGTGAGGGACGGAGGGGAAAATGGAAGGAGTGGGGTGGGGTGTGAGGAGAAAGTGCAGGGCAGCAGAAAGCCTTTTAGTGACTGCGTATGTCATATCTCCATCCTGATAAATTTCTCGTCAGTAATGTCCTTGGGGTGAGAAGAAGAAAGTTGGATACCAGGAGATGTAAGCCTTTTAGCGCGAGGCAGAGGAGATGGGGGACAAGGGATGGGAGAGGGAGGGGGGGGGGGGGAGGGAGGGAGGATGGCAGAAAAACTTTCACTGTGCCACCCAAACATAGCGACTCCTGTCCTGGCCTGACCTTAGCAACGCCTAGTTTCACCTTTTCACTTGCATCTTGTACCTTTAAGAATCTAAACTCGTCATTGCGTGTAAATTATGTGTTTAATCTGCTATGGCTTCGTGCTTTGAGTCCTGAACAACGAAATACACTCCAAGCACGAACGCGATCCGAGAGAATTGCTTCTATGGGAGAAACGAAGGAAAACCGAGAGCTGGTAACGATTGTCCCAACCGAATCCTCTCGCAAGAACCTAACCAATGAATGACTTGACTGGTTCGTTTCGTACCTGGGACTCGGGGTCTCTATCTCGACGTAACGGACACGTGGACGACGCTGGGTTTGCACCTGTGCGACGTTGGGGTCGTTGAGCTTACGCCAAACCGGTCACCTTCTGTTCGAAACCCTCGTTTCGCGCCCAGAGGCAATCAAATCGTACCCACCCTCGAAACCCTCCGTACGTACACTCTCGGGAAACCGGAGAATCGTACGAACCTGGACGACGTTGGGGTGGTTGAGTTTATGCCACACGGACACCTCTTGCCGGAACCCCCGTTTCGCGCGATTCAACTCGTCCTCGCTAGAAGCTTCAGGGAAGAGCAGAAACTTTATCGCGACGCGCGTGCCTCGATACGTTCCGGAATGCACCACGCCGAACGACCCTGTTGCGATCAGCTCACCCAATTCGACCTGGAAATTAGAAATGATCGTGGAAAGTGCGTGGGTGGGTGGTTGGATGGGTGACATTCGGGGAGAGAGGTGGGAACGGAGGGGGGGAAATTAAGAGGCCGGCCCAAGCCAATCGGGAAAGCCGGATCTTAATATCACACAGGTGCCTAGGTGCACCAATTCAAAGGGTCGTGCCTAGGGTTCATATGTCGCCTTCGCGAGCACGCGACTACTGCGACTCCTGCGACGACGCGAGTCGCACCAGCGACTCCTGCGGTTCCCGCGACTTTTAAGAATGGTCGATCGCATACCTCTGAGAAATCTATCGCCCACGCTGTTGACCCGGACGCGTCGCCTCCGCTAGGCGATCCTTCAATGCCGCGACCCCCGCTACCGGCGCCGGATGACTGCTGACTGCCATGGCTGCCTTTGCTGTTCTCCTCCTCGCCGTTTCGGACCCGGTCTCGCCGCGGGTTGCGGCTTCCTCTTGCGGAACCGTACACGCCGCCGGTCATTGGCGTTGTCGCTGCGGAAATAAATCGTCGATGGGGGAATACAAGAAGATAATGTTACACATTCTGCGACTCTTGGGCAATATCAGAGCTATAAAACCGGGGGCGTGACTGACAGGGGAAGGACGACCTAACGGAGAGTATGGGAAAACCATTACGCATGGCATGAAAAGAGACAAGCAAGACAACGGGGAACAAAAAAACGAGCTCAAAGACCAAATGGAACGCGTTAAACGAGCTTGAAAAGAACGGTCGGTGGCCACATAAACCTTACAACAAATGTAACGGGAGGTTCGGTGGGAAACAATACCTGAAGTGTGATATTAGTTTCAGCTTGATTGGAATATTGATCCACTCAGACGTCCAGATCTTACGACCACGGTGACTTTGTGGTAACCCTAAAATGCCCGAAGGGTGACCCTGAGCTGCAGATCGGAAATGCTAAGACTGGTGCTGCTAACTTAACGACAAAAGGCATAGAGCTCTCATTCTAGTCGTCTCGAAGATAATGTGCAAATGTGCCTTGTTAGTCCTTGTCTTCACGACTGGTAATCCTGCTGCCTTGTCCTTACACAAACTGCTCTGCCGCGTTGCGAACTAATTACGACGTGAAAACGATTTTCGACAACATGGCAACGAATGGCGACGATTGGCGTCGAATTCGTCGTCGAAAGGATGCCATGAACGTTTTGAAGAGATCGTAATCAAAGCAGTGACCACAGAGGCGTTAACGCTGAGAGGATGGTTTGTCTAGGAGAAACGGGACGATGAGCGTAGCAGACGGAGACGGTACCGGGAGCTAGGTCAGGAGCACTTTTGAAGGTGGAAAGGCGAAAGTTATGCCATTACTCTACATTTATCTGAATTCAAAGTACGCTGTAAGGTGAGCTGCGATAGAGGATGGTTGATAGAGGACGATGACAACTTGTATGATCACAGCAGGTGAGCATAATCAATGCAGGTGCTGCTAACTTACGCAGCGCGGGAGAGAGAGAGGATGAGGTGAGGTGACATGAGGTGAGGAGGATGTCAAGTAAAGCAGTCATGCTAGGAAAGCGCAAGCTTGAATTAAATGGTGCTGCAGTGTCCGCCATGAAAAAAACTTCTGCTCTCCGCTCGCATGCTTGTGTGGGAAACTGTTGGTGGGAGACGGTGCTTCGCTGGCAGCAGCACAGTGGAGGTAAGTCATGAGCGCGTGCGGTGGAAAATGGCATGTTCCGCAGAACTTCAGAGCTCAGCACTAGATGAACTTGGCGCAGTTTGTTGGTGATCGCTCAACGAAAAAAACATCCACAAGAGGCACCAAAATCCATGAAATCGCAGGCGATTTTGTTTGGTGGTTGGTGAAAAAACTTTTCTGGTATCTCGCTCACTTTCTAAACAAATGCGCGTGTGACCTTTCGTGGGGGAAACTGAGCCCAGATTGAAAGTTCGATTTGGGGGGGAAGGGGGGGGGGGGGGGGGGGGGGGGGGAGTACACGTACCTGGGCAGCCCTGCCCCTCCCGGATTGGGTGAAAGAGGAGATGATGTGGGTGTTCCAGAAGGCTTCTGCTGAGGTGTGTGAAACGGAGTGGATGGTCAGGGATGCAGCTGCCTAGAAGTCGTGTGTTTATGGTGCCCACAAACAAAATTGGACGGAAACCCGAGTTTCAAACCTGGCTCAGGGCTGTCGTTTCGTTTTGGGCCCCCCGGACAAATCAGGGGGCCCGGCATGTACGACCCTGTATTTAGCAGGGTTGGGACGAATCTCGGCCCTTTAGGCTTCAGGGCTGCAATTTATTCCTCCCTTTGAATTAGGCTTGGTACGATACTCTGAGATTAACTTCAACAAGCAAACAAAAAACCACTAGTTCGTGTCATTTCACTAAGCAGGCTGAGCAGGCCCCCTAGCCTGGCAGGCAGCACTGATGATCTTGTGCACGAGGGTGGGGTAGTCATATCGCCACTCTGATGGTGTTTTGCTAATGCTATGCCAATTCATGTTGTGATTGGCGAAGTTAGGGAGAAAGTACTAAGTTGTGATTGCCGATTCATTTTGTTAGGGAGCGAAGTTGTGATTGGCGCAAGTACTAAGTAAAGGTTGAGTGAAATTTGGGGCCTAACCACACCCAAATTTGCATTCTGGTCAGGACAGAAACGGGGGGGTTAGGAAATTGGAGGGGTTGCATAGAATCTACCCTTTACACACCGGGCCTCAGCCCGAAATCAGCCCTGTAAGGAATCAGGGCCAGAAATTTTCCAACCCATCAATTTCAGTTTCCAAGGGCGAATCAGCCCTGGAATTCAAGGTCCAGCAGGGCAAACGCCCTGCAAGCGACAGCCCTGCAAGCGACAGCCCTGACCTGGCTCCGTCGACACGCCCTCCCCAAGTCGAGTCTCTTGTTTGTCAAGCCTGAAGGTGCAGGCTCGGCACGAGCTTTTTCATGTCAAGGGCACGCCTGGGCCACAAAATAACACCATGCCTGTGGCCGCTGAAACGACAAATCTACCGAACCCGAATGCTTCTCACCCAAGCCAAACCGCACGCGACACGTCTGAGATCGAAAAATGCACGTGATGCTTTAGAGAAGCACAGACAATTTCGGGACATTTGTTCCTCTCGCAGGAGCGCCGTTCGAAGGCTTAGCAGCAATGACTGACTAAATTGCGTTCTGCGACCTTTCAACATGTTTACATTCATGTACCTAGTTGGCAGTCGTTTCAGTGCAGCGCTGTTGCACCTATAACGCGCGGGTCGTTGCCTCCAAATCGAGCGTTTCTAGTGTACAACAGCGAAAGACGGCAATGGAAGACCTTTTCCAGGGCAGGGGCAGAAGGTACAATTGTACACATCTTGCTCAACCACTTCTTGCGAATTTTTTTCTCAAGCGAAAGAAAGCCTGCACCCGTGTCTTTTGCGCCAGCCAGTTGCACCCTATTTACAAGCACCTCGAGCAAGCTGCAGTGATTTGAACCAATGCCAACCACAGAAACCAAAGTTTGACCGAAGAGACTGAAGTCAAAAGATCAACAGCGAGTTACAAAAATTTTCATAAGCCCTTTTTGCTAAGTGCGAATCGACGAGAACTTAGCGAATCAAAAGAATCCCTTAGAAGCCCAATCACAAGGCAACCTTAGGTTAGTCAAACGAGCATCATGTGTACCACGGCTGGAAACGAATGCCGTGCGCTGCGGCAATTTGGGATCAGTGTTCCGAAGTTCTCAACTGAGGGCGCATTCGTGGCTCTGGTCAGAACCTCTCGTCAAACGAAATCATGCCTATTTCTCACCAATTGTGCTAATACCAAGGATGGCTACAGTAATGACAAGAGGTTTGACCCGAGGTTAGACCAGAGCCCCGAATGCGCCCTGACCCAGCTGTAGTTCGACGCCCATGAGATCAGGGAAGGAAAAATACTGTACAGCATCACCTGTGAGTACACGAGAGTTGCAAGCTCAACCCTGCTTTGTCCGCAGTGTACGTTTCGGTAAGCCCCAGGTCAAACGGTGCTGCACTTCGAAAATAGAAACTCTCCTGCCTAAAACATGTCTCAAACAACCGTGAAGATCCTATTGAAACTACAGTTTTGAGCCAGAGGGGGTCAATATACAAGAAGCATAAAAGAAACACACCAAGATAGAAGCAAACAAGACGATGAATGAAAGAAGAAAGATCCACAAGTCTAGGATGAAGGGAAGGGGTAAATAAAAAGCCGGAGGAGCACGGAGAAGTGCAGAGCCACCCACAAGCGACAGATGGATCAAGGGTGGCAGGTTTGTCAGAAAAGAAGCAAGGCCAGTTCGGCAAAGGTAGCAGGGCAGGTTCGGAAGATCAAGATTTGTAAATAAGGAGTGGGATGGAGGCTTGGCTTGGTGGAGGTTCATGATGTGAGCGTTGCAGTTACTGCTGCTGTTCCGGGTGTAACTGTAACCATTGCGTTACAGTTACCAGGTGCAGTGGCTGCAAGCACAAAGTACATGACAAGGAAGTTATCAACCCTGTGTCTACGATGTTGTCTCTGCTGCAGCAGCTGGTGCTGCTGCTCCGCTGTCCTCTGCCTTATCCGCTACAGCCGCCTCCTTCCCTCCATCCCCCCCCTTCGCTTCTCCCCCCACAGCCCCACCCCCTGCCTCTGAAACAGCAGGACCTTCCCCCTCTCCCTTCTTCCCCTCCTTCCCTTCCTCCACCTTCTCCTCCTTCCCCTTCTCCCCTCCCCCGGTCCCCCCTCCCCCCTTCTCCCCACCCGCTTTCTCCCCCTTCGCCTTGGCCTGGGCGTCAGCCAGGGCGCGTTTCTGCGCATCCTTGGCAGCCCTGAAGTCAGCCATGGTTCGGAACTTCTCATTTAGAAGCTTCTCGAGCTCTGGGTGCTTCTTGACCTCCCGCGTGTCCTTGTCCTTGCGGTAAAAGTGGTACGCCCTGAGATAAGGAGAAGCGGAAACAGCATCATTCAGAAGCGGAATGTGAGGGAGGGGAGGGAGTAAGGGGGGTGCTTCTTCACCTCCCACGTGTCTTTGTCCTTGCGGTAAAAGTGGTACGCCCTGTGGGGGAGGAATGGATCTGAAGAGAACTCACAGTAAATTCTTGGTTCCCATACCATCCCATCCCATCCCGTCCCGTCGTGTCCCATCCCATCCCATCCCATCCCATCCCATCCCATCCCATCCCATCCCATCCCATCCCATCCCATCCCATCCCATCCCATCCCATCCCATCCCATCCCATCCCATCCCATCCCATCCCATCCAATCCCATCCCTCACCCAGTGCAATCAACTCACCAGTATTTCTCGAGCCCATAAAGGTTGCCATCCCGCTGGTACATATGCAGAGTCAGCTGCTCCATTGATCACACACACGGACACACTTCAACCCATCCCCATCCCACCTCAACCAGTGCAATCAACTCACCAGTATTTCTCGAGCCCATAAAGGTTGCCATCCCACTGGTACATATGCAGAGTCAGCTGCTCCATTGATCACACACACGGACACACTTCAACCCATTCCCATCCCACCTCACCCAGTGCAATCAACTCACCAGTATTTCTCGAGCCCATACAGGTTCCCGTCCCGCTGGTACATGTCCAGAGTCAGCTGCTCGAAGTCAGCGTACATGGGCTCCTCGAACTTGGACTCCAGGCCATAGCTGGAGGTTGCAGTGGTGGAAAGGAGTGGAAGTGAGTGGAAGGGGGTGGAAAGAAGCAGAAAAGGGTCGAAGGTTTGTAGGAGGAGGTCAGAGTCAGCTGCTCGAAGTCAGTGTACATGAGCAACTAAAAACACGTTTTATTAGAGGGTACTTGGCTAAGTGGCAGTACCTGTAGAAGCGAGGGCGGCACTCCATCCCATAATAGTACTTGGAAGCTGCGTCCTCAGTGTCTAGAAGTGTTATGAGTGTGATAAAACACATGGCACGTACCTGTAGAAGCGGAAGAGGCACTCCATGCCATAATAGTACTTGGAAGCTGCGTCCTCAGTGACGAGCTCAGTTATTTTAAAAAACGTTTAGATAAGCATAGCACACAGCTGTAGAAGCGCATAACACGTACCTGTAGAAGCGGAAGAGGCACTCCATGCCATAATAGTACTTGGAAGCTGCATCCTCAGCAGCAAGCCTCTTGAAGTCGTCGTACATCTGCTGGTTGAAGTTCACCTTTCAGTCGACTCACAAAACCAGCACCATACCTGTAGAAGCGGAAGAGGCATTCCATGCCATAATAGTACTTGGAAGCCGCATCCTCAACAGCGAGCCTCATGTAGTGGTAACTACTAAGAGACATAGAACACACCTGTAGAAGCGCATAGCACACAGCTGTAGAAGCGAATAGCACACACCTGTAGAAGCGGAAGAGGCACTCCATGCCATAATAGTACTTGGAAGCTGCATCCTCAGTGGCGAGCCTCTTGAAGTCGTCGTACATCTGCTGGTTAAAGTTCTTGCGCAGGAAGTAGCACCAGAAACGGAACAGCGTGTTCATCTCCTGCTTGTTGAAAAAGGCGGGTGGGGAGGAGGAGGGGAAGGAAGGAGGGTGTGGATGGGGGAAGAGGGAAGTGGTAATCGCTGTGTACATCTGCTGCTTGAAGTCCTTGCTGGGGAAGAGAAGCAGCAGCAGGATCGGAACGGCGTGTGTAGGTTCTAGGGTAAGATTTGTTACGAGAACATCACCCTTGTGTCACCTCCAAAGCAGAACCACCTTCACCCCAAGTGACTCACCTCAGAGCGACCGCTGCCCAGCTTCTTGCGCTCCTTGAGACACCTCTTGTAGAAAGAGGAGTACCTGGAGAAGGGGGGAGAGGGGCAAAAGGCGATGCATGAGGTAAAGGCAAGAGAGAGGCATGAGGTAAAGGCAAGAGAGAGGCATGAGGTAAAGGCAAGAGAGAGGCATGAGGTAAGAGGCAAGAGAGAGGCATGAGAGGCGAGAGCAGTCAACACAGGCAGGGCAATACACTTGAGACTCCTCTTTTAGAAGGAGTAACTAGCAGACCAGTGACTGACATGCTGACGCCATGTGCACCCCACTCACCCCATCACCCCACTCACACTCACTTCTGCTGCTTGAACCCATTCGCTTCCAGCAACGCGTGGCTAACATGCTGCTGCTGCCCTCCCGATCCCAGACTAGACTACCCGACAACAACCCTGCCCCCCCCCCCCCCCCCCCCCCCCCCCCCCCTCCTTACCTCATTCCATAGCATGCCCTACCCTGCCATGCGCCCGACCACGCTCACTTCTGCTGCTTAAATCCATTCTCTTCCAGCAACGCGTGGCTAACATGCTGGTTCTGCTAGTGATGCTGATTGTGATGGTAGCACTCCACTTCCCCTCACGCCATACCAAACCATGCACCCCACCCCACCCACACTCACTTCTGCTGTTTGAAACCATTCTCCTCCAGCAACGCGTGGCTAACATGCTGGCGGTGCCCTCCTGACCCCACACTAGCCGAGACCAACCCCGTCCCCCCGTCCCTTACCTCACTCCATAGCATGCCCTGCCATGCACCCCACCCCACCCACACTCAATCTATACCATACCATGCGTCCCACTCATACTCACTTCTGCTGCTTGAACCCATTCTCCTCCAGCAGAGCGTGGCTAACATGCTGGCGGTGCTAGTGATGGTAGCACTCCACTTCCCCTCACTCCATACCATACCATGCACCCCACTCATACTCACTTCTGCTGCTTAAATCCATTCTCTTCCAACAACGCGTGGCTAACATGCTGGTGCTGCTGCCCTCCCGATCCCAGACTAGCCGACAGCAACCCCGCTCCCCCCTTCCCCACCGAACCCACCACTCCCCTCCCCCTGTCCCTGTGCCGCCCTCCCGCTGCCGCCATATGCATCATACTGCCCGTAGGGGCAGACCCAGGGGCGAAGGGGAGAGGGGTGACACCCTTGGGTGGGCTCAGGAGTCCTCCCCCCTTGCCCCCCCGGCTCTGCTTCTGCTCCTGCTGTTTCTGGTCCTTCTCTTTCACCCCTTCCTTCCCTGCTTCTGCCTCTTTCTCCCCGTCTTTCTTCTCGCCTTCCTTTGCGTCCCCTGCTGCCTGTTTCACCGCTTCCTCCTCCTCCTTCTCCTTCTCCTTCTTCTCCGCCTGCTGCTGCTGCTGGTGAAGCATGGCCAGCCCAGCAGGCATGCCCCAGGAGCTAGAGAGGGAGGAGGCAGCCGAGCTACTGCGGTGCAGAGGGGTGAGAGACGGTGCAAGGAGGGGAGAGAGGGGTACAGAAGGGTGAAGATGGGTAGAATGAGGGGCGGAAGCATGGCCAGCCCAGCAGGCATGCCCCAGGAGCTAGAGAGGGAGGAGGCAGCCGAGCCACTGCGGTGCAGAGGGGTGAGAGACGGTGCAAGGAGGGGGAGAGAGGGTTACAGAGGGGTGAAGATGGGTAGAATGAGGGGCGGAAGCATGCCAAGCCCAGCATGCATGCCCCAGGAGCTAGATCGGGAGGAGGCAGCCGAGCCACTGTGGTGCAGAGGGGTGAGAAACGGTGCAAAGAGGGGGAGGGAGGGGGAACAGAGGGGTGAAGAGGGGTGAAGAGGAGTAGAACGAGAGGAGGAAGCATGGTCAGCCCAGCAGGTATGCAACAGGAGCTAGAGAGGGAGAAGGCCGCAGGGCCACTGTGGTGCAGAGGAGTGAACAGCGGTGCTAAGAGGAGAAAGCGGGAGACAGAGGGTACAGAGGGGTGAAAATGGGTACAGTGAGAAGTGGAAGCATGGCCAGCCCAGCAGGCATTCCCCAGAAGATAGAGGGGGGAGGGTGCAGAGTCACAGTGGGGAAAGGAGAGGGACACAGAGGGGCGCAGAGGGGTGAAAAGGGGCGCAAGCATCGAGCGCCAAACCACCACGAGCTGGGGGCAGCGTGATAATAGTGCTGTTTTGAGACGTCTCAAAGCAATACTTTTATCAAGCTGACTTTTGAGTCGACTCAAAAGTCGGGCTAAGAAAGCCATGAACAGGCAAACCTCCCAAACCCCGCGGTCCCTCCGCCCTCCCTGCTCCCACCCCCACCCCTGCCTGCCACCCCACACACCTGTAGGAACCAGGGGGGGTGGCTCCAAAGTAAAACGCCATGAGCTGTGGCGACCCAAAGATGCTGGTGCTCTGCCAACTGCTGCCCCCCAGCTCCACCGCATTCGCAGGCAGACCCCCCAGTCCCCCCCAGCCACCCCTGCTCCCCTCACACCCCCGGCCCCTCCCCCCCCCCCACACCCCTGCCACTGCACACACCTGTATGAGCCGGGAGGAGTGGCTCCAAAATAGAAGGCCATGAGCTGTGGCGACCCGAAGCTGCTGGTGCTCCTCCAACTGCTGCCCCCCAGCTCCACCGCATTCGCAGGCAGCCCTCCCAGCCCCGGCCGCCACACAGGCACAGGCTGCGCCCTCCCTGACCCCACCCCCACCGCTCCCACCCCTCCCACCGCTCCTGCTGCTCCTCCTGCGGCGGCGGCGGCAGCAGCTGCTGCTGCGGTCATGTGGGCGATCCCAGGGGTCCAGGAGGCGCGCTGCTGCTGCGGGTGACGGGCCCTGGGGCCGCGGGCAACGTGCGAGCTGAAGTTGTCCGGGCTGCCGTTGCTGCCGTGACTGCCCACGTGGAACCTGGTCACGGGAGGGGGGTTGGGGGGAGAGAGGGGAGAGAGGGGGGAGAGAGGGGGAGAGAGGGGGAGAGAGGGGGAGAGGAAGTGAGGGAAGAGGGAGAGGAAGAGGGAGAAGAGGAAGAGGGAGATGGGGCGGAAGAGGGAGAGGGGGGAGAGGAGGGAGGGGGGAGTATGTGATGGGTGGGTGCTGCGGTCATGTGGGCGGTCCCAGGTGTCCAGGAGTCGCGCTGATGCTGCTGCTGGGGGTGGCGGGCTCTGGTGCGGCGGGCAACGTGCGAGCTGAAGTTGTCCGGGCTGCCGTTGCTGCCGTGACTGCCCACGTGGAACCTGGTCAGGGGGGAAGAGTAGGGGCCCGGGGAGGGGGAGACGAAGGGAGTATGAATATGTGAGAAGTGGGTGTGGGTGAATAATGTGAGTCCTGAGTGCAATCCCAATGGGCCGCGGGCAACGAGAGAGCTGAAGTTGTCTAAACTGCCGGTCCTGCCCGCCCTGAGTGCCCACATGTACGTTGTTTGAGAATTCTCAAAAAACATAGTCTGGACTGCCGGTCCTGCCCTGTTTTGAGACGTCTCAAAACACTTCTTCAATCACTGCCGGTCCTGCCCTGAGAGCCCACATGTACGTTGTTTGAGAATTCTCAAAAAACATAGTCTGGACTGCCGGTCCTGCCCTGTTTTGAGACGTCTCAAAACACTTCTTCAATCACTGCCGGTCCTGCCCTGAGAGCCCACATGTACGTTGTTTGAGAATTCTCAAAAAACATAGTCTGGACTGCCGGTCCTGCCCTGTTTTGAGACGTCTCAAAACACTTCTTCAATCACTGCCGGTCCTGCCCTGAGTGCCCACATGTACGTTGTTTGAGAATTCTCAAAAAACATAGTCTGGACTGCCGGTCCTGCCCTGTTTTGAGACGTCTCAAAACACTTCTTCAATCACTGCCGGTCCTGCCCTGAGAGCCCACATGTACGTTGTTTGAGAATTCTCAAAAAACATAGTCTGGACTGCCGGTCCTGCCCTGTTTTGAGACGTCTCAAAACACTTCTTCAATCACTGCCGGTCCTGCCCTGAGAGCCCACATGTACGTTGTTTGAGAATTCTCAAAAAACATAGTCTGGACTGCCGGTCCTGCCCTGTTTTGAGACGTCTCAAAACACTTCTTCAATCACTGCCGGTCCTGCCCTGAGAGCCCACATGTACGTTGTTTGAGAATTCTCAAAAAACATAGTCTGGACTGCCGGTCCTGCCCTGTTTTGAGACGTCTCAAAACACTTCTTCAATCACTGCCGGTCCTGCCCTGAGAGCCCACATGTACGTTGTTTGAGAATTCTCAAAAAACATAGTCTGGACTGCCGGTCCTGCCCTGTTTTGAGACGTCTCAAAACACTTCTTCAATCACTGCCGGTCCTGCCCTGAGAGCCCACATGTACGTTGTTTGAGAATTCTAGAAAAAAATAGTCTGGACTGCCGGTCCTGCCCTGAGAGCCCACATGATACCTACCTGGTCCTGGGAGAAAGCAGGGGAAGAGGAGGTCGGGGAAGGGGGAAGACTATGGGAGACATGCGACAAGTGGGAGACATGCGACAGGTGGGAGACATGCGACAAGTGGGAGACATGCGACAAGTGGGAGACATGCGACAGGTGGGAGACATGCGACAAGTGGGAGACATGCGACAGGTGGGAGACATGCGACAAGTGGGAGACATGCGACAGGTGGGAGACATGCGACAGGTGGGAGACATGCGACAGGTGGGAGACATGCGACAGGTGGGAGACATGCGACAAGTGGGAGACATGCGACAGGTGGGAGACATGCGACAGGTGGGAGACATGCGACAAGTGGGAGACATGCGACAAGTGGGAGACATGTGACAAGTGGGAGACATGCGACAAGTGGGAGACATGCGACAAGTGGGAGACATGCGACAAGTGGAGACATGCGACAAGTGGGAGACATGCGACAAGTGGGAGACATGCGACAAGTGGGAGACATGCGACAAGTGGGAGACATGCGACAAGTGGGAGACATGGGACAAGTGGGAGACATGCGACAAGTGGGAGACATGGGACAAGTGGGAGACATGGGACAAGTGGGAGACATGCGACAAGTGGGAGACATGCGACAAGTGGGAGACATGGGACAAGTGGGAGACATGCGACAAGTGGGAGACATGCGACAAGTGGGAGACATGCGACAAGTGGGAGACATGCGACAAGTGGGAGACATGCGACAAGTGGGAGACATGGGACAAGTGGGAGACATGCGACAAGTGGGAGACATGCGACAAGTGGGAGACATGCGACAAGTGGGAGACATGGGACAAGTGGGAGACATGCGACAAGTGGGAGACATGGGACAAGTGGGAGACATGGGACAAGTGGGAGACATGCGACAAGTGGGAGACATGCGACAAGTGGGAGACATGGGACAAGTGGGAGACATGCGACAAGTGGGAGACATGCGACAAGTGGGAGACATGCGACAAGTGGGAGACATGCGACAAGTGGGAGACATGCGACAAGTGGGAGACATGCGACAAGTGGGAGACATGCGACAAGTGGGAGACATGCGACAAGTGGGAGACATGGGACAAGTGGGAGACATGCGACAAGTGGGAGACATGCGACAAGTGGGAGACATGCGACAAGTGGGAGACATGCGACAAGTGGGAGACATGCGACAAGTGGGAGACATGCGACAAGTGGGAGACATGCGACAAGTGGGAGACATGCGACAAGTGGGAGACATGCGACAGGTGGGAGACATGCGACAGGTGGGAGACATGCGACAAGTGGGAGACATGCGACAGGTGGGAGACATGCGACAGGTGGGAGACATGCGACAAGTGGGAGACATGCGACAGGTGGGAGACATGCGACAAGTGGGAGACATGCGACAAGTGGGAGACATGCGACAAGTGGGAGACATGCGACAAGTGGGAGACATGCGACAGGTGGGAGACATGCGACAAGTGGGAGACATGCGACAAGTGGGAGACATGCGACAAGTGGGAGACATGCGACAAGTGGGAGACATGCGACAGGTGGGAGACATGCGACAAGTGGGAGACATGCGACAGGTGGGAGACATGCGACAAGTGGGAGACATGCGACAAGTGGGAGACATTCGACAAGTGGGAGACATGCGACAAGTGGGAGACATGCGACAGGTGGGAGACATGCGACAAGTGGGAGACATGCGACAAGTGGGAGACATGCGACAAGTGGGAGACATGCGACAAGTGGGAGACATGCGACAGGTGGGAGACATGCGACAAGTGGGAGACATGCGACAAGTGGGAGACATGCGACAGGTGGGAGACATGCGACAAGTGGGAGACATGCGACAAGTGGGAGACATGCGACAAGTGGGAGACATGCGACAAGTGGGAGACATGCGACAAGTGGGAGACATGGGACAAGTGGGAGACATGCGACAAGTGGGAGACATGCGACAAGTGGGAGACATGCGACAAGTGGGAGACATGGGACAAGTGGGAGACATGCGACAAGTGGGAGACATGTGACAAGTGGGAGACATGCGACAAGTGGGAGACATGCGACAAGTGGGAGACATGCGACAAGTGGGAGACATGCGACAGGTGGGAGACATGCGACAAGTGGGAGACATGCGACAGGTGGGAGACATGCGACAAGTGGGAGACATGCGACAAGTGGGAGACACGCGACAAGTGGGAGACATGCGACAAGTGGGAGACATGCGACAAGTGGGAGACATGCGACAAGTGGGAGACATGCGACAAGTGGGAGACATGGGACAAGTGGGAGACATGCGACAAGTGGGAGACATGCGACAAGTGGGAGACATGCGACAAGTGGGAGACATGGGACAAGTGGGAGACATGCGACAAGTGGGAGACATGCGACAAGTGGGAGACATGCGACAAGTGGGAGACATGCGACAAGTGGGAGACATGCGACAAGTGGGAGACATGCGACAAGTGGGAGACATGCGACAAGTGGGAGACATGCGACAAGTGGGAGACATGCGACAAGTGGGAGACACGTGACAAGTGGGAGACATGTGACAAGATTCCGATCATCGAGAATTCTCCTTCCTGTACAGGCTGCTGTGTCCATACCCTCTCTTTTAGATTAGTGCTATAGATCGTTACTCTTAGAAGGCTTGCTGCGTTTCGAACCCAACGAATTTCAGCCTGTACAGGCTGCTGTGTCCATACCCTCTCTTCTCTTTCCCCCCTCTCTTTGCCTCCCCTTCCCCCTCCCCCTTCCCCCTTCCCCCTTCCCCCTTCCCCCTTCCCCCTTCCCCCTCTCCATCCGCACTCACCTGCCAGGCATCCATGCATCCCCTTCTCGTTACCTGCCCTTCCATCTCCCTCTCCCCTCCCCCTGCCCTTCCATCTCCCCCTTCCCTCCCCCTTCCCCCCACCCTCTCCCATGTGTGCTCACCTGCCCGGCCCCTCCCCGTCCGTCCCTGACTGCTCGCCCCTCTCAGCAGACAGCCTGCTGGCGCGATAGTTGGGACCCTGGGGGGTGGAGGGGTGGGATGGGGTGAGGTGGGTTGGGGTGGGGTGGGGTGGGGTGGGGTGGGGTGGGGTGGGGTGGGGTGGGGTGGGGTGGGGTGGGGTGGGGTGGGTGGAAAGGGGAAGAGGGACAGCCTCTCCGCAGACAGCCTGCTGGCACGATAGTTGGGACCCTGGGGAGTGGAGGGGTGGGGGGAGGGGGAAGGGGAGGGATGGAGGGTGGGGGGGGGGGGGGGAAGGGGACCTCTTCCTTCCTCCCATCCCCACCCTTTCCTCCCACCCCTCCATCCCTCCCAAGTAAGAGGAGGGGAAGGTATGGCACCAGGACAGCCTTTCAGCAAATAGCCTGCCGACGCGGTAGTTCAGATCAGACTTACACCCACCGCCGCCGGCACAACATTTCAGCTGCTCACAGCCCTGAGGTCGTTTTTGAGGCGCCTCAAAAACGACCTCAATCCACATTTCAGCTGCTCACAGCTCTTTCGAGAATTCTCAAAAGCGTCACAACCCCTCTTTTGAGAATTCTCAAAAGCGTCACAACCCCTCTTTTGAGAATTCTCAAAAGCGTCACAACCCCTCTTTTGAGAATTCTCAAAAGCGTCACAACCCCTCTTTTGAGAATTCTCAAAAGCGTCACAACCCCTCTTTTGAGAATTCTCAAAAGCGTCACAACCCCTCTTTTGAGACTTCTCAAAAGTGTCACAACCCCTCTTTTGAGAATTCTCAAAAGCGTCACAACCCCTCTTTTGAGAATTCTCAAAAGCGTCACAACCCCTCTTTTGAGAATTCTCAAAAGCGTCACAACCCCTCTTTTGAGAATTCTCAAAAGCGTCACAACCCCTCTTTTGAGAATTCTCAAAAGCGTCACAACCCCTCTTTTGAGAATTCTCAAAAGCGTCACAACCCCTCTTTTGAGAATTCTCAAAAGCGTCACAACCCCTCTTTTGAGAATTCTCAAAAGCGTCACAACCCCTCTTTTGAGAATTCTCAAAAGCGTCACAACCCCTCACTCACACATACAAAAGCACCCAAGCTCTCCCATCGCACCGGGGAAGACCCGCCCTCGTAGCTGCTGCCACTCGCCCTGTCCTCCCTGCCCTGGCTGCGCCTCACCCCACTTCTCAAGCACCCTCACTCACACTCACTCTCGCCCAATCTCCCCTTCCCACACAATCAAGCATCTCACCAGGGAAGACCCGCCCTCGTAGCTGCTCCCACTCGCCCCGTCCTCCCTGCCCTGGCTGCGCCTCACCCCACCACCCCGCTGCTGCTGCTGGAACGCACTGCCCTGGCCCGGGCGCCTCTGGGGTAGGCAGGAAAGAAGGGGAGGGGAGGGGAGGAAGCGGAAAGTTGAAGGAATGGTGAAGGCGGAGAAAGAAGCGAAGATAGACCGTGCATCTTGTTACCCTGCCCTGCTTGTTCTGCCTCCTCTGCTTGCACAAAGGAGATTCTTACCTGGGCAACAGTAATGTGATTCTTACATTACATGTGTGACAAGAACACAATTTTTACCTGAGTGACTGACCATAGCAAGGTGCTTACTTGGGTGAGTACAGTAAACACGGCTCTACCTTTATGACAATATCGAGGTGCTTACCTCTGTTTCATACTCCGAGGTTTTTACCTAGGTGATAAAAACGAGGTGCCTACCTGCGTGACAATAACGAGATTCTTGAGGCTGGGATTCACGTCGTTGAAGTCAGAGTCGTCTGTTGTATCCTCCTCCGACCTGTGAGTGTGGTGTGTGAATGAATGAGAGTGAGAATGAGAGTGAGAATGAGAGTGAGAGTCAGAGTCGTCTGTTGTATCCTCCTCCGACCTGTGAGTGAGAGTAGTGTGGGTGAACGATAGTGCATATGCACGCATCAACACATAGACATAAAGACACAAGCGTGTGACCCATGCATATCTGATTGTCCTCCGTCAAACCTGTGTGTATGAATAGAGCGTGTGAAAGAGAGTAAGTGAGCAGTCGGCACTAAACCTAACCCCTAAACCCTGTTTCTCTGTACCATCAAAACATGTACGGTAGAAGACCCTACTTGGCAGGCATGCTCCTTCCTCCTGGGTTTGCACACCCTCTTCTTCCCCTCCCCAAGCTCGTCCTCGACCCTTAACCCCGGGACCTGCCCTAAACCCTGATTCTACTTTCTTTAGACTCCGGAACGTTAAGTAGAGCCTACCTGGCACGCTGCTTCCTCCTGGGCTTGCTGCCCCTCTTCTTCCCCTCCCCGAGCTCGTCCCCGCTGAACTGAAACGTGTCCTCTGCCTCACTCGCCTCAGTCAACGCCTCGCTCTCCTCTGCAGCCCTCTTCCCCTTCTCCCTCTCCCTCTCCTCCTTACTCTTTCCCTCTTCCCCGCCCTTCTCCGCCCCTCCAGCCTCTTCAATCGCCGCTGCGACCTTCCCAGCCAGGCCCGGCAGTGAGCCTAGCCCCTCGGTTCGGCTCCCCGAACCTGCAGCTTCGGCGGCAAACGCAGCCGAAAGCCCTCCGGACTTGCTAGCCGAGAAGCGCCCGGAAGTGGCTCGTTTCACGCTGCTGCCACGCCTCTTCCCTACGCTCCTCGCCGGGGTGCCTTCGCGATTTGCCCGCTGCCCTCCCCCCTCCTCCTCCCCCTCATCATCAGCCTCCCCATCTGCAGCTGAGGGGATGGATCGAGGGGCGAATAGGAGAGTCGCGGCAGGGGACGAGGGAGCTGCATCGGCACCAGCAGCACCAGCAGCAGCAGCAGCAGCACCAGTGGCGGAAGCAGCAGCAGCAGGAGCAGCTGCATCGGCACCACCAGCACCAGCAGGAGCAGTAGCAGCAGCGGCGTCGGAAGTTTCGTTCTTCTCACCTTCGGAATCCTTTTCCTGCCCATCCTTAGCAGCACCGTCAGCACCGTCAGCACCGTCAGCAGCATCAGCACCGTCAGCACCGTCAGCACCGTCAGCAGCAGCTTTACCAGGAGTGGTACCATCAGCCTCCTTGCCTCCCTCCCCCTGCTCTCCTCCCTTCTTCCCTCCCTCTCCTCCCTCGCCTCCCTCCTGAGTGGGTGCCTCCTCTGAGTGCGGAACGACAGCCTCCATATGCCCTGTGGGCAGCAGCCAGTTGCTCCAGTCATTGCGTCTCCTCAGCTTCTCACCCTGAGGGGTTGGCAAGGAGGGGGGGGGGAGGAGGGGGAGGTTGAGAGGAGGTAAGGGCAGAGAAAGGAGGGGAGAGGGAGTGAGTGTGAAGAAGCAGCCTCCCTTCTTTCCTGCCCCCTCCTGCCCAGGTGCCTCCTCTGGGTGCGGAACGACAGCCTCCATGTGTCCTGTGGGCAGCAGCCAGTTGCTCCAGTCATTGCGCCTCCTCAGCTTCTCGCCCTGAGAGGAGGGGAGGTGGGAGGAGGTAAGCGCAAGATAGAGAAGGCTGAGAGGGCAGCAGTGGGCAGCAACCAGTTGCTCCAGTCACTGCACCGCCTCAGCTTCTCGCCCTGGGAGGGGGGTAGACAGGAAGGGAGAAAGAGACGAGGTGAGGGCAAGAAAGAGCAGGGTGAGAGAGGAGGGGAGAGGGAGTGAGTCTGAAGAACCAGTCTCCCTCTTTCCGTCCCTCTCGTGCAACTACTGCGAGCATTCCTTCACCTCACATTCGCGTGACTGAACTTTGAGACGAGTCAATTGCCACCACTCCAGTTCAGTCACAGTGTGCTCCCTTGCTATTGCGGAAAAAAGGAATTTGGGAACTTCTAGCACACACGCTATTGGAGCTTAGATTGAGACGTTTTGAAAGCAAATAGGCAACATAAATGCCTTGTCTAGTGAACTGCACAAATGGGCAACAGCATACCTGCACTTCAACAGAAGTGGAGTTGGCAAGGCAGCTGAGAATAAATGCCTTGTCGAGTGTGAGCATGCGGACCTGAGGGGGGGGGGGGGAGAGGAAGGGGGGAACATAGGGAAGAAATTGGAGGAGGGTGAGAGACAGGGGCAGCTGAGAATGAAGGCCTTGCCGAGTGTGAGCATGCGGACCTGAGGGGCGATGGGAAGAGCGGGGGGGAAAGATAAGGGAAGCGGAAAGGGGGAAAATAGAGGGGGAGATAGGGGGGAAGGAAGACAGAGGGAAAGCTCATTGGAGTCGGCAAGGCAGCTGAGAATGAAGGCCTTGTCGAGTGTGAGCATGCGGACCTGCGGGGGTTAAAGGGGGGGAGATAAGGGAAGCAGAAATGGGGAAATAGAGGGGGAGATAAGGGGGAAGACTGAGGGAAAGCTCATTGGAGTCGGCAAGGCAGCTGAGAATGAAGGCCTTGTCGAGTGTGAGCATGCGGACCTGCGGGGGTTAAAGGGGGGGAGATAAGGGAAGCAGAAATGGGGAAATAGAGGGGGAGATAAGGGGGAAGACTGAGGGAAAGCTCATTGGAGTTGGCAAGGCGGCTGAGTATGAAGGCCTTGTCGAGTGTGAGCATGCGGACTCAATCTTACTGCACTCAATGTTACCATGTTGCAGGCCAGAATAACATCCACGTGAATCAACCAACCCCTCAGCGAACATCTCGCTGTCACCGCACTCAACCTAGCCTCACTCAGCCTTACCCTGTTGCAGGCCAGAATAACATCCACGTGAATCAATCAACCCCTCAGCGAGCATCTTAGACCAAAGGAAGTAGTTACTGTCTCACTCGACCTTACCGCACTCAACCACAACCAACTCAGTCTCACCGAACTCAACCTTGCTGCATTTTTACCCTATTGAAGGCCGCAATAACGGCCACGTGAATGAACCCCTCGGCGTCCACCTTGGATCGAATGAAGAGATTACTGCCTTGGTGGATCAGGCCGCACTCAACCGCAACCAGCTTGATATCACCGCACTCAACCTAGCCGCACTCAGCCTTACCCTGTTGAAGGCCGCAATAACGTCCACGTGAATAAACCCCTCGGCGTCCATCTTAGATCGAAGGAAGAGGTCGCGACACAGATTCTCAATGCTGGATGGGGCATGGGGATGTTGGGGCGGGATGGGGCATGGGGAATGGGGAAGATGAGGCGGGATGGGGCATGGGGAATGGGTAGAGGGGACTTTTGAGTCAGCTCAAAAGTCATGGGGAATGGGTAGAGGGGACTTTTGAGTCAGCTCAAAAGTCATGGGGAATGGGTAGAGGGGACTTTTGAGTCGGCTCAAAAGTAAAGTCATGGGGAATGGGTAGAGGGAGGAGCAGAGGAAGAGGTCGCGACGAAGATTCTCAATGCTGGATGGCGAGTGAGGAAGATGGGGATGGGGCATGGGGCATGGGGTTGATGGGGTTGATGGGGGTGATGGGGGTGATGGGGGTGATGGGGGTGATGGGGGTGATGGGGGTGATGGGGGTGATGGGGTTGATGGGGGTGATAGGGTTGATGGGGGTGATGGGGTTGATGGGGGTGATGGGGGTGATGGGGGTGATGGGGGTGATGGGGGTGATGGGGGTGATGGGGTTGATGGGGGTGATGGGGTGATGGGGGTGATGGGGGTGATGGGGTTGATGGGGGTGATGGGGTTGATGGGGGTGATGGGGTGATGGGGGTGATGGGGGTGATGGGGGTGATGGGGGTGATGGGGGTGATGGGGTGATGGGGGTGATGGGGGTGATGGGGGTGATGGGGTGATGGGGGTGATGGGGGTGATGGGGGTGATGGGGGTGATGGGGGTGATGGGGGTGATGATGGGGTGATGGGGGTGATGGGGTGATGGGTGATGGGGGTGATGGGGGTGATGGGGTGATGGGGGTGATGGGGGTGATGGGGGTGATGGGGGTGATGGGGGTGATGGGGGTGGGGTGATGGGGGTGATGGGGGTGATGGGGTGATGGGGGTGATGGGGTGATGGGGTGATGGGGGTGATGGGGGTGATGGGGGTGATGGGGGTGATGGGGTGATGGGGGTGATGGGGGTGATGGGGGTGATGGGGTGATGGGGGTGCTGGGGTGATGGGGTGATGGGGGTGATGGGGGTGATGGGGGTGATGGGGTGATGGGGGTGATGGGGGTGATGGGGGTGATGGGGGGGTGGGGGTGATGGGGGTGATGGGGGTGATGGGGGGGTGGGGGGGTGATGGGGGTGATGGGGATGGGGTTGATGGGGTTGATGGGTTGATGGGGTGATGGGGGGTGATGGGGGTGATGGGGTTGATGGGGGTGGGAAAGATGGGGGATGGGACGGGTAAAGGGGAATGCAGAGAACGAGGTGCGACACAGATTCTAAATGCTGGATGCGGGGTGGGGGGGAAGCGGGTGGATGAGATGGGGGTGGGAATGGAAAATGAGATGGGTAAAGGGAGGAGCAGAGGTAGCGACACGAATGTTCAATGCTGGACTGGGGGTGGGGCATGGGGGCCACCTCTGCTCGGCATGGGGGCTAGGAGATAGGGAATGGGAAGAAGAGGGGGCAGGGCACAACAGGTACTAATCTAAAGTAATACTCGATCTGCTTCGACAGCGCCGTGCGGAGGCCCCACATAGGATCAAAGGGGACAGAGAGAACACGAGTGACTTGAGAACAACACGACTGGCAGGGCCACAAGCAACACGGGTTAACAGACAAGCTACGATTTGGAAGGGCCACTGCAATAGGGTTCATTCAGATTGAGTGAAAGGGCAACTTACCTGAAGCAGTACTCAATCTGCTTCGTGAGTGCCGTGCGGAGGCCCGCCATGGGGTCACCCAGGACACGCAACGGAGACACAACACGACTGGCTACAAGGGCAACAGAGACGCCATGTCTGATGGGGCAGCAGCTACCCACCTGAAGTAGTACTCAATCTGCTTCGTGAGAGCAGTGCGGAGGCCCGACATGGGGTCAACTGGGACAGGCGGCATGCGGTATGGCATGTAGTAGGGGCCGTTGGCTGCATGCATTGATACATTGGTTGGTTATGGGGCAAGTGCAGGGTGGGGTGGGGTGGGGTGGGGTGGGGTGGGGTGGGGTGGGGGGTACGAAAGGAATTCCGGGAAGGAGAGGAGGTTGGAGAAATGGAAGAAGAGGAGGTTGGAGACATGGAAGGAGAGATGAGACATGGAACTGAGCCTATGTGAGAGACATAGGCTCAGTTTCCCTCTCTCTCATTTGTCAGGAAAGGAATTCCGGGAAACTGAGCCTATGTGACAAATGAGTCATGGGGTCAACCAGGACAGGCAGCGCCATGCAGTACAGCATGTAGCAGGGGCAGTTGGCTGCATTGTATCCAGCGGTTGTGGGGGAATGGTGAAGGAACGGGGTAGCCAAAGTTCCCCCCTATATACCATTGACTATGGCATGCGTCCGCCCCCCTCATGCCTTCAGGTATTGCACGCACTGCTTAACTCCCACCACCATGGGGTGGGGGGTGGGTAGCCATAGCTCCCTTTCATCCCATGCCATGCTACCTTACCAATGCTCACTTCCCACGACCATGGGGTAGCCATAGCTCCCTTTCATCCCATGCCATGCTACCTACCTTACCATTGCTCACCTCCCACCACCATGGGGTAGTCATAGCTGCCGCCCATGCCATTGGCCATGGCAGCAGTGGACCTCCTGGGCCCGGCAGCCACGAACTCCGTCAGGGGGGGATCGTCCGCCCCCACCACCACCCTCCCCTGCCCTTTCCCCAGCTCCATGGGACGCCCACATCTTCCTCCCATGCTCACCTCCCACCACCATGGGGTAGCCATAGCTGCCGCCCATGCCATTGGCCATGGCAGCAGTGGACCTCCTGGGCCCGGCAGCAACGAAATCCGTCAGGGGGGGATCGTCCGCCCCCACCACCACCCTCCCCTGCCCCACTCACCTTTCCCCAGCTCCATGGGATGCCCACATCTTCCTCCAATGCTCACCTCCCACCACCATGGGGTAGCCATAGCTGCCGCCCATGCCATTGGCCATGGCAGCAGTGGACCTCCTGGGCCCGGCAGCAACGAAATCCGTCAGGGGGGGATCGTCCGCCCCCACCACCACCCTCCCCTGCCCCACTCACCTTTCCCCAGCTCCATGGGATGCCCACATCTTCCTCCAATGCTCACCTCCCACCACCATGGGGTAGCCATAGCTGCCGCCCATGCCATTGGCCATGGCAGCAGTGGACCTCCTGGGCCCGGCAGCAACGAAATCCGTCAGGGGGGGATCGTCCGCCCCCACCACCACCCTCCCCTGCCCCACTCACCTTTCCCCAGCTCCATGGGATGCCCACATCTTCCTCCAATGCTCACCTCCCACCACCATGGGGTAGCCATAGCTGCCGCCCATGCCATTGGCCATGGCAGCAGTGGACCTCCTGGGCCCGGCAGCAACGAAATCCGTCAGGGGGGGATCGTCCGCCCCCACCACCACCCTCCCCTGCCCCACTCACCTTTCCCCAGCTCCATGGGATGCCCACATCTTCCTCCAATGCTCACCTCCCACCACCATGGGGTAGCCATAGCTGCCGCCCATGCCATTGGCCATGGCAGCAGTGGACCTCCTGGGCCCGGCAGCAACGAAATCCGTCAGGGGGGGATCGTCCGCCCCCACCACCACCCTCCCCTGCCCCACTCACCTTTCCCCAGCTCCATGGGATGCCCACATCTTCCTCCAATGCTCACCTCCCACCACCATGGGGTAGCCATAGCTGCCGCCCATGCCATTGGCCATGGCAGCAGCGGACCTCCTGGGCCCAGCAGCAACGAACTCCGTCAGGGGGGGATCGTCCGCCCCCACCACCACCCTCCCCTGCCCGCGCATGTGCCCCCCGCGCCCGCCCCCGCCCATCCCCCCATGCCCCCCCTGCCCGTGCTGCTTCTGCCCCTGCGCCTGCCCCTGCCCCTGCCCCTGCCCCTGCCCCTGCCCCTGCCCCTGCCCCTGCTGCCCTTGCCCCTGCGCCTGCTGTCCCTGCGCCTGTCCCCCAGGCTGCTGCTTCCGCCTGTGCGCGTCCTGCTGCTGCGCCTGCCCCTGCTGCCCCCCCTGCCCGCGCCCAGCCCCTCCCTGAGGCTTCCCCTCGCCGTTCCCCCCTTGTGCGGGGCCCACATGCGCGCGCCTCTGGTATCCCCCTCCCCCCACGCCTCCCCCCCTTCCGCCATGGTGCGTCCCCCCGCCCCCCTGATGCCCCCCGCGCTTGTACTGCCCCCCAGCCACCTCACGCACGCTCACAACTGCCACGTCAGCAGCACCAGCCTTTCTGGCTGCGTCTGCTGCTGTAACCGCCGCTGCGCCGCTCTGCTTGTCTGATGTGGCAGCAGAAGGTTTGTCGCCTTCGTTTGCGATTATAGCGAGACCAGCAGCAGGCTTCGCCTGCAAGGTTGGGTAGAGGGGAGGGCGGGAAACGGAGAGGAATGGGGAGGTCATGGGGGAGAGGGAGGGAGGAGAAGAGAGGGGGAGAGAGGACCAGGAAGGGGTGGGGACGGGTGCTGTGGGTTAGGAACGTAAGTATCTATGCTTATTTCCTGTTTATGGCTTAGCCAGGATATCAAATACAGTGAGACGGAACGATGGGGCAGGAGGGAGGGGAACTGAGAGGAGGAACAGGAGAGACGATAGGAGGAAGATTACGAGAGGCAATAGGAAGAAGATCAAAACAGGCAGTGGGAGGATTTTTTAAAATAGACAAAGGAGGAAGATCAAAAGAGAAAATAGGAGGAAGATCAAATTCGGCAATGGGAGGAAGATCAAAAGAGAAAACAGGAGGAAGATCAAATTTGGCAATGGGAGGAAGATCAGACGAGGCAACAAGAGGAGGAGAAGAAGGATTGCAATGAAATGCGTTGATTGCAGGTAAAGGTAATACCTAATCGCCCTCACCAGCACCACCGCCCTCGCGCCAAACCATCCCAGAGGCACAACACAAACCATTGCAGCTCATGGCAGTTCGGTATCGTCCTCACCAGCAGCACTGCCATTGCATGGTGAAGATATCTAAAATTCTCAAATCAGCCTCGCGCTCTTGAGCCGACCGAACCTTGAGGCGCTTCAGAGACATCTTGCCTCGATCACCTTGACTCAATCAACAGCGCCCTTCCTCATCTGATCTTTTCCACAGTCACACAATTCTGACAAATTCCCAAACCTACCCCCGCCCCCGCACCTTATCATCCCCGCCCGCGCCCTTGCCGTTTTCCGCCGCGCGCGCAGCAGCAGCGTCCGCCTCGGAGAGCGCAGGCCACGCCGTCGCGCCTGCGCCCATCACCACCGCCGCGGAAGCCGCCGCCCCGCCCTTCTCGCCGTCCCTGTTGTGCTTGCGCCACGCCTGCTTCGGCGGCTTGTGCTCCTTAGGCTCTTTCCCCTCTTTCTGATCCTTCCCCTCCTTCTGATCCGACTTCCCGTCCTTCTTTCCGTGTCCCCCGCCTTTCGAGCCCTTGCCCTCCCCCCCTTCCTTCGCACCGCCACTAGCACTCTCCTTGTCCTCACTCCCTTTCTCCTTTTCCTTATACTTCTCAGAATCCTCCTTCTCGTCTCTCTTCTCCTCCTTCTTCTCCTCCTTTTTGTCCTTATCCTTATGCCATGCCTTGCCGCCCTTGCCTCCCTTCCCTCCACCACCCTTCTGTCCACCCGAACCTGCATTCCCACCCCTCCCCCCGCCCTGTTTCGCTGATTCCGATCCCGGCTTGGCATCCGCTCCGCCAGCCTTTCCCCCAGCCTGCTTCGCAGGCTCGGCACTCGCCGGCGCCTCTCCAGCTGCGTCCGAACCTCGCACGAGCGACGCTAACCCCTCATCCGGCCCGGGGTGCGTCCGAGCCTTGCCTGGCTCACTCTTAACCACCTGCGCCCATACCCCTTTTCCAGGCTTCCCCTTAACCTGCCAAACCGAGCCCTTGCCAGCCGCTCCATGCCCGTGCCCATGCCCATGCCCATGCCCGTGCGCATGTCCGTGCCCGTGCCCATGCGCATTCCCCCCTGTGCCCCCTCCGCTTGCGCCTTTCCCCTCGTTGGAATCACTTCCGGCTTTCTGACCCGCTGCGCCAGCCGACGCGCTTCCGCCATCTCCGCCATCCCCGGCCTTCCCCGCGCCTTCTGCTGTGCCAGAAGCTCCAGCCGCCCCGGCGGCGGCGTTGGCTTCCGCCGAAGCAGCTCCAGCAGGGGGAGCTGCCGCAGCAGCAGCACCAGCAGCGCCGCCGGATTTGGCGGCGGCGACCGCGCCGCCTTTGCCGGCAGCACCGCCTCTACCCCCACCGCCCGATTTGTCGCCGGAGCCTCCGGGTGCGCCGGATCCTCCTCCATGGCCGTGCGAACGTCTGTAACCACCTGCATTGCGATTTCCGCCGTGGTGGTTACCACCTCCATGATGGTGGTGCGAATCCCTGCCTCCGCGACCTCTTCCCCTCCAATGCCCCCTGTTTCCATCTCGTCTCTCGCGTGACGTCACCGTCTGCCAGCCGTCCCCTTTGTCCGCATTGTCGGCTGACGCGTCGGTGTCGGGAGCTTTTTTAGGTTCGGAAGCCTTTTCAGCTTCGACGGGCTTTTCAGGCTCGGGAGCTTTTCCAGGTTCGGCAGCGGAAGGTGCAGGGACCTTAGAAGCATCTCCCTCGACGGGAGCGGGTTTGTCAGCTTCGGTAGACATGAGAGGACCTTACTCCTAACCTAAACCAGCCCCGGAATTCCTTTCTATCAGCAGGAAAGAATGGGTGAGGAGAAATCGACGAACTCTATTATTAAACCCCAGACCCCTGATTTATCTACCTAGCGATTCCTGCTACAACTATTCTTGTATTTTCCAAGATGAATCCGCGTCGACGAGTGATCTAAATCCACGTACCTAGACCTCTCGAACTACAGACAAGAAATGAGAGCTTTGAATTGAACAGAGCACACGAGATAATCGTCACTAGTGCAAGACTCCGTTGCAGTAGCCACTGCGTGGAAAGAGGTTGAATTATTCGAAGTTTCTCCTACTTGAAACACAACCCCTAGGCGTAGCAGAGCAGGAAGGGGAGAGAGGGAAACCCAAGGTAAGGGAGTGATGATGCTGGCACAAGGGAGGTAGAAAGTGTAGTGACGCGGGATAACCCAAACCGAACCAAACCAATCAAAATTCGAGGTGAAATCCCAAGAAAAGTTTGCGAGCATCGAACGCCATCATCCACCCATGACATCATCAAATCGAGTAACCAGGCTCGTTACGAAGCGAGTTAACGACGAAAGCCACTTCGCTGAAGTACAATGGTTGGTTTGTGCATCAAACAAAGCGGGTTTCGTATTCCTTCTGGAGGAGGTACGGCATCGCGAACCTATCCGACACCCTCGAGAACTCATACGAGTGGCCAAGGCGTCACCGAGCAGGGCTATTGCTAGGTTTTTTGCTAGCTCGGACGATCCGGGCCCCTGTGAAAAAGACCCTGTAAAATCCGAGCCAGCGGGAAAAAAACCTTGACGAATCCGGGTTCGAGCCAGAAAAGGCCTGAAAACATGCATTACCAGAATTTCGCGGGAAACTCACAGTGGGTTGCGCGAGGGCTGGGGAGATTGGAGATGGAGTGGCTCTGGAGGGGTGAGCGAGATACTTTTTGTAGACTTAGAAAAAAATACGATGAGGAAGAGTACATCGGGAGAACAGGGCAATCAGACACTCTCTCCTTATTGGCCTTCTAAGCCATGTCGACGTAGAACGGGGCAATCAGACACATGGAGGCCAACAAGGAGAGAGTGGTTAGGAAATTCACTAAAATTGGCCCAACGTGTGTTTAGAGGGAGACCGAGAGGAATGCAAGGCAGGTCGGGGAGAACATGTCTGCTAAAATTATACGGGTCCCCTTGAGAACTCCCCGGAGAGATCCGAGCTGACTCAAAAATCACCCTTCAGTTTTACGGGCTGGTCCGGAAAAAACCTTGTGAAAATTAGTGATCCTAGAAAAAACACCCTATAATTTCAGTCAAAACAGGGTAATTGCCCTGATAACTTAGGCCCTGTCACCGAGCCGAACTCGAAAGTTGACTGAAGTGCGACGCGATCATTTGGACGAATGGGAATTCAACAATGACTCGTCGGAATTTTTTGCCGATCTGTCAATCCTTGAGACGGGAAGTTGGTCTGGTTAGCTGGGCCACCTAACCAGGCTTGCACCTTGAAGTCTGACAGGCACAGCAGAATCAGGGCACAGTTTTTGCGGCACAATATAGCTTTGTTGAGAAATTCGTTCGGTTTAGTATGGTTTTGCCCTAACTGCTGGTTTCTTGCTCTTCTTGACACCGTTATGTTCATGAGCACAAAAATGTGCCATAACAGGAAATATAGTACGAAATACCTAGTACACATCTGCCAATTTCTAGCCACTCAACTCAAGCCTTCTTTGCACATTTCTGGAAAAAACATGTTCAGTTTTGGGGACCCAACCATCTCCATCTTCAAGCAGGTACTCACCACCATCGTAGACACACTAACTTATTTCTACCCACTCCATACTACATTTTGACGGTACGCGCTCTACTTGAAAGCTGCAGCATGCGCATCTACCCAAGACTTCACAGAAATCGGGGGATGTCCCAGGATGGTCTCGAGAGTCTTCCCATTAGCAGGATCATTAGTTTGTACAGCCCCTGCATTGATGGATTTGAAGAGCTCAATCACCCCATCAGCTTGCCACTCCGGGAAACCATTGTGAGTCAACCAATCCTTGCTCGCCTCGTAAGGAACCTGCAGCAACAACGGAGATATGACCAACCGTGTTAAAAAACTGAAGAAAATTGGATAAGAGCTGCAGAATCAGCACTGGTGTTTTGGTGCTGGGTGGAGGGACTTACGAAGTTGTAGGAGATTGTTTTGCCAAGAGCACTGGAAAAGGCATGTGCAATATCAGTGGCTGTTGCAGACGGTCCTGTCAGGTTGTAAGTCTTCCCATTGTGTGCATCCGGATCAGCAAGGATTTTTGCTGCAGCTTCCCCCACATCTGCACGAAACAAAAAGGGTGCAGGAAGAAAACATAGTCGGACAAAGATGCACACACCTGTTGCACCTTGCTGCACCTAAATGCACATTGATGCCCAACTCTGCATGCACTGAAACCACATACCGCATGCACCGAAGCCACATACTGCATGCTCTGAAACCACACACCACATGCTCTGAAACCACGTACCATCCACAGAAACTGCAGTGAAGGGCTTGTCAGGTTCGTACGACGAATAGATGGCGCTCGCATCCTTGATGCTTTCCGCAAACCCATAGTTATTTTCCATGAAGAGCGGCAGACGGATGATGGTAAACGGCACGCCAGATGCTTTTATGTGTGCCTCCACTGGCGCAAACTGCCCGCCGAATATCGTGTCGGTGAGGTCAGCAGTGGAGACTGAGAGGACTAGGATGAACTGGGGGTGGGGGGGCCCAAACGAAGGAGCGTTGGGAATAAGAGGGGGAGGAGAAGTTGAGCAAAAGTATGGCAGGCAGTAACTGCCCGCCAAAGATCGTGTCGGTGAGGTCAGCAGTGGATACTGAGAGGAATAGGATGAACTGCAGGGCCAGGAGGGGACAACAGCGGAGCGTGGAGGAAACGAGGGGAAGTGGGGGATAGAAGGGGTGTGACGGGAAGGGAGGGAGGGGGGTTTGGGGGGGAGAAGAGGGGGAAGGGAGAAGTTGCGCGAAGAAAATGGCAATGGCAACAGCAGAGACACAAACGGGCTCAAAGCAACTGAATAATAACAAAACACCATTTTCACTATCAGCTCACCTTTGCGCCTGCACCCTTAGCAGCGTCAATGGCGGCAATAGCAATCTTCTGACGGTCGGCATGGCCAGGAGCAATCACGAACACATAATCCACTCCCTGAAGCGCTGCCGCGATCTCCGCAGCTTTCAGCGGGTCCGCAGCGACGGGAGAAGCGTTGGTGGCGAGTGCGGCGAGGTCGGCGGATTTCGTGGGGTCGCGTACACCTGCTCTCACGGTGAAGCTGTCAGGTGACTTGCCGAGCGCCTGGAACACAAGGAGATTAACAGAGCAACAAAAAAAACACATCACGATGCGGCCAAGGGTGATGAATGGGCAAGCTGGGATTGGAAATAGAGACTAAGAGGTCTTACATTCAAAATAAGATGGCGACGCGGGAAAGGGAACCATACCTTGATTGTTGCCTTTCCAATCGCTCCACTAGCCGCGGTGATAAGGATGGTTTTTGGCGCCATGATTTGAGCTTATCAGGGTGCGTCACAAAACTCAAAATTTTGAATTCCCTATCAGTGAGACAGGAAAACTGGAGATATTCGAGCACTTCTTGAAATTCCTGATGATCTTGAAGCCGAATGGCGACATTATATAAGCTTCGGGTATGCGAGGAAAATACCGAATTACTGGGAAATTCGAGCAGCAGAAGAAGCTCCTAGGCGCTCGATGACTTGCCATTCGCAACTTCCTCGCAGCAGACATGCACGCTGTCGCGCGACGGTCTGGACTTTGGTGGATGACGTCTGCGACGAGAATGTTGTCGCCCAGCGACGCGTGCTTCTCGACTATTCCATGAACCAGAAACAGCTTCGCCGAAATTGTATGATACAGTGCACAAATAGCTGATACTCTGTATCAGATGTCTCGGTTCTGTTCTCTGTATCATGTGCGTTGATTCAGCTCCCTGTATCATATGTATCGGTTCTGCTTTTAAGTAATCACAGGTACACTTCACTGAGTCCAGCTGTTAAGGGGGGATTTACTGTTCACTTTGAACAGTACTTTCCAAGTCACCCTTATCCTTATCTTCTCAGATTCTCTAGTGCCACGTGGCACTCTACTTTTCTTGCACTACAATTCCTAGTCCCACAATCCACTTCCCAACCTTGTTTCTTGCATGCTATATAAACCTTGCTTGTACTTGGCATTATCAACCAATTCTCATTCAACTCTTCTTCAATTACTCAGTAACTTCTTCGCCTATTTCACTAGTAGTTCTTTCGTCAAAGTCTTCCGCCGCGCTTTATCCTCGACTTAGTCGACCCCGCTATTCTTTAGCGGACTTAGGCCAGCGGGCCTAACACTTGGTATCAGAGCCTTCGCGGGGAGCGACTTCCAACGAGCGGCCGTCGACGACGAGACTACGACGTCATCGTCCCGCGGTGCCGACTTGCAGACTTGGAGTCGTCGAGCGAACATGGACGAATCCATGAACGCTTTCCCCGCGACATGGGCAACACGCTTGCCGAGCTCATGCGTCAACTCGAAGAATTGACGTTCGAAAATCGTCAGGTACGAGCCGAAATGCAACAGCTTCGTAGTTTGGCTTCTAACCCCCATGACCTTGTCGCACCAACTCCTGCACCCACCACGTCGACTGGCGCGGAAGCGCTGCCGGAACGTCGAAGCGCACTCAAGCCGCAGAAGCCCGAGTCGTTCGACCCAAGTCAACGCGACGCGAACGTGCGGACGTGGCTCTTCATGCTCAACAACTACTTCGCCGCGAGCGGGGTGCAAGAGGCGGACGCGCAGCAGCGGATCGAGTACGCCGTAACGCTGCTGAGGGGCCCGGCCTTGGAGTGGTGGCGCCAACTTACGCAGACTGCTGTACGGAGGGTTCGGTTAGACGGGCATCAACAGGGCGTGGGGCATGCAGCTGCAACTTCGAGCTTAGGGAGTCTAGCTTTGGGTGTTACCACGGTTCCGACGACATAGAAAGGATTTGAAGCGGCGATGAAAAGTAGGTTCGATTTGGTGAACGCCTCCGAAGCTGCTAGGAAGCGTCTGCGTCATTTCCGACAGATAGGAAACGTCCAGGAGTACACACGACGGTTCTTGAGCATCTGCAACGAGATAGACGACATCACGGAAGCAGAGATGCGCGATCGCTACCTCGAAGGGTTGAAGCCGGACATAGCGGAGATTATTGCGATTCACGGGTTGTCCACCTTCGAGTCAGTAGTCGCAGCAGCAGAACGCGTCGACGCAGTACGAAGCCGACGGGGTCGTGACGATCGCGATAGGGGATACAACAGACCGATCAACGACGCTCGATCGAGGGACGGACCGTCGCCCATGGAGATTGGTGCAGTTAACAGTGACGGCTCACAGCACAAGACGGCGTTTCGTACGAAGCAGGGGTTGTACGAGTTTAGGGTTCTACCGTTCGGACTGACCAACGCCCCAGCGACGTTCCAGACGCTTATGAACACCGTCCTCTCCGAGTTCCTAGGTTCGTTCGTTGTCGTTTACCTAGACGACATACTCATCTTTTCCAAGTCGAAAGAGGAGCACGTGCAGCACTTGCAGAGGGTCTTTGAGGTCTTGCGGAGGGAGAAGTTGTACGCGAAGCAGTCGAAATGCGAGTTCTTTCTCCCCGAGGTCGAGTTCCTAGGACACGTCGTATCCGCTAGTGGCGTTAGGACCGACCCGAAGAAGATCGCAGCGGTACAGGATTGGGTAGCACCGACCTCAGTCAAGGAGTTGCAGAGCTTTCTCGGATTCGCAAATTACTACCGCCGTTTCGTTCAGGGTTACGCTTCCATCGCTAGTCCACTCACCGACCTACTTCGGAAAGGCGTAGAGTACGTTTGGGGTCCAGCGCAGCAGCAGGCGTTCGAGCAGATGAAGCAGTCTCTCATGTCTTCACCTACACTGTCGTACCCTGATCCCACTCGCCCGTACGTTGTAGTGACCGACGCTTCAGATCAGGCCATAGGAGCAGTACTTCTTCAGGACCAGGGACGCGGGTTGCAGCCGATCGCGTACGAGTCGCGTAAGCTGAGGGGAGCGGAGTTGAACTATCCCATACACGACAAAGAGGCGCTCGCGATCATCCATGCGTATAAGGTATGGAGGTGCTACCTAGAGGGGGCAGACAGTGTTATACGCACGGACCACTGCTCGCTTCGCTTTCTCAAGTCGCAACCGCAGCTGAGTCGTCGCCAGGCTAGATGGATGGAGTTCATGGAGGGGAGTTTCCACTACAGGATAGAGTACAAGCCAGGCGTTCGCAACCCAGCAGATCCGCTCACTCGCCCTAGTTGTCAGCTCGCTAGCCTCACAGTCACTGCAGGCCATCCACTTCTCACAGCACTCTTCGAGCACGGTTACACAGTAGATCCCGACTTCACACCGCAGCCGCCCGCAGGAGCAGAGGTGCAGGGTAGTGTTTACATACGGAAGGGCACCACACGGATTTGGGTTCCAGCCTACCGCCCTCTTCGACAGCTCCTTCTCTCAGAGGCGCACGACGTAGTTAGTGCAGGTCACTTCGGAGCAGACAAGACGGCTAAGACGCTTAGTCGCACGTACTACTGGCCAGGGCTTGCAGCAGACGTAGAGGATTACATTCGCTCGTGTGACACGTGTCAGCGTACGAAGTCCTCGCGACAGCGCAAGGCAGGACTTTTGCAGCCGATCACACCGCCCGACCGCCCTTGGCAGGTAGTTACCATGGATTTCATCATGGCATTACCGCGCACAGTTAGGGGTCACGACGCCATCTTCGTTGTAGTCGACAAGTTTTCTCGAGCAGCGCACTTCATCCCCACGCACGGCCAGGTCACAGCAGAGGAAGCCGCGACGCTGTTTGTAGATAACGTAGTTCGACTGCACGGGGTTCCAGATTCGATCATTTCCGACCGCGACCCTCGATTCACCTCAAAGTTCTGGAAGCAGCTTTTCGCACTGTTTGGGACTCGCTTAGCCATGTCGTCTGCGTACCATCCAGAGACAGACGGACAGACTGAGCGTGTGAACCAGACCTTGGAGCAGATCCTTCGCAGCATCACGATGCACGACGCAGCAGCATGGGACAAGAAGCTGAGCATGGCTGAGTTCGCCTACAACAACACGCATCACTCCGCCACAGGCATGTCACCGTTCTTCGCACTGTACGGTCAGCACCCCAATGTCCCCACTCGTGTCGATCTCACACCCACTGTCCCACGTACTGATAACTTCCACCAGCACCTCACCTTCATTCACGACCACGTGAGGAAGCACCTTGAGCTTGCAAATGCACGCATGGCACGCACCACCAACCGCAGTCGTCGTGAGGTGTCGTTCGCAGTTGGCGACCGTGTTCTTTTGGACAGCCGCAACCTCCGACTGCCACAGGACAGCAAGCTTCGCCCACGCTTCATTGGTCCATTTGTCATTGAGCGCGCACTTGGTCCAGTCGCATACCGCCTCCGCCTTCCCGCTCATTTCCGCATGCACCCATCATTCCACGTGTCTCTCCTTCGTCCTTACACCGATCCCAACGCCACCTTCTCGGGCCGTGATCGCACTCCACTGCCGGTAGCTGTTGACACCGACGAGCCCGACTACCAGATCCAGCGCATCCTCAGGCACCGTCGCCGTCTCCAGGGGGGTGTCTCTTTCATCGACTTCTTGGTTACGATGCAGCCGACGACAGCTGGGTTCCTTCGTCCTCGCTGTCTCCTGACAACGCTTGCCTCCAAGCGTACCTTCAGTCTGCAGGCGCCGCGGACGTCGCCTCCTTGGGGGGGGGGGGTAGTGTTAAGGGGGGATTTACTGTTCACTTTGAACAGTACTTTCCAAGTCACCCTTATCCTTATCTTCTCAGATTCTCTAGTGCCACGTGGCACTCTACTTTTCTTGCACTACAATTCTTGGTCCCACAATCCACTTTCCAACCTTGTTTCTTGCATGCTATATAAACCTTGCTTGTACTTGGCATTATCAACCAATTCTCATTCAACTCTTCTTCAATTACTCAGTAACTTCTTCGCCTATTTCGCTAGTAGTTCTTTCGCCAAAGTCTTCCGCCGCGCTTTATCCTCGACTTAGTCGACCCCGCTAATTCTTTAGCGGACTTAGGCCAGCGGGCCTAACACCAGCTAGTATGAATCGTCCTCAATCATCCCGCCACCATTTCAGATTCGACACCACAACATCCGCCACCAGTTGACCGTTGCTCGCACATCACTCCATTGCGGTTGAGCAGTTTTCAAAGCGGTTTACTGACTTTACTAAAGGGTTGAATAGGGTTTCATAGGGTCGAAAGCGACAGGGTGTTCACTAAAATTACGCCTACCAATCTTTAGCAGCGTGATTCGCGGAGCAGTCGCCTCTACCCTTCCCTTCAGCAGACCTACCCAAGGAAGAGGACTCACACGCGAATTCCAATCCCTGCTGATCTCCAGCGACCGCTCAAAACAAGCATCGTCTTTCAAGATGGGACCTCAAGACGATGTCTCTCTGTCCTTCGATACGAACCCCAATCTTACCTTCCCGCAGCATCGACGGCCACAAGGAGCCCATCAGCAGCAGCCGATGCCGTTCCTGCCGCAGCCAGGAATGGGTCCAGGTCCGGGGTTAGGTTCGGGCCCAGGCTTCGGCCCAGGCCTAGGTTCGGGTCCAGGTTCGGGCTTTGGGCCGGCAGCTGGTGGTCCACCAGGCGGCAACATGGCGTTTATGTCCTTCGACATGAGCAAGCCGAGTGAGTGTAGTGGAAGATTTGTGATTATAAAGGGGTGGTGCTAGTTGTAGCGATATGGTCAATAACTGAAATCCTAGGAGCTTTGGGGGGTTTTACACTCATTACCCTTACCCATGCTCGTAACGGTACGATTTTCATGATCCGTTTCCGGCTTCTGATTTTTTCGTTACAACTCGTTTTTTGTAATTCGTTTTCCCCAACCCGCGTCTCGCAGGTGCCTTGGCGCCTCCCCCGCAGGCGGGCCCGCGATTCGGAGGCCAATCGCAATACGACGGCTCTGGCGGGCTGTTCGGCCAGAACTCGTTTGAAGACGAGCTGCCGCTGCTGGAAGGTAATAATTCGTTATAAGATGATGCGGCTTTGGCAGTACGACAGGTCTGACGGGCTATTCGCCCAGAACTCGTTCGTAGACGAGCTGTCTCTGTTGGAAGGTAACAACTCGTTATAAGGTGATTCGTTTGGCACCATGACAGGTCTGGCGGGCTGTTCGGCCAGAACTCGTTTGAGGACGAGCTGCCTCTGCTGGAAGGTAATAACTCGTCATAAGGTGATCCGACTTGAGCAGTACGACAGATCTGGCGGGCTGTTCGGCCAGAACTCGTTTGAAGACGATCTGCCTCTGTTGGAAGGTAACAACTCAGAGAGCTCGGAATCAACATGCCTCAGATCCTGAGAAAGACAGCCTCGGCGCTGAACCCCATCCGCAGCAACATCAATCTCTACGATCATGGGGACCTTATGCACCTGCCTCTCTCCTTCTCTCACCTCTTGCATCTCCCTCTCCCCCACAGAGCTCGGAATCAACATCCCTCAGATCCTCAGAAAGACCGCCTCTGAGCTGAACCCGATTCGAATCAACGTTGACCTCTTCGACGATGGGGACCTGTCCAGCCCGCTCATCTTCTGTGTGCTCCTCTGTGGGCCTTTGTGTCATGTCATGTGTCCTCTCTCTTCTTGCCTCCCTTCTTCCTACAGAGCTCGGAATCAACATCCCTCAGATCCTCAGAAAGACAGCTTCGGCTTTAAACCCCATCCGAATCAACGTCGACCTGTATGATGACGGGGACCTCTCCGGCCCGCTCATCTTTTGCGTGCTCTTCGGCCTCTGCCAGCTCATGGTACGACTTGTAGTGAAGATTCTGTCATGGTCTGATCGACCGTCATTTGGGAGCTTCAGTCGTACGTGGGGAGTGAGTTGGACCTCTCCGGCCCGCTCATCTTCTGCGTGCTTTTCGGCCTCTGCCAGCTCATGGTGCATCGTGTCGTGTGGTGTGGTGCGGTGCGGTGCGGTGCGGTGCGGTGTGGTGTGGTGTGGTGTGGTGTGGCCCGATACGATGTGTGGTTCAGTTCAGCCGTACAGCTCAGCAGCTGGACCTGTCCGTCCAGCCCGCTCATCTTCTGCGTGCTCTTCTGTGTGTTCGCGTGTCACCACTGCTCGTTTGCTTTGCTCCCATGGCAGCACGCCAAGGTGCATTTTGGGGTGGTGCTCGGGTGGTCCGTGGTGGCATCAACGTTCATCTACACCGTTTTCAACCTTCTCGTGGGAGCGAGGTGCGTACTAAGTGGGGGAGAGGAGAGGCGGGCAGTGAGTGGGAGCGAGGCGGGCAGTGAGTGGGAACGAGGTGGGGAATGAGTGGGAACGAGGTGGGGAATGAGTGGGAACGAGGTGGGGAATGAGTGGGAACGAGGTGGGGAATGAGTGGGAACGAGGTGGGGAATGAGTGGGAACGAGGTGGGGAATGAGTGGGAACGAGGTGGGGAATGAGTGGGAGCGAGAGGTGCGGTGATTGGGACCTGTTCCGCTGCTGTTTCCCAGTCTCCTTTCCACTCCCCCCCCAACTTCTCTCCCACTCTCTCCCCATTCTCTCCCCCAACTCCTTCCCCACTCTCTCCCTCAACTCGTTCCCAACTCCTCCCCCAATCTCTCCCCCATTTTCTTCCCTTCTTCCCCCCGATGCCACTCTACAGGTCAGCGCAAGCAGGGCTAGACCTGTATCGTTGCTGCTCCATCTTTGGTTATGGGCTGCTGCCTATGGTGCTGTACTCTGCCGTCCCCATCATAGAACAACTTGAAGGTCTTGTCTTTACTCTCCGTCCCACTTTCCCCCAACTCCCCTCCCACTCTCTCCTCCACTCGCAGGTCAGCGCAGGCAGGGCTGGACCTGTACCGCTGCTGGTCCATCTTCGATCTACTTGGAGGTTCTCGATTTGAACGTTCTCTTCTCCACTCTCTCCCTTCTCTCTTCAACTCTTCTCCCTCACGCAGGTCAGCACAAGCAGGGCTGGACCTGTACCGTTGCTGCTCCATCTTCGGCTATGGGCTGCTGCCCATGGTGCTCTACTCCGCTGTTTCCATCTTAGAACAACTTGAAGGTCCTGTCCCCACTCTCCTTCCCCTTCCCTTCAACTCCTTTCTCACTCCTTTCCCACTCGCAGGTCAGCGCAGGCAGGGCTGGACCTGTATCGCTGCTGCTCCATCTTCGGATATGGGCTGCTGCCCATGGTGCTCTACTCCGCTGTTTCAGTCTTCTTCCCCCGCAGGTCTGTAACACATCAGTAAGTATGTTAAATGTCCTGCTGCCCTGTCATGGTCTGCTGCCCGTGGTACTCTACTCCGCTGTCTCAGTCTTCTTCCCCTGCAGGTCTGTAACAAATCAGTATGCAAAACGTGGATTGATTCCCTAACACTGTAAAATGTCAGTAACACTTGTAAAAGCCTGGACCCCCCCTTAATCATACCTCCCTTAACCATACCTGACACTCTTACATACTCCTCAGTACCTCTTGCTGCTAGTGACAGAGGGGAGTGCTGGCAGCAGTGGCAGCAGCAGTGGCAGCAGCAGTGGCCATAGTGTGGTGCACGCGAACAGCAGCATCCCTCCTGGTGGCCATATTCCCACACCTATACCTCACTTGTTTGTCTAGCCTCTTCCTTACAGGGGAGTGTTCACAGCAGTGGCAGCAGCTGTGGCTATAGTGTGGTGCATGCGAACAGCAGCATCTCTCCTGGTGGCGAAGCTTGCTCACCCACCTATGCCTGGATTTCTTGTCTATCTGTGTGTGCCTTCTGCATGTTGCAGGGGGGTTTTAACAGCAGTGGCAGCAGCAGTGGCCATAGTGTGGTGCAGCGAACAGCAGCATCCCTCCTGGTGGCCATATTCCCACACCTATACCTGACTTGTTTGTCTACCCTTCCTTACAGGGGAGTGTTCACAGCAATGGCAGCAGCAGTGGCCATAGTGTGGTGCACGCGAACCGCAGCATCGCTCCTGGTGGCCAGAGTCCCACAGGTCAACCCACCCTCCTATGTCTTGCTCACTTGTCTACCTGTATGTGTTTTTTTGTGCTTGTACAGGGGGGTGCTCACAGCAGTGGCAGCAGCGGTAGCCTTAGTATGGTGCACGCGAACAGCATCGTCTCTCCTGGTGGCAATAGTCCCACAAGCCAACGCACCTTCCAAATCCTGTTTCTTATCTACCCAAATGTGCCTCATGTTGCTACCGCAGGGGAATTTTAACAGCAGTGGCAGCAGCGGTGACCATAGTGTGGTGCACGCGAACAGCAGCGTCTCTCCTGGTGGCCATTGTCCCACAAGCAGACGATGTGCGAGCACTCATTGCCTTCATGTGCATCGTGACCTACTTCTGCGTTGCCCTCCTGGTGTTGTTTTGAGGAGGAGGCGTGGTAACAAGTGTTTAGCTCTTGAGGTCGGCAAATGTTTGGCTGCTGCTAGTTATTCAAGGTGGCATAAGTTGGTCCATGTCTATATGATCACGTAAAGCATGTCTGCCAAAATGTGTTTTATTGAGCATATGGAGTTACTGCTAATTTTACATGAATGCTGTAACTGCATTCTCCAAGATACGTCGCTGTTTGTGTGCTGGCGCACCACTATGTCGGAAACCGCGAACCAAAAGATGCGTCCAATAACGGGTTTGTTTGTTCTATCGTCGAATGTGGTAACTGAACATGCCAGCGAAGTGATTTCAATCAGCGAAGTGATTTCACAGCCATACTTGAGCCGCCAAACCTTCTTGGTAGTGGCGGTTCTCCCGCACACTACGCAGATTACGTGCCGTCTTCTAGTAATCCCCAACTGGCTTCTAGGAAGCCAAAGCGGGTTTCCGCGCCCGAGATTGAGACGAATTGCCGTTAGAGCTGACTTGGCTGGACGTCGGTCTTCCGTTCCGCTTGCGTTCCGTCTTCGTCAGTCACGTTTCAAAAGGCATGTGAACGAACGCCCAATACAAGTCCGTCTGTTTGGTCGGAAATCTGAGCACCATCGACAAGAAGTGTGACGAGAGATGATATAAGATACGCACGAAGTATCAAAACAAGCCTTTTATCCGTCGCTAGTAGATGGGTTATCCTATAACGAGTACGCAATCCTTTCAATCAGCAAATTCTCCCAGCAGCTCTCACGCTCGTCCGTCCAGAAGCCTCCAACTTACACGCTATGGCGATTGCAGCAGCAGCAGTGTCGATACACGCTGTGGCGTCAGTAGCAGCAGCAGCGGTGACGGCAGCATGGTTTATGAGGGTTCACTGGGACTCCCTGACAAGTCACCGACACTCCCTGAGATAGAACCACAGGGATTATCAGAAGAACCACTGAGAACCCCGGAAGATCACCCACGGGAACCTGTTGAGAAAGACCAACTGAACTCATCTGGCCGTCTCCATTCTTCCAGGCAATTTTCGTCTCAGTTCTCGTCTCACACCCTCCGGGATTACTTCTCTCTCTACTCCATCCTTTCCTTCTGCTCGGCCGTGATCGGATTTTATTTCACATTCACGATGTATTTCGGCCCGTACGTTTTCCGTGATGACGTGGACAGTTACCTCGTCAGCAGAGCGCTACAGACGGAAATGCAGCTCAGGCCTCCTGTGAACCAGCTCGTTCCCATCACGGATTTGCCGGCGTCAGTGCGAAGACGAGATTACCCTTTAGAGAGTCAGGGAGAGGAGGAGAGGGATCACACTCGAATGAGCCATAAAGAGGATAGATACGATGTGGACCTGGGGAGTTTGTCAGACCTGAGTCGGATCTCAGTTCAGGCGCTCGAGGAGAGAAAAAGCAACAGAAGCAGCCGGTTAACGCCTCATGCGCTCCAAGGAGGAAGCAGCAACGAAAGCAGCCCACAGCAGCAGACACTGCCATTCGGTACCATTCATTACAATCCCACCACCACCACTGGCAGACCTCCTAAGATCGCCTTCCTGTTTCTCACCAGAGGGCCTCTCCCCTTGAGGCCTCTCTGGGAGGAGTTTTTCCGTGGGAACATGGACCGTGCTTCGATCTACGTGCATGCTGGCACAGAGGGTTTCAGTGTGAATTCCCATGTTGGGAATGGCAGCGTGTTTTGGGGAACCCAGATTCCAGGCCTGAGCATTATAAGGGGGATGCCATCGATGATCCAAGCCACTCGGAGGCTTCTAGCGTCCGCATTACAAGACCCGGCCAATCAGAGGTTTGTGCTGGTATCAGAAGCGTGCATTCCCATTCGCTCTTTTGACTTCGTCTACACCTATCTCTTTACAGGAGATAGGAGCTTTCTCGCGGTGCTCCCCACCCTCCGCTGGTGGCGATTCCCGAGATATTTCTGGATATTTGTGCCACGTCAGGTGCTGCATCCGTGGCAGCTGAAAAAGGGGTCACAGTGGTTTGTCCTGACTCGACCACATGCTTTCTTAGTGGTCGAAAATATTAAGTATTACGTGGTTTTCGGCAGGGGTAGAGGGGAATACCCCGATGAAAGCTACATTCAGACTGTGGTTTGGGGGTATGATCGGAGCGGCATAGAGCCTCACTCTGTCACACACGTGGATTGGCCATCTTACAATTCCGAGCATCCAACCATGTACTCAGGCAGGAGTGTAACGAGGGAGCTTATAGAGAGGATGCAGAGGAGGCATTTTCCGGTGTCAGAGGCGGTGAGTCTGCAGGAGGTGTCTTTTCCTGGGCCTTGTAGGGTGGCTGGGGAGCTTGCGACTTGCTTTCTGTTTGCACGCAAGTTTGCAGCTGATTCTGTGGATGCCCTGATGGGCTTGCATGACACTTTGGGTTACTGATGGAAGAGGTTCTAATCAGATCAAGAAGTCTTCTATAATAATAATCTGGAAGGCCTGAGTACACACCACTAATTCTAAAAAATCACCTTGTCATTACTTCCTTGTACAGTATTCAGTATATACCCCATTATCCAGCAAAACATCCATCCATGCTTGAGCCGCTCACTGCAGTAAGCCACCCAGCGAGAAACAATCCAGAGCCCAGAAGGATTTCAATCTGTCCTCACCAGTCAGTATTCTGCAGGACCACCGAGACCACCGTCAGTATTCTGCAGGTGGGTTGCTCACTCCAGTGAGCCGCACAACCGATAACAGTAGAGGCGCCTCAGTACGGCCTAGAGAATTTTAGCTTGCCATAATCGGTCCCAGCAGGGCCATCATCCTTGCGCGGGTCGCTCACTGCAGTGAGCCTCCCAAGAAACATCAATGATGGCGGCACCTCAATACATCCCACAAGATACCTTAGTACTATTAGACTTACAATAATCAGAACCCAGCAGGGCCACCATCCTTGCGCGGGTCGCTCACTGCAGTGAGCCGCCCAAGAAATGGAGGCGGAAAGCTTGGCTCAGCCGTTGCAAGCTTGGCTGCTTCTTGGTCTGCGATTAGTTTCCTGCCGGGCCCACCAGATGGCACTGTTACAGGGGACGGCACTGCTGCGAGAGAGTTTAATTTCTGCAGTGAAGCACTACGAGCAGCACTGGCGGGGCCATCGAGGTCTTGCACAATGAGTTGAACGAAGCCCCCAAATTGAATGGGGAAGGTGGAGTGGTTGCGGCGGGCCAGGGCAGCGAGGGTTGCATTGGGCACTGAGATGCGCTCGCCATCGTCGAGAGCGTGTCCTGCCTCGTAGAACAATGTGTTGGGCAGCAGCTGTAGGGGGGGACGGGGGGGGGGGATGTGGAGCACAAGGGCAAGGGCAGCGAGGGTGGCGTTGGGCACTGAGATGCGCTTGCCATCGTCGAGAGCGTGTCCCGCCTCGTAGAACAACGTGTTGGGCAGCAGCTTTAGGGGAGGAGGGGGGGGGGGGGAGAGCACAAGGGTAAGGGCAGCGAGGGTCGCGTTGGGCACTGAGATGCGCTCCCCGTCGTCGAGAGCATGGCCTGCCTCGTAGAAGAGCGTGTTGGGTAATAGCTGGTGGGGGGAGGGAGGAGGGGCATGTGGGATACGGGAAGGACTGAGATGGGGCAGCGAGGGTTGCGTTGGGCAGTGAATTGCGCTCGCCATCGACGAGAGTGTGAGCCGCTTCATAAAGGAGTGTGTTAGGCAATAGCTGGAGGGGTAGGGGGGGGATATGGGAAGTATTTATCAGCTGATTCACAGACTGGGCAGTGAATTGCGCTCGCCATCGTCGAGAGTGTGAGCCACTTCTAAAGGAGTGTGTTGGGTAGTAGCTGGAGGGGTAGGGGGGGGATATGGGAAGTATTTATCAGCTGATTCACAGACTGGGCAGTGAATTGCGCTCGCCATCGTCGAGAGTGTGAGCCGCTTCTAAAGGAGTGTGTTGGGTAGTAGCTGGAGGGGTAGGGGGGGGATATGGGAAGTATTTATCAGCTGATTCACAGACTGGGCAGTGAATTGCGCTCGCCATCGTCGAGAGTGTGAGCCGCTTCTAAAGGAGTGTGTTGGGTAGTAGCTGGAGGGGTAGGGGGGGGATATGGGAAGTATTTATCAGCTGATTCACAGACTGGGCAGTGAATTGCGCTCGCCATCGTCGAGAGTGTGAGCCGCTTCTAAAGGAGTGTGTTGGGTAGTAGCTGGAGGGTGGAGAGGGGGGGGGGGGGGGGGGGGGGGGGGGGGGGGAGGAATATGGGAAGCATTTGTCAGCTGATTCACAGACTGGGCAGTGAATTGCGCTCGCCATTGTCGAGAGTGTGACACACGTCGTAGCAGCTGGAGGGGAAGCAAAGGGGAATGTGGGGTATGGGAGGTGTCGTCGAAGAGAAGAGACGAACGAGCTGCGCAATTGGAGGGACATGCCGAATGTGCATGTGTACCGACATGTCCATCTATGAGTTTGATAAGTCAACTTTAGACTTGACTAAAAAATCGACTTCTCACACACTTGATAAGTCGATTTTTGAGTCAACTCAAAAATCGATTTATCACATGCCGGATGTGCATGTGCATGCGCATGTCCATCTATGTGTTGATGTACATGCAGGGTCGAAAGCATGCCATGGCCAACTCACCTGGTGGTGGATGCGAGGAGCATCAATGGCCTTGAAGGGTGAATAACCCTGGCAAAAGAAGTGCAGGACCACTTGCAGAACAGCCGAAATAATCACTGTTCCTCCAGCCCCACCAACCACAGCTTTCAGCTGCCCGTCCTGTAGCACAATAGCCGGCGCCATCGACGACAGCGGCCTTTTTCCTGCCCGGATGAAATTCGCGGGGGCGGGCGGTGGCTCAAACGGCATCGGAATCCTGCCCGGCCGGTAGGGCAGCGAAAAATCCGCCATTTCGTTGTTGAGAACTATTCCTGATTGGACCGCCATCCTGCCCGCTCCCCAGGGTCCATTTATTGTAGATGTTATAGAAACTGCCATTCTATCCTGATCCACCACACACGTGTGTGATGTGCCATGGTCGTCTAGCTGTGCGTATAGTTGGTGGCGGTGCGGGTGGCGCTTTTTGTCCTCTTCTGATTCGTCCTCCGGGTGGCCGTAGTGCTCGGGCGGGAAGGTCATGTTGTCGTGGATGGCGGATCGAAGCCGGGCGGCAAACTCGTCTGAAAGCATGTCTGGACGCAGGGATACGGACGAAAAGGAATGAACGAGGGGAGATTGAAGAAGTGGCTACAGGACTTAACATAAGATTGGAGGGAAGGTTTCAAAAGGGCACGACACACTGAACAAGCGTGGTGAAACTGACTTCTGAGACGTCTCAAAAGGAGCACGGTGCAACTGAATCAAATTATGACTCGGATAGTAGCAGTACCTTGGATAACGTCAGTGACGTTGACAAAAGCGGGGTCCCCCAGGTGCATGCGCAGCGCAAACGCATGCTTTAAGCTCTCCACCACCCGATGCACGCCCAGGGCACCTGCTGACGCTAAGGGGAGCTCGTACCTCGGATAACGTCGGTGACGTTGACGAAGGCAGGATCCCCCAGGTGCATGCGCAGTGCAAACGCATGCTTTAAGCTCTCCACCACCCGATGCACGCCCAACACTCCTGCTGACGCCAGGGGAAGCTCATACCCTTGAAGAATCTTGAGCACCTGCAGAATCACCGCTCCCCCTGACGATGGCGGCGGGGCCATCAGAAAATCAAGCCCAAACGCCTTCCCCACAAGCACCTGCCTCACTTCCGCCTCGAAATTCTCCAAGTCCTGCTCGGTTAGTATCCCTCCCATAGCCTGAATCTCCTTTACTAGGGCCTTCGCCCGCTCCCCTCGATGCAATGCATCTGGACCCTTCTCTGCTATGGCTTTAAGAGTGGCTGCTAGGGCGGGGCGGTAGCAGGTGTCTCCTTTTCTCAGAAGCTTCCCTCCCGGGGCGAACACGGTGCTTAGACCAGGGTCTGAGAGGATGGTTGCGTTGCTGGCAGCGAGGGAGTTTGCCAGGTAAGCTGCCACGTGGAAGCCATTCTCTGCCATGTCAGCGGCTGGTGTGACGAGGTCGCGCCACGTCAGCCTGCCGTGCCGCTGCCACGCCAGGTAAAGCCCTGCAATCTCTCCAGGTACTCCCACTGAAAGCCCCCCCTTTCTAATGTCCTCCTCGTGACCCTCAAACATGTCCTGTGTGAAGGAAATGGTGGGGGGGGAGGAGTGGTGGGGAGGGGAGAAAGAACGGTAAGAAGGTTTTAGATTGCCTCGGAACTCCCACTGAGGAGGCCCCCTTTCTAATGTCCTCCTCGTGACCCTCAAACATGTCCTGTGTGACGGACATGGTGGGGGGGATGAAGGGAGGGGAGGAGTGGGGAGCCTGTTGCCACGCCAAGTAAAGCCCTGCAATCTCCCCGGGTACTCCCACTGAGAGTCCTCCCTTTCTAATGTCCTCCTCGTGACCCTCAAACATGTCCTGTGTGAAGGAAATGGTGGAAGGGGGGGGGGGAAGAGGGGGGGGGAGGGGATAGAGAACGGTAAGAAGGTTTTGAGGTCCGCCGGTACTCCCGCGGAGAGGGACCCTTTTCTGATGTCCTCCTCGTAACCCTCAAACATGTTCTGGCGGGGAAGGGAAGAGGGGAATAGACGAGGTGGGATGGGGAGAAGAAGGATGAAATCTTTCGAGGCGTGTCAGAACTCCCAGTGAAAGGGCTCCCTTTCCAAATGTCCTCCTCGTGACCCTCAAAATTTGAGGCACCTCAAAGACCCTCGAACATTCTCATCCAGGGCTGTCTCTCGGCAGTCAATGAACTCCGCAGAGCCGTTGGGATGGGAGAGCGGATAAGAATGAACGCACCGCAGGTGACCCCAAGCAACCAACCACACCACGAGTAACACCCACCTACCCCCCAGTACCCCTGAATCGGAGGTCAACCTAGTCACCTGGTGAGCAGCGGCAGGAGCTGCCTCCCGGCAGTCAATGAACTCCACAGAGCCGTTGGGGGAGCGGATGAGAATGAACGCACCCTCGCCAATGCCGCTCGCCATGGGGTTCACCACGCCACGCCCATGCACAGCACTGTAGCGACTAACCATCCCATTTATCCCTCTCATCCCAATCAACCCAAGCACCCCGGGCACCCCAAGCATTCCCAATACGTGGCAAAAAGCCCCTGTACCTGGTGGGCAGCGGCAGGGGCGGTCTCTCGGCAGTCAATGAACTCTGCGGAACCATTGGCCGATCGAATGAGAATGAACGCACCCCCGCCAATGCCGCTCGCCATGGGGTTCACCACTCCCATGCACAGCACTGTAGCGATGCCTGCATCCACCGCATTACCGCCGGATTTCAGAATCTTCTTCCCGATTTCGGAACACCTGGGGTCCTCAGAAGCTACTGCTGCGTGATCTGCCTCCACCACTGCTGCTGCTGCCGGTTCTATTGCAGCTTCTGCTTCTGCTGCTGCTGCAGGACCTTCCACCGCCGAATCTTCCACCCCAGCCTGCCAGCTGGACAGTAACCGAGCCTGCCAGAGAGGCTTGGACTCGGTCAGGATTTCGTCCACGAGGCGGAGCGAGCCGGGGGACCAGCCGCTCTGGAGCGCGACTCCGGTGAGGGTGCAGAGACCCAGGGCAAGCAGCGTCAAGAGCAATCCTGAAACACAAAGGTTGGAAAAGTGGAGGAAGAGAGTTCGGTCAGTAGTTCGTCCACAAGCCGGAGCGAGCCGGGGGACCAGCCGCTCTCGAGAGCGACTCCGGTGAGGGTGCAGAGACCCAGGGCAAGCAGCGTCAAGAGCAATCCTGAAACGCAGAGGTTGGAACGGAGGAGGACGAGCAAACTTCAGGCGCAGGTTGCAGGAACATGAAGAACAAAAATGCAGTTAAAAAATCCATGTAGGGCTGCCAGATTTGAAGTATTTCGAAAATTATCTAGCTGGGAGTGAAGAGCCAGTCTGGTCAGGGTGCATATGTCTAGATTGAGCAATGTCAGCAGGAGCCCTGAAAAGTGGAAGCTTCAGCAAGAAAGGGATCGCCAGAGAGGCTATATAACACCTCGCTACCCACTGGGTCAAAACGAGGGTGTTATTTGGCGCAGCGGAATGCCCATTAACACTAGCCCACAGGCGTTACCACTCGTTCCCCCCTGGTGTCAACGTCCTCGTTGACGAACTTCAGGGAGTCGGCCCCCCACGGGGACCTAGATTTCGCTGAGGAGGCAGCAGCGACTTCGCTGGTGGACCAGGCCAGCGGAGGATCGTTTGCTGAGTTAGATCCGGTTACCACATTCAAGTTCTCGCCTCAGGCGGAAAATGTGGATCAGCCAGGATCTGAAATCTAGGCTTTGATTCCAGTATAACACCTCGCTACCCACTGGGTCAAAACGAGGGTGTTATTTGGCGCAGCGGAATGCCACTAACACTAGCCCACAGGCGTTACAGGCTAGGATCCACGCAGTAACGTCAAGAACAGCCATTCAATAATATAGCGAACATTAGGAGCACAAAAGGCTGAAGAAGAACGGGGTGTGATGAAACGCGATCGGAAATCTCGTCTCATCACACCATGAAGCGGGACTGACCATGAAGGTTATCTCTGTTGCTCCCTGTTTTGAGACACCTGGGGGATCCCCGTTGACAAAGGCGGAATCCCCCAGGTGAATGCGCGTCTCAAAACACTTCTGCATACACCTGACCATGAAGGTTATCTCTGTTGCTCCCTGCGACTCCTAAGTCGACGAGGAAACGGCATGATTGCGAAATCTCTAAGCACGGACCATAAAAGCTGTGTTTGTCGCTCCGTCGATCCTGTTGCTCCTCTTCCGCTGGCAGCAGCTGGACACGTGGAAGAAGCTCCGGATCCATCGGATGCAGCACGAAGTTTCCGTGTAGTGTTGGCCTGTCAACTGAATGTCAGCTGAATCGTCAGCGATATCTTGTAAATTCAGCGAATATTTAACCCAGACCCTGCACGAATAACCCCGAGTGTCAAGTGACGACGACGATATGCATCAGGTGACCGTGAATTACCGCGAGTTACTGCCAGAAGTAACAAGAAGAAAGAAATGGAAAGTCAAAACACAATCACTGCAAAACAAACAAAACACGATCACTGGTAAGCGATGCCCCTAGTCCGAATCCCTAACGAGCCGACCTTGTCAAGCTGGAGCCGCGATCGCAGGATTGAGCGTGAAATTAAAGCCTGACGAGACTCAGCTTCACAGATACAGCCAAAACAAACACTGAATTCCCACTCGTTATGTACCAGCGATTATGAGTGTGGAATCAGAAACTCGATCACTACCGTCCCTGACGGTGCACTGCACTGCAGGAGCACCTGCCATTCACAAAACACCTAACTCAGTCTCGTCAGGGGTAGCAGAGAGCTATCAAACAGCTGCCCTCGGCGTCCAGAGCAAGGCGAAATGGTGGTGCATTTCGTTTGAAAAAGCTCGGACTTGAAAATGGGTTCTACACGATTTTCTGAAATGCTGTGCGCTACGGTGTGGTGCAGTGTGGTTATCGTTGAACGATGAGGGGAGCATCCATGTTTTTTCTATCCTAGGACGGCAGGATGAAAGAGCTGTGGGGGTTCAACTTTGGCCACGGCGAAAACAATTTAGCTGTTACATTGTTTCGCGGACATCCTCAGTTCGTCGTGACAACAGCTTCAACCAATGGCCATTCGGGTGATGCAGCGCTCCTGTCCGTCAAGAAGGTGGCAAGAGCTGACCTCGAGATTCCCTCCTGGCTGCCAGCAGCGACTGGGGACGTCATCAAATATGGACATATGGTCGACGCCACAATTCAAATGTGTGGCTCACATTCGTTTCGTAATCGCTTGCGACTACGTGCGACAACTCTTCCAAACCTGCACGTCCTCGTTAAGGAAATTTCACTAGTACAAAGTGAACAAGCAAGTGACGCGCGCCTACGTAATGTGCATCTCACCACAACAGCATTCTATTTTCACCTCTGGAGTTTGACCAAAGAAGCTTCAAGCAGCTAACCCTAACCTATTTGTAACAAATGAAAACTAAGCTCATGCCAGCATGAGCAAGGCTAGGAACCCAGCAGTTCCAGCGAATGCAGCAGCCAACAATGAGGATTGTCTTTGCGCAGGCTTCGCAGGCAATGCTGGAATGTCCTCCGGCATCACACACTCCTCGCCATTGAAAACAATTTTCTGCAATGGCAAATCAACAAAACACATTAGATCGTCAACTCAAACCCCAACTCAAACCCTTCAACCCCTCCTCTCTGCCCCCTCCCTGCGATAAGAAAATCCTTACATCTCACATACATATAAATATTATTCCTTCCCAACTCACCCTAGGGAAGACCCATCCGTCTTCAAGCGTAAACTCGGACGTCTTGGCAAAGAGCATTTCCGACTGCACGTTGCCGCCCTTGCCAGCTGGCATGAGCACGTCGTTGTACTGCTTCATGCCAAAGAAGATGGCCGTGTTGTTGACTCCATAGGGCAGAATGTTCTCCGCCTTCCAGCTGAACACGTCCGTCAAGTTGCCCATGTTCGGGTGCTGTGAGGGCCAGACATAAGGGAAACAGAGGGACAGTCAGAGGTACTGCTTCATGCGAAAGAATGTGGCCGTGTTGTTGACTCCATAGGGGAGGATGTTCTCCGCCTTCCAACTGAACACGTCCATCAAATTGCCCATGTTCCGGTGCTGCAGACAACAGATGGAAGCAGGGAGACAGGGCAAGGGAGCAGTAGTTACTAAGATTAAGAAAGAAAGAATGAAATAATGAAAAAGAAACCCTTCCAGCTCAACACAGCTGTCAGATTTCCCGTGTTCGGGTGCTGCAAAGTATAGAGGGAGGTGAACAAATAGAGTAGATATGCAGACAGACAAAATCACAGGGAGACAATAAACTAGTCAGAAACTCAGCACAGGTAGACAGGTCAACACTAAAACGTTCAGGCTGCTTCAACCAGAGGGAAAATGCTTCTTCCCCACCCACGTCCCCATTCACCCGTCTCCACTACACACATACCTCAACAACAACATTCCAATTGGTGTGATTGTCCCACAGGCTCCTGTTGATGATGGTGATTTTGGCTCTCCAGAATCCCTCGTAATTTTGCTGCAGCAAGACAGCAGGGCATAAAGGGAACAAGGCAGGCAAGGGACCACGCATCACAAAACTTGAATCAAGCAACTATGCAACGAGTGAGGCATGGGGCAGGAAGCAGAGACAATTCACCTTTTCCCAATCTTTCCCCTTTTACTCCCACCTGTTCACATGCCCCTCTGCGCCCTTTTTCCTCTCCTCTCAGCCTCTCAGTGTCTTCCGCTCGCCTCACCTTGAAGTGGTAGTGAATGCTGATGGGGCATCCGTCCGGACTGCACTCCACAGCCGTCTGATCGCTCTTCAGCTCCAGCCCATCCCCACCCAACCCTGTGTCCCCCACTCTCTGCCTCCCCATCTCCTGTTCGCCTCACCTTGAAGTGGTAGTGAATGCTGATGGGGCACCCGTCCGGACTGCACTCCATGGCCGTCTGATCGCTCTTCAGCTCCAGCCCATCGCCACTCGGCGTCGACATCACATACGGCACCTTGCCGCCCGTCGATCGAGCTCACAGATCAATTCTCACATGCACACACTTACACTCCCCCTATTCCCTGTTTCCTCCTCTCATTGTCTCCCTCACTCCCCCTCTCCCTCGCTCCCTCCTTCCCTGTCTCCCCCTCTCCCTCACCTTGAAGTGGTAGTGAATGCTGATGGGGCATCCGTCCGGACTGCACTCCACAGCCGTCCGATCAGTCTTCAGCTCCAGGCCATCGCCACTCGGCGTCGACATCAGGTACGGCACCTTGCCCCCCGTCGGCACGCACACAATCGAGCTCGACGAGTAGTTCCCGCACGCGCACGCGCAGCTCGCGCACGGTATTATCGTATCATTGTAAAACGAGGATAAAGACACGCAGCACTTCGGCGGGTCGCGCTTCTGAATCGAGCTGTAGGTGCAGACTATGTGGTAGGTCACTTGAGCCTGGGTCTCCCGGCGAGTGGTAGGGTCGGTATAGATGGTGGCGTTGACCTGGTAGGGGTCTGTGCACTTGTATCCGTCCACGCCCAGGCTGAAGTTGCCGGGAGGAACGAAATTCCACACAGTGCTCGTGGCATTCCCCACGTTGATCTGGAAAAAAAAATGGGGCAAGGGAGAGAGGGGCAAGAAGGGGGCAGAAAGGGAAAGGGGGGAGAGGGCGGAGCGGAGGAGTGTTAGGTAGGGTCGGTGTAGATGGTGGCGTTGACTTGGAAGGGGTCTGTGCACTTGTATCCGTCCACGCCCAGGCTGAAATTGCCTGGAGGAACGAAGTTCCACACAGTCCTCGTGGCATTACCCACGTTGATCTGCAGGACGGGGGAGAAACGGCAGAGGGGAGCGGAGGGGAGAAAATAGAGGGTAGAATATTGGTGGGGAAGGGATTGGAAGGGAAGGGAGGCGGGCAACGAGGGGTCGTGGTTTTGGCCCGATAAAAGCGGCGCGCGAATCGCCACACAAAGAGCTGAGCGGGTGGAGCTTAGGAGGAGGCAGGTGCGAGGATCAATGTTGACGTGCAACGGTGACGTTGGGGGGAGGAAGGGGACGTTAGGAGGACAGGGAAAGACCCCTGCACCGATAGTGTCCTGAAACTATTATCACCTCCCGGATATTCCCTAAGAAAAAAAATACCGTAACAATGTTACATGGGGCGCCGCTCACCATGAACGCGGCGAGCGAGTGCCGATGCGGGGTCGGTCTTGTTGGCGCCGAGGTACCCCGCCTTGCAGCAGTTCTTCAGCACGCCCGGCGCGTCGGGTTTTAAGGGGTCCGCGGGCATTAGATCCATCACCACCGGGTACTGCATGCAACTGCGAGGAGGGGCGGGGGAGCGGATAACGGGGGAGGGGGGAGGGATTGAGAGGGCCCGCGGGCATGAGATCCATCACCACTGGGTACTGCATGCAGCTGCGCGGAGGGGCGGGGTGTGGGGGCGGGGGAGGGGATACGCGGGGGGGAGGGGCGTGGGTAGAATGGGAAGGGCTGTAAGGGGTCCGCGGGCATAAGATCCATCACCACGGGGTACTGCATGCAACTGCGGGGGAAGGGGTTGGAGAGGTGGGGGGAGTGGGGGTGGGGGAGCGGATAAGCCCGGCGCGTCGGGCTTTAAGGGGTCCGCGGGCATAAGATCCATCACCACCGGGTACTGCATGCAGCTGCGCGGAGAAAGGAGGGAACGCGGCAGGGGGGAGGGGGAAACGGGGGAGGAGGAAGAGGTTGAGAGGGTCCGCAGGCATCAGATGCATAACCACCCGGTACTGCATGCAGCTGCGCGGAGGGGCGGATGGATGGGGAGGAGGCGGGGAGAGGATAAGCGGGGGAGTGGGAGGGGGTTGAGAGGGTCCGCGGGCATAAAATCCATCACCACCCGGTACTGCATGCAGCTGCGCGGAGTGGCGGGAGAGAAGCGGGGAGACGGGTGCGGGGGAAGGGGGAGTGGGGGCGAATAAGATGGGGATGTGGAGGGGGGGTGTGCGGGGGGTGGGGGAAAGGGGCGGGAAGTTGTTGAAGAGGGTCCGCGGGCATCAGGTCCACCAGCAACGAGGCGACTAGAAACAATAATGTATTATTAAGAGTATAAGAAGGATAAATCGGCGACGCACCTGTGCGGGATCTTGCCGCCGGGGAACTGCAGCTTAGAACAATCGCCTTGCTTCGTCGCCACGGCTCCCTGCAGCGCACGAGCGGGGAAGTTGAGAGGGAGGAGTGAGCCCCGGAGTTGAAGAAGGAATTAGGTACTAGAGAATTCTCAAAAGTGATAAGTGAGCGAGGGAGGAGGAGTGAGCCAAGGGGGCGAGGGAGAGAGCGAAGGGAGTAAGCCAATGGAGGGACGGGAGTAGGGAGAGGGGGAAGAGACGGGAGAGACGGAAGCGAGGGAATAGGGAGAGGGAAAGACGGTGTGATAAGGAGTATAATGCGCGGCAGCTACGACTACAATCGTCTGACCGTCCACACTCCAGCACAAGAGTAACCAATAGAAACTTCTCACTACATTCCGCGCGCCGTTGCTGCTGCTCGTCGTCAAAGTCGTTATATAAGTGAAAGATAAAAGGCCTCCCTAAACTCGCCACAAACGAACGCGTCACTGCTGGTGCTGCTGCTGCTGAGCGCGTCGCTGCTGCTCCAGCGGCTGCTGCTGCAACTGCTCACATGTTAATCCATGCTGTATTTAGAGACCTCTTCACTCTGCTTACCGTCAGGTCCCAGATGTATTCGCCATGCGTCCAATTCCACGTCAGCGCCCAGCCAGGTGGATCAATCTTGCGGTAGTGCTGGTAGTTGTACATTTTCACCCACGCGATGTAACCGTCGCCGGCCCAACTCGTTACATCCCACACGATCGTGATGTTGCCCGTTGGATCTAGCGGATCGTACGCTTCAGCTGACGGCACGCCGGTGGCCAATAGGCATGCGGTTATCGCAAGAGCTGCGAAAAGCGTGCAGCTGCCGCGATGCACGGAGAACATCATCTTGATCAGCGATTTTCCAGCCACTCGACTTTTTCCCTTCAATTTTATTTTCACGGTCGTTCTTATCACCGCCAAACACTGGCTGATCGGAAAACCTGATAAAGTTAGACGCAACAACTCTATATATCCTACTTGGAGCTGACACAGGCAGTCTGACACGGACAGGACTGAAGGACACTAAAATAATATACACGTAAGATGCATGACTTCGTACGGGGCTAGATCCCAATCAAGAACGTCTACGAAAAGAGGTAACCTCCAAGAATAACAGAAAGCTCTAACAATCCACGAAAGCACAGACGACCAGGGAGGGTGCTTTCAGTCTCCAGGGAACCAGTTCTCCACAAGTAATCAGTCCCCTGGATGTGTCTAGTTTTTCACGGTTCGATCTGCTAGTGGAGTTCCCAAGGAGACATTCCCCGAGGAAAGACAAGTTCAAGAGAAAGCATCCATTCCATTCCCCAGGGGTCTCATGGGGCGGGGCGCGTGGGTTGGGCAGAGCACGCGCGGGGAAGGGCTGGGGAATGACGGACGACGGGTGACGCTGACAACAGTCAGCGGAAAGAAGCCGCGGAAGGCTGGGGCGAATCCCGCGGGGAACGCGGAAGAAGCACGGAGATGCTGAGCGCGGAGCCGCAAATCGAGGCGTTCGCGACTGCGCGACGGGGCAAGAGAGAGGGGCTTCAGATCATTGTGCTTCAAGCGATGGTGCCAGTGACAGAAGCGAGTTGTGACCTTCGACTTCGCGACGCGAATGTTTTGTTTCTGATTGGCTTCAGGGGAGCTTGACACAAATCGGAGCTGAGAGCCAAGCGAAATCGAGAAGGATGCTAAAATCGAGGGGAAAATGGTCATCCCACGGCTATCCATCAACCCAGACCAAGAAAACCGAACCTGGTGGCTGACCAAACAGAAAACTTGACCGCTGGTTTGTCGCAGCGCGGCCTATTCCGTGTCAGAGCGGGGAGAGCAGGCCGCCAATCGGCGCAATCTCATGGAATGGACAGGACGTGACTTCAGTGCCCAATCATTGCGGTGTCAGAGCCTAGCGAAACTATGCGAAAAAACTGCACTTCAACGGTTATGAAACATAAGCTTGCATTCGTACTAGCATTCCATTTCTTATTCAAGGATGCCGTCTAGAGACGCAAGGCATGCCTAATTTCACCACCAACCGAAGCATGCACACAAACACATTCTACTTCTTTCCAAACCCAAAGAAACCTCCAATCTGCACACAAAAGCAACCAAATAAGGGGGTTGTCAGCATGAACAGATTCAAAACGAGAACTAGCGCGCACTCCAAAACCCAACCAAGCACATCTTACGTCGCAGCCCACCTTTTGTCGCATTCCAACTCTTCCATGTTCTGCCCCATGAGCATCAGCTGCATGCATGCCGTGCGGAGGGCCATTCAATCCCATCACATTGTGCGGCTGCGGAATGTACATGTCAGGATTCGCATCATAATTCACAAGTTTCCCCCCTAGCCCTCCCGCACCGGCAGGATGGGCAAGATATGGGGGAGGAGGAAGCGCAGCACCAGCACCAGCAACAGCACCGGCACCAGCACCAGCACTAGCACCAGCACCAGCACCCGCACCCGCACCAGTACCAGCACCGGCACCAGTGCCAGCATGATCACCAGGAGGAGGAGGAGACGGAGGAGGGGGAGCCATTCCGACCCCAGCCAGAGCAGCAGCGACTCCTGCATTCCACCCACTCGGCTGGGCAGCACCCCGCCCATCGCCTCCCATATGCATTCCAAAGTCCCCGACCCCTGCCCCTCCCTGCATCTTCTTTCTCGCCTGCCTGTCCTGGAACATCTTAGTGTATCCCGCAGCTTCGGCCGCGTGCTCAATTCCTCCTTGAAATCGCACCTTGGAGTGCTGCGCATCTTCCTCCCAGTCGCTGTAAGGCAGTTGGTAGGCGATTCTCGGCGCTGACCTAATAGCGGGTGAGCCTGTACTGGGTACAGTGGCAACAGGAGCAGGACCAACGGTGGCGGCAGCAGTAGTGGCACCACCAGCACCGGCAGGAGCAGCAGCAGAAGCAGTAGCAGAAATAACAGAAGCATCATCACCAGGTAACGCAAAGGTAGCTTCAGGGGCAGCAGCACAAGCAGAGCTGCCACTGTCGTCAAGGGCAAAAGTAATATCAAGTGGAGTGCCACTACCGCCATAACCAGAGTCAGCAGCAGCACTCACACCCTCAACACCACCAGCACCACTGGCAACACCAGCAACACCAGCAGCAGCACACGCCCCGTCTTTCTGGTCCCTGATTGGCCCGCCTGCTACCGACCAGCCCTCCCAGGTGAACCCCCCATCGTCCTCTTCTGGTTCCAAAGGCAGGAGAGCCATGGGTGAAGGGCCGTGGTCCGAATGGCCATGGGAGGGATGGTTGTAGGATGAAGGAGGGAGGGCGTAGGGCGGAGGAGGAGGAGGGGGGGCAGGGGAGGAGAAAAGAGGGGAGGAATCGGAAGAAGAGGAGCGAGTCACCATGCGCTTGTCCATGGGGCTACCAACTGGAGTGTGCTTATCTTGGAGGTTCGGGATGGGATGATGAGAAATGGGGGTTGCCGAGGCTGCTTGGTACGGCTGAGCCGTGCGAGGCTGGAAACCAGGTTCGGGAACCGATGCTGAAGCATTAGTTTGTGCTGCTACGGTGTTTCCATGTGCAGCTCCAGTGGCCCCAACGCCATCCGAACCTTCGCCGGACCTGACCGCAGCTTCGGACAATATGGCATCACGAGCCCAAGCTGGAGTTTCGAAAATCAAGGAAGGGTTAGCAGCAGAGTCATGGCGGTGTGGGGAATGGTGAACTGGAGAGTAGTAACGAAGGGGCCGACGGGGAGGGGAGGACTCAGGGGAAGAATCAGATGAGGCACACGAGCCTAAGCGATAGGTTGGGGGACTGGCTTGGGCATAGACCGCAGGCTCGTTTGCCGAAGCTGGTGTTTGCTCGGGAACGGCAGGAACAGCAGCAGGAACAGCAGCAGCAGGAGCAGGAACCGCAGTGGCAGTGGCGGCAGGAGCAGCAGCAGGAGAGGCGGACATGAGTGCAATTACACCATCAGTGAGTCTCTGCATTTCCAGCGGGGACAGATTCTCCCCTGCAGCCAGCCTCAGCTTGAGCGCCTGCAGTTCAGCGAGGGAAGGTGGGGAACTTGACGGCTGCTGAGGCGCCTCAGATGTTGCTGTCGACAGGGGATTTACCAAAGGCGCTGCTGCTGCGGGTTCTGCTACTGATGGTGGTGGTGCTGGTGGTGCTGCTGCTGCTGCTGCTGCTGCTGCTGTTTCTGCTGTCGCTGCCTGTGCTGCTGAAGGTTGCTCCCATGACATGTCTTCAGCATTCGGAGCAAACGCGGAGTGGGAAGAAGAGGAACTGATAGAGTGCACAGGGGAGTCGGACGCGATTGGCTCAAGCGCCAGACCTGGCAGGTACGACTGCCGAGGCTGGGGGTTAGGCTCGCGGGGGCGGTCCGGGGAGCCGGAGAGTGGGGAGTGGTAGAGGTGGTAGAGAGGATGGTCGGGTGGTATGTGAGGGATACGGCTTGGTGATCGAGACTCGGAGGATCCGGAGGAGGAGATGGTGACGTTTGCCTGTAGTGCAGGTGGATGGGCAGAGGGGTGTGCAAACGGGAGGAAGAGGAACGGCACTTGCATAGATTAGATGCTGCTGGGTGATCGAGACTCGGAGGATCCGGAGGAGGAGATGGTGACGTTTGCCTGTAGTGCAGGTGGATGGGCAGAGGGGTGTGCAAACGGGAGGAAGAGGAACGGCACTTGCATAGATTAGATGCTGCTGGGTGATCGAGACTCGGAGGATCCGGAGGAGGAGATGGTGACGTTTGCCTGTAGTGCAGGTGGATGGGCAGAGGGGTGTGCAAACGGGAGGAAGAGGAACGGCACTTGCATAGATTAGATGCTGCTGGGTGATCGAGACTCGGAGGATCCGGAGGAGGAGATGGTGACGTTTGCCTGTAGTGCAGGTGGATGGGCAGAGGGGTGTGCAAACGGGAGGAAGAGGAACGGCACTTGCATAGATTAGATGCTGCTGGGTGATCGAGACTCGGAGGATCCGGAGGAGGAGATGGTGACGTTTGCCTGTAGTGCAGGTGGATGGGCAGAGGGGTGTGCAAACGGGAGGAAGAGGAACGGCACTTGCATAGATTAGATGCTGCTGGGTGATCGAGACTCGGAGGATCCGGAGGAGGAGATGGTGACGTTTGCCTGTAGTGCAGGTGGATGGGCAGAGGGGTGTGCAAACGGGAGGAAGAGGAACGGCACTTGCATAGATTAGATGCTGCTGGGTGATCGAGACTCGGAGGATCCGGAGGAGGAGATGGTGACGTTTGCCTGTAGTGCAGGTGGATGGGCAGAGGGGTGTGCAAACGGGAGGAAGAGGAACGGCACTTGCATAGATTAGATGCTGCTGGGTGATCGAGACTCGGAGGATCCGGAGGAGGAGATGGTGACGTTTGCCTGTAGTGCAGGTGGATGGGCAGAGGGGTGTGCAAACGGGAGGAAGAGGAACGGCACTTGCATAGATTAGATGCTGCTGGGTGATCGAGACTCGGAGGATCCGGAGGAGGAGATGGTGACGTTTGCCTGTAGAGCATGCGGGTAGGCAGAGGGAAGGAAGAGGAACGGCACATGCAAAAATTAGAGAAGTGAATTTTGAGTCAACTCGGAGGATCCGGAGGAGGAGATGGTTAAGTTTGCCTGCAATGCAGGTGGGTGGGTGGGCAGACAGGTGGAACAGGAAAGGCACATGTGAAGATAAGAGGGGTTTCAAGCAGACAGGCAGAGGGGAGGAGCACGAACAGCACATGCAACGATCAGAGAAGTTTCGAGCGGACAAGGGCAGAAAGGAGGAGCAGGCAGAACACGTGGAAGAATAATCGGGAGATAAGAAAGGAAATGGAACACGGGGGAGTGGGGAGGGTGGGGGCGGCGAAGAAGGGGTGTGTGAGGGACGAGGAGGGAGTGGGTATCAAGTGGAATACTGCCTGGATATGCCTGATTCGTCTCCGGTGCCTCATTCATAATCCCCACCATCCCCTTATACCCATCCCCATCCCTGACCCCTTTTCTTCGTCACCCCCTCCCCCTCCTCCAGCCCTAGACTCTCTCGCCTTTCCCGAATTACCTTTCCATAACTTCTGGAACCTGCTGGGAATCTTCGTAGCTCTTCCCTCCCTCAACTTGTTCGCAACCACGCCAGTAAATGCATGCTGCGGTGCCTCTAGCATCCCCAATCCTCCCTCTCCATCCCCATTCCCAGTTCCCCCCTCTCCATACCCGCTGACACCCTCTGGGAACCTCCACCATCCGCATCGCTCGCTTCTCCCTCACCCTATACGCAAGCAGAGCGGTGAATGCATGCCTTAGTGCTTGTCGGACAGCTCCAATCCCCACCCTCCAATCCCTACCCTCTCTCCGTACCTGCTGACCACAGCTGGGAACCTCCATGATCCTCCCATCCACGATCCGCATCGCTCGCCTCTCCCTCCCCTTATTCGCAAACATCGCGGTGAATCCCGCGCCACCGCTTCCGGCGGCCCCGTCTATCTCGGAATCGTGCGTCTGCACGCTCGGCGCGGAGCGCAAGCGGGCGGCTGCGGACGCCGCCGCCGCCGCTGCCGCCGCCTCTTCTGGGTTCTTGAGAGCTTGAGAGTTCCATGCGCCAAAGACGGGAAGCGCCGCCGAGGGATGAGGACCCTGAAGATAATGTTTAAGGCAAAAATACAAACAAACGAACAAACAAACTGAGACACTGATGGGGAAATGAAAGGCGAGGAGTGGTTCGTTTGCAAGGCATGAATGATTTCAAGAGCCTCCTAGAGCCTAAGATGGGGAAAGGGACGATGGGGAAAGAAAGTGATACAGGTTTCGAAACGCAAAATAGTAAAGGGTAAACCGCGCCAGAAAACGTAGATTGCATGCAGGATAGAACAGAACAGCATTCTGTTAACACACCTTATTTGGAACTTTTCCGTTCTCGGCTTAAGCACTCACTCTCGCGGTGGTACGACTGAAATATGTCGCGTTGCTCGCTTTCAATCATTTTAGATAGTGCGGGGAGGAGTGGTAAATAAAAGACCAAACATGTACACAACAGTAGGGAGGAACCGAAGGGACTAACCTTCCCCTTCCTTAGCTTAGGCACCCTCACGGAGAAGCGACTGGAGGAGGTCGCGCAATAGCTACCTTTTAGCCGACTCCGGCGTGGTGGGTATGAAGAACGAAGACCAAAAAAGAATAAAGAAATTAATAATATTAACGGATGAAGGAGCGGGACCGACCTTTCCCGACCTCAGCTTAGGCACCCTCACGGAGCCGCGACTGGAGGAGGTTGCATAGCTCGCTTCGGACCCGAGATCATCAGACGAGGTGCTTGAGGCTGAATGGTGGAAGGAATCTGAGTACATTCTAGCAGGCTGTCGCAAGAATCGATTAAAATAAACGGTAAATGACTCAACGGTGACAATAATAAGGTTATTGAGGCGACGGTCCGCTCAGTCTCCTGTTTTCGCTTGATTACTCATGGATTATTACCTCTAAGACGGCTTACTAATCTCGCCAAATGGGCGACGAAACCTGTTCCGTTTTTTGCGCGGTTTATCTCCTACAGCACACCTAGAGTTTTTAGACAAGCAGGGTCAGCCTGCGATTAGGTTTTTGTATGGCAATTTCTTGAAGTTAGCTTCTGGTGGGAGTTTCTCGGAGTTCCCAAGGTTGTCTGGGGTGGTTTGGGATGGTTTGGTATGGAGATCATGGGGTGGGATGGGTGGGGATGGGTTTGGGAGATGGGGATGCGTTTGATGCATGCATTCGTCATAGCAGGACCCTATTCGGTGGTGGTTCTAGAATACCAAAAGTCCGAATAGGCCGCTGCACCTGGGTTATCGTTCTCTACCGCTGTGAAGCTTTCTTCAACCGTACTGTAATGTACCGAGCCTGCACACAGCGAAAGCCAAGTCTGTGGGGTCAGATGATCCAAGCCAGGAACTCCATGTGGTCAGTCTTTGTTGCGTAACCAGTTTGTTCAACGGGCAGGGTAGTATGACACGAGGTCTTTGCCTATTGGATAACAAGGGAAATGTAGCCGTCCTCCCAACCATTTTTCCTGGTCAGACTGGTTCAGCCACGTCCCACCTGCCAGCTCGCCAACCGTCAGATTTGCTCGAGGTGCCAGCTAGACACCAACCAGCCAGTAAGGAACTTGACGGTCAGCTTCCGTGTCTGTCCGAGTCGTCTGAAATCCGCGTGTTCACTCCTTGGCTTGACGGCGTTGAATGATTGATGACGGTGTACATTATTGTACAATCTTGATGTGGAGTACCGTGAACAATATTTCTTATTGCGTTATATACTATGGAGAGAAGCAGGAATTGCAAGCACTATGGAACTCATATACAATTGCATGACAAGCTAGACTCAAAACCTAAACTTACATAGCACACCGTGTTGGTTTCGATGCTACGCAACAGGAATGCGACCCAGAATACGTGTTGACTGGCGATTGACATGATAGAAGGTGGACAAAAAAACACCTCCGGAATGCTTTGTATATAGGAATACAGTTTCGCGCCGCGGATAGTCAGCACTGTACTATCAAATATGTAACTGCGCCAGGGTGAGTTCATTGGTGTAGCTAGCGTGCTTCCTCGTCCAAAGTGGCGACATATGGGGGCTCATCCTCCAGGTAGTGACCTCGGGCCGCATTGCTGTAGAACCCACCATCTCCTGCATAAGGGATTGAGGTAGAGGGACACGACACGAGGGAACAATGACAGAAGAGCAACACAGGACTGGCAACGTGGGCACCCACCATTGAGGAGAGGTACAAGGGGTTGCTCACCATTGTCATCATCCTCGAGTGATAGGTGTGGTTGGAAGAAGATGACGCGAATGGCAACCATGACAGCAAGAATGAAAACTTATCAGGAAGGAAGGAATGGGGAGGAAGGTGGGGGAACGAGGAAGGTGGGGGGGGGGGGGGGGGGGGGGGGGGGGGGGGGGTGGGGGGGAGGGGGGACAGGGTGAGGACAGGGAGGAGGGGCGGCGGCTTACCATTGTCATCATCCTCTAGTGGTAGGTGTGGTTGGAAGAAGATGAGACGAATGGCAACCACGACAGCAATGATGAGCAGCACGCCCAGGATGCATGCGGTGATGATCCACACAATCTGGGTGGACGAGACGGAGGAGGACGTCGGCTGCACGATCGTGATGTCGCTCACTCCTGGCCCGCCCAGCGCCTCGCAGGCTGGCCGCGTGGTCGTGCCACACACATCCGGGTTGTTGGAGAAACTGGGGGAGTTGGGGAAAGAGAGGTAAGAGAGGGGGAGTGGGGGAAGGGGGGGAAAGGGAAGGGAAGGTTGTGCTGTTGCTCACTCCCGGCCCGCCCAGTGCCAGGCAGGCTGGCCGTGTCGTCGTGCTGCACACATCCAGGTTGTTGGAGAAACTGGAGAGAAGAAAGTTGGAAGGGGGAAAGGGGTAGTGAAAGTGTGGGAATTCAAGATTAGGCTCAGTCATGACTGTGGGCACTAGGAGCCTCAAAAATAGATTTTGAGAAATAGATGGCATTGATGTAGCCTGTACATACAACAACGAAATGCCACAAGGCATTGCAACACCAAGAAAACCACACAGAGGAAGGGAGAGAATATAAGGCGAGGAGGAGAGAGGAGCTCACTCAATCATGACGCCAGGGGGAGGCGGGAAGAGATCGGCAGGCACACCTCCTGTGAGCTCATTGTCATGCAGGTCACTGGGAGTTGAAGGTTGAGGGGGGTTGGGGGGGGAAGCAGAACGGTGGCCAGGGGTGAGAAGAGGATGGAGGGGAGGCGGGATGAGATCTGAAGGCACACCTGCTCATTGTCGTGGAGGTCACTGGGTGGAGATCACTGGGTGGAGATCACTGGGTGAAGATCACTGGGAGTTGAGGGGGTATTGGTGGAAAAGAGGCCAACCTGATGAATGCAAGGTGAAATCCTGACAAACCGGGCTTCGTAGCAACTATTGCACCTGCAGACATGGACCCCCAGAGAGGCAAGAAGAGCGAAGCAGAAGCATTGACGCTGCTGCAGCAGGCATGAGAGGCAGGCATGAGAGGCAGGCATGAGAGGCAGGCACTCACAGAATCTTGAGAGCAGGCATGCTGCTGAACCCCCGAGGGATGGAGCCCTTGAGGTCGTTGGCTGACAGATCCCTGGGGTATATGATGAGCAGGTGAGGAGAAGAGGAAAAAAGAGTACAGACCACACAGGATTGGCGGCGAGGAGGAAAACGGACCAGGCAGAAGACAGGGGGATGCAGACGGAGAGACGAGGCAGGGAGGGGAGTCGGGCAGGAGAGCAAGAATTCATGGGAAAAGAGAAAGTAGGAATACACATTTGTAGCAGAGAATAACTGCCAACACTTACAACATGGTAAGCTGCTCCAGGTTGATGAGTGTCTGTGGAATGCAGATAGTTTCCTACTTGTGATTTAGCGGCACACAAAGCATTGGTATCACCTGCAGCTCCAGACTTACAGCATGGTAAGCTGCTCCAGGTTGATGAGTGTCTGTGGAATGCAGATAGTTTCCTACTTGTGATTTAGCGGCACACAAAGCATTGGTATCACCTGCAGCTCCAGACTTACAGCATGGTAAGCTGCTCCAGGTTGATGAGTGTCTGTGGAATGTTGCCTGAGATGTGATTGTTGCTCAGGTTCCTGCACACATGCGCATAACACAGCACATGCAATACAACGGCGCACATTTAGTAAGAAGGAGCATGTTATACTTCAATACACCTGTACGAAGTAATCCAGGTGACTTTTGAGTCGACTCAAAAGTCACCTCGCATATTCAGTAAGAAGGAGCATGTTATAGATCAATATATTTGTACGCCGGATGAAAATATTGTTCAATCCAGGCTCCTGAGCAATATTGACTGCAAACAACTAGTCGATGGTAAAGGCTGCAGCCTCATGAGTGCAATGGACAGCACAAGCGACCACACTACTCGAGCCTTTAGAGCGGGCTAGGTAATTACTCAAAGGGACTGCAGGTTCTTGATCAGGTGGGCTTCGGGGATGAGCTAACCCAAAACTCCGTTGTACAAGCTACAAACAGTGCAAGGGATTGTGCAAGCGGCTGTACCAGTGCTTCAAAGCTTTCTACTCACAGGTACTGCAAGTTCTTGAGCAGGTGAAAGTCGGGGAGCAGCGAACCCGAAAGTTCTGCTGCTGACAGTGTACTGAAGAGGGGTGGGATGAAGGGTGGCGGGGCGGGAGGGTGGGTGGAAGGGTGGCGGGGAGGGAGGGTGGGAGGAAGGGTGGTAGGTAGGGAGGGAGGAAGGGTGGGAGGAAGTGTTAGGGTCAACAGAACTCAACCAATCAACAAACACAAGAACAAGGAAAGGTTTTGCACCCACAGGCTTTCAGGCGTCTCAAAACTCACATGCCCGTGATGGTGAAGTCGTTCTTCTCTGTCAGCCGGCACCCCACGCCCGGCCACGCAATGGGCGCACAGGGGTCGCCCTGCCAGTTGCTCATCTCCGGCACCACCAGAGCGTCGCGGATCTTCCTCATCAGCTTGACTGATACATAGTAGTGATGGGGAGGTAGGGGAAAGGGGGGAGGCAACGAGTTGTTTAGCAAGCAAGAAATGGCACCACCAGGACTGAGGTTTGGACTGGGGGGGATGGGGTGGCGGTGGAGGGGTTGGGGGGGGGGGGGAGAAGTTGGATGATGTGCCTCGGGTACATACGTCGCGGTGAAAAGCCTTTCAGGGTACTCGGCCGGTTTACCATTCACTCGCTCGGAGCTCAAATTCTCTTAAGACACTCATTCAATGCTCAAAACTTCTCCAACTCAATCGCGTTCCACACCATCTCTTCAACTCACACTCAGTAGCAGCCCACACTCATCTGCATCAGAGCTCAAAACTCTGCAACTCACACTCGTCCGCGTTGGTGCGCGGCCCCTCTGGACACCAGGCGGAACACCTCCAGCCCCGCAACACTCTTGACTCGCTTTCTAACATAGAAAGGAAATTTCAACTTACACTCATCCGCGTTGGTGCGAGGGCCTCTGGACACCAGCCGGAACACCTCCAGCCCCACAAGGTATCAACTAGAGATTCTAGTGAATATTGAATCACTGCTTATAGAGGAGCTCAGGTCTCTGCAACTCACACTCATCCGCGTTGGTGCGAGGGCCTCTAGACACCAGCCGGAATACCTCCAGCCTGGCAACACTCTTCAACCAAAGCAATCAATAAAGGAAGGAATTTCAATTCACACTCATCCGCGTTGGTGCGAGGGCCTCTGGACACCAGCCGGAACACCTCCAGCCCCACAACATGTAGACTAGAGATTCTAGCCAATACCGAATCACTACTTTTAAGGAGTTAAAATCTCTATCAACTCACACTCATCCGCGTTGGTGCGAGGGCCTCTGGACACCAGCCGGAACACCTCCAGCCCCGCGATAGTAGGGCCCTTGGATGCGCCCTCAGCGCCCGCAAGCACGATCTCCACCGTCGATTCGTCCGGCCCCAGCTGCCAATCAACGGTCTTAAAGAGCGCCACCTTGGGAGCGTCGCCCCACTTGATCAGATCGATGCCGTCGTTGCCTGGGGTGGGCTTTCCGTTCACAAAGATAGAGAAGACACGAGCGCCAGCAGCAGTGACGGCTGCAGGGAGGGTGGGTGGGGAGGAGCGGGCAAAGAGGGGTGTGGGGGAACGAACCAAGCTTGAACCACTTGATTGCAATATTCCCTTTTTCAGTTAAGGAGGTCAGGATGTACGGCGGAAAAGAATCTACTTGGATCGAACTTGAGAAAGTGCAGCACGAGGAGCACTTGGCAGCCCTTGTCCGGTTCTTTAACGTGACCGTCCCAGCCCCGTGTGATAAGCCAAGTTTTGATTCGACTCAAACTCAACTTCCCTTGTCCGGTTCTTTAACATGACCGTCCCAGCCCCGTGTGATAAGCCAAGTTTTGATTCGACTCAAACTCAACTTCCCTTGTCCGGTTCTTTAACGTGACCGTCCCAGCCCCGTGTGATAAGCCAAGTTTTGATTCGACTCAAACTCAACTTCCCTTGTCCGGTTCTTTAACGTGACCGTCCCAGCCCCGTGTGATAAACCAAGTTTTGATTCGACTCAAACTCAACTTCCCTTGTCCGGTTCTTTAACGTGACCGTCCCAGCCCCGTGTGATAAGCCAAGTTTTGATTCGACTCAAAACTCAACTTCCCTTGTCCGGTTCTTTAGCGTGATCATCCCATCCTCCAAGTAAAAAAGCTCAGAATGTGCGGTGAGGTAATGAGAGACGGCGAGCCTAGAGCACATGGCACAACTCACCTGGATCAATCTCAGCAAAGTGCAGCACGATGAGCACACGAGAGCACTTGTCCGGGATGGTGACCTTGAACGTGATCATCCCTTCGTCCAAGTAAATGGCTCAGGATGTGCAGTGAGGTAATGAGAGACAAGCTCACCTGGATCAATCTCAGCAAAGTGCAGCACGATGAGCACCCGAGAGCCCTTTGTCCCGAATCGTGACCTTGTACATGAACATCCGTTGCTCAGGTCAAGGGCTTAATCAGGATATGTGGCGAGTCCAGGAGAGACCAGAAACTCACCAGGATAGATCTCGGTTAAGTGCAGCACGATGAGCACACGAGAGCCCTTGTTGGGAATCGTGACCTTGTACATGATATCCCTTCCTCGTAAACGGCTCAGGATATACGGTGAGGTAATGAGAGACGATGATCAAAGAGCAATGGCACAACTCACCAGGATCGATCTCAGCGAAGTGCAGCACGATGAGCACGCGGGAGCCCTTGTCCGGAATCGTGACCTTGAACGTGATCTTTCCGCCACCAGGGTTGGTGATGGCTGACGAGTAGAGGATGCTGGGGAAGTAATGCGGCTCCACGTCAGCATTCTTGAAGGCTGTGGCCGGCGGCACCGCGAGGTAGGTGCAGGCAGGCTCGCAGCTGGAGGGAGGAGTGGGGAGGGAGGAGAGTGGGGGAGAGGGGGGTGGGGGGGTTTGGAAGGGATGGGGGGATGGAATGGGAGGATGAGAGAGGTGTCGGATACAGTCAGTCGAACCAGCAAATTACCAAAACAGAGAGAGGCAGGTGCAGGCAGACTCGCAGCTGAGACGAGGAAAGGGTAGCGGTGTGGTATGGGAGTATGGGAGAGAGAACTTGGTTACACATGATGGAGCGGAGAGAAGGCAGACAGACTCGCAGATGAGAGGAGGCGGCGAAAGAGGGGTAGATGAAGGGGAAAGGCGAAGAGGGGGTGAGGAAAACGGGAGGCGGACTTTTTTAACCACTGCCACATGCCACCCAACCGCACTGTACCGGAAAATAGTTATTCAGAACCATTCAGCAACAACCTGATGGTCACAGGCTCGTTGAGCAGCTTGGTGGTGGACATGTTGAACCACTGCCATTATGCCATATGGCGCCCAACCGTACTGGACCGTGAGACTAGTCACGCCAACGAGATGAGGCTGATTCAGAGCCCATAAGACCCATCGAGCACCAACCTGACGGTCACAGGCTCGTTGAGCAGCTTGGCGGTGGACATGTTGAACCACTGGCGGTGGCCCTTGTCCTTATCCGGAAGGCTCACTCCGTCCCCGAAGCTCATGCCCTTCCCTGTCCGCAGACGCACGTAGTTGAAGAGAATGTAGTTGGGGTCTGTCACGTATGCCTTTGGGTCGATCTGCCGGGGGGGGAGGGAGAGAGGGGAGAATGGGGGAGTATGCTGAGACTAGGAAGCACGTTGTTGAAAAGAATGTAGTTGGGGTCTGTCACGTATGCCGCTGGGTCGATCTGGAAAGGAGGGAAAGGAAAGGGGGAAGGAAGGTGGGAAAGGAAAAGGGACAGTGCTCATTATTAATACAAAAAAACAAAACAAAAAAACTAACACGCACGTAGTTGAAGATAATGTAGCTGGATTGCGTTGTGTATGCGGCTGGGTCGATTTGGGAGGGGAGGAAGTTAAGGGGATGGAAAGTGGAGGAGGAGAAAATAAGGGGCTGGAGCATTTGTGGCTGAAATAATTTGTCAACCTCTCTTTCATCTTACCGGCAGGATCTCGAGGGCGTTGACGTACGCCGACAGGGCCACGTTCGCTTCTCTCCAACAGCCGTGAATACAACCGGCTGCCCCTCCCCAAGTCTTACCGGCAGGATCTCGAGGGCGTTGACGAACGCTGACAGGGCGGACGGGTTGGCGACGAAGCAGACGTCCAGCTCCGCGTTCGGGCCGGGGTAGGTTACCATCATTTCGCGAAACTCGCCAGGCGTTCGCGGCGTGATCATGGCGATCTGGGTGGAGAGAGTGGACACCGCGAACTCGCGGGTCTGCCCGAGAGGGGGGAAGGGGGAAGGGGAAGGCGGAAGGCGGTAGGAGAAGGCGGAAGGCGGTGGCGGAGAGGATAGGGGTGATTGGGCGAAGGAACGGGAAGGGGGGGAGAGGCGAAGGAGGGATGGAAGGGGGAAGGAAAGAGAGTAAAGGGTGAGGGAAAAGGGTGGATGAGAAGAGAACTCTTTGCGCGACCTCCATCATCATTCACCAGATGCTCAACGTCGAGGTGGGTCCCCTGTCCGTGATGGTTTTAAAGGCCTTTTGCAGATCGCTTCGCAGACGTGTTTCGCATGCGTTTCGCAGGCGTGTTTAAGGATGAGAGAACAAAGAAAGCATCTGCGAGACTGCCAGAACTCACCGGATCGCCGCGTTCATTGGGGGTTCCGGGTTGAAGAACATCCGAATCAGGTAGTGCCCTGTCGACTCTTGAGTTGATTCCAAGAGCTGCCAGCACTCACCGGATCACCGCGTTCATTGGGGGGTCCCGGGTTGAAGAACATCCGAATCAGGTAGTGCCCGGCGGGGACCGGCATCTCGTAGCAATTCTCGAGCGCGAAGAGGTAGTAGCGCGTGGTCTTCTGGTACATGGGCATGTTGAACTCGTTCGGCACGCCCGTGAGGTTCAGCGTTCCCGCCATGCCGCTCGTGAAGCCGGTATCGCGCGACCACTGCCGGGTGAAATTGTCCGTGAAGTTCTTCATGCCGCCGCTATCGATGCGGATGCCACCTGCCGGGTGAGATAAACGAAGCATACGACTGTGTCAGAATCGATTTTTCGTCCAGACATGCTGCTTGTAAGCTCGTCGTGTAGTATCCACGCGTAGAGCAGAGCCAAAGGACTGGATAAGGGTACGGAAGAAGCCCATAGATGCTGTTTGTCATCGGCATCGGTTGTTCAACATTGCGATTGAAGTCTACCACGGGTCAGCAACAAGCTCGACGTTGGGTGTTTCGTAACAGAGAGTTATGAGTGACACTGTGAGAATGCAGCAAAACCCGTTAAGACGTTACTGGGATCGTGAAGCTGTTGCTGGGTCTAAAGACAGCTAAGGTTGCCAAGAGATTCTATACGGAGGTTTGGCGACTGACCAGTAATCACTTATGGCTGCTTCAATTCCAGTAATTGTGAAATGCTCGCCAACATGCCGTTGGTGATAGCCGTCGACTAGTAGTAAAATTTGACGCGCAAAATCATCGTAACAACTTCAGAACGTACTTGTCTAGAAGGTTGACTGTTGCTGGAAATAGGACGAAGTGGACGTTTCTTACCCCATGGCTTAGCCGCTGCTGGCGCTGCTCTCGCGGCGGAAAGAAGGCTTAGTGAAACGAGAAGCAAAAGAGGCAGAAACGCCGAAGACGGCATCGTGTGACGTCTCGACATCATAACAGAAGCTACTAAATAAATGTCGGAGCAGTGACTAACGAAGCGTTCAGATCGTGCACTATGTTGAGTTAACCTCTCCACAACCCCAGGCAGTGCTTCGGTCCGAGTCCTAATTTCGATCAGGCCTCCGACAAGGGTATCCTGAAAGTGCTTCTGCTTGCCTAAGGCTGGTAAGAGTGAAGAAGCAGAACACCGAGAAGAAACAAGTAAGCTAGCAGGTAGGGTCTGTCTGGGTCCGAGTAAGCTAGCAAATTCGACCATCAGCAAGCAATTCCGAGAATCTGAACCCAAATCCCGATGCCCAGGCAACGGTAACAAGAATGTGGTCTGGGCCGGGCCGGGGAAGTCAGGCTCTGACAGACTGCGGTTTGGAGTAAAACACAGGTTTGGGGCAAGAGCCGAACCTGACTCTGGTTTTCGGTTCGCGTCGAATGAGGACGCGTCAACTCCCAGCAATGTATCAGGGTCGAGGCAAGATCGGCAGTGCACACCGATCTTGGCAGGATCGATGTGCACACCGGTGTGCTCCACCTGCAAATCGGCAGTGTACCCCTACCATCGAGCCACACTTGACTAGGGTATGCAGGTTCGGGGTGCTGCTGGTTTGGCCTCTGCAAAACCGCCTTCGCAGGGTGTCGCAAAGTGTGTTTCCCAACAGTGGCTGTGCGACTTGACTTGGGCTGACCACAGCGGCTTGAACACAACCACCTTCCCGCTGTTGCACAGGGTGGCAGGTTTTGTCGTCGCTGCGACACTAGCATGTGTCGTTCGGAACCATGTGCGACGCCGATCGATCATGGCTGTCAACTATCGCGCGATGGTAGCTCCCGCTCACCGAGAAGCCGCGATCGGTGTGTGGCAGGTGGCAAGGTGTCCCGAGATCCGAAGGGGACATCGGGAATGTTGGCCGGTTTACTGTGCAATGGCGAAATCTGACGAAAACTGGCAACAAGACATTTCGTTAGCTCGTGAATGTACTGTATACATGGCACATCGATCCTATGGAGGATCGATGTGCCCAAAGTGCTGGGAGTTGACGCGTCCTGAGATGTATGGCAAATTGGGACGCTCGATGGGGTACCGTCGCTAAACACATCTGTTTTGACGGGCCGGTTCGCTCGGTGGCTAGAATTTACGGGCTTGATTATTTCTGTTCCTTCAAACACGCCAAATCGTTGGCTGAACGGAACGCCCATTTATTATCCAACGTTCTGTGTGTACCCCAGACGCAAGTCAGCTGCTTGTGATTTCTATCCAAGCCGAGCCCGAAAAGCCGTTGACGCTTCGGCTGGAGGTTCGTTCCGTCGCCATACACCCCAACCAGTTTGGGATAAATGTTGTGCGGTGCGACTGCGACGGGCAGGTTTCGCTGTCAAGCAATTCGCTGTCAGGGTGCTACAAACGCAGCGTCCTTGTGTGTACAAGCTCGCAAGCACCATGCGTATATGTTTGAGCATACAGCTTAGTGAATAAAAGAGAAAGTTAACTTCAAAAATATATCCACTACATTCACTATTAAACATATTACAGAATCTATTGTGGTTACTCCTTGGAAGTTATTAGGATCTATTTGAAATAATAATATATTTCATATTCTCCTAATACAAATGCTCCATCGGCTTATAAATCCCTGCGTAACGTTATTCGTATTATTTACCATCTTTACTTTGGCAAGTTTGTTAGTCAAACCTTACTTTGTTCTTCCTCCACGGACTTGCTACGAAAAGTAATGAATGAAACATTGCCGTGCACTCCTACCCGCAGCTAAGGGGAGCACGCATTATCGAGAATGAATGCGAGGAGTCAGAGTTGACTCGAAGCGACAGACGGTTAGGGTGGATCTGGATGGTCGGAGCAGAGGGCATTAGGCAGCTGCAGGGAAAAGGAATTGGCGAGAACAGTTTCGTAACTGTACGTGCCGCACAGTTGGGAATGAATTTGAATAAGGGAATGTACCCCTTAGAGTACATGGCTAGCTAGGTCGATTCGAATTCCTTTGTACTCATATTTATATCGTTGTATTTGCATGTTTTAATCATCTCAAGCATTTTACATTCACTCTGCTATTGAGGTCAAGGGCCCACCACTACCAACCTCTCAAGCAAACCTTCCCGAGGTGATCCTAGGGTCGATGATCGCAACATGGTTTGAGAGCGACTCGGGAATCCTTCGCACTGCCACCTCCGAAATCTTCGACGAAAGAAAGTGGCGTCCGGCACACGCTCGCGTGTGAGAATGGCCGGAGGATCTGGTGGTCAGACGAATCTGACGACTGAAACGTAGCCTTGCCCAGCTGCGACAAGCGAGGAAACGACGACGATCGGAGCCGCCGTCCTCGCACATTTGCTTCAGCGACTCACCAACCTGGAGCAAGGACTCCAGACATTGCGGGCCAGCGACGCGGGAACCTCCTCACAACCCACTCAATCGGCCTCAAACGGCCAGAACGCCGCCCAGCACACTTTCTCCCTCGACACCAATTGCTCAACCCTCAAGACTCCCCGTCTCAGCGAAGAGGTAATTCTCTCCGCGCAATCAAGCTTTCTTAGCATATCAAAAATAAAGACAAATGTGTGTTTTGACGGCAGAGACTTCTATACGTGGAGCTTCGAGCAGGAGCTTTTGCTGCAGAACGCACAGATTTTTCACTATTTCGACAGGAATTACGCGGGGCCCGCTGAAGACACTGACGACGCCAGGACGAGGTACTACAACGAATCCCTGATGGCGTACGGGGTGCTTCTGCGGAATATGTCGCCGGCGGAGCAGTTGAGCATTCGCTCATACAAGACTTCATCTGCTCCAGCCCTCGACGCCTGGCGACACATGAACGACGTGTATCAGCCAAAGGACTCTGTTTCTTCCAGCCGGCTGCTCCAGCAGCTACTGGAGACAAAAATGGCCCCAGGGGAGGAGGACAACAGCTACATCAATCGCTCTTGGAGCCTTCGCGATCAAATCGCGAAGCTGGGAAGCTCGATATTAGAAGAAATCTTCGTCAACATCGTGCTTCAAGGGCTCGGCCCAGAGTGGCGGCCCTGCAAGGCGCTTCTCCGACAGCAGGGGGTCATCTCGGAGGCCGCCCTTTGCGCCGCCCTTTGCGCCGCCCTTCTCGTCGAACAACGGGATATGGATCAGCAGCGATTAGCGCTGCGACGAGAACGAGAACGCCTCGCCTTCTACGCCGACAACACTGAAGAGCGGCGGTCGCGGCGCCTCTACTGCAAAATTTGCAGAAATTTTGGGCACTTGGCTGATCGATGTAAATCCCGATCTCGCCCTCGCCAGACCAATCCGAGCAACTGGTCCGGCCGACAAGATTCACGAAGCGACGTGCGTCCAGCCAAGGGGTATCAGAGCGCAACCTGAACCCAGCAGTTCAGCATCAGCAGCAGCAGCCGTCACCGCCCGCCCCTGTATGAAATGTCACGGGGAACATGGCCATGAAAGGCGAATCCCATCGCCGCCGAGTGCGCTTACCGTCACCTGAGCCGGCTCCGCATTCCATCGACGCCTTCTCAAACAACAAACCGTTTAGTACGCGCTACGACTACACCGACGACGACGCCCATGATTGGAACCTACCAATACCGCTGCTTGAAAGTCCCCCGCATGCACCCGACATGCGGGCGGCGCCACTCGACTGGCTCTCGCGCGAGCAGTTTCTGAAGTTCGACACACCGCACCTCGTCACGCCGCGACTGGCGCTGCTCGCACGTGACGACAACAAGCACTACACTACCTGGTACCTGTACAGCTGCTGCGGCCATCACATGATGGGCTCCGAGCGTTACATATCCAACGCCGTCGCCACCCCCACAGTCACCTACGTCACCGTGGCTAACAACACACGCCTGCGCGCAAGCGCGCAAGGCATCGTCGTGCTCAAGGCACGCGGAAGCCGCACGCACATCACGCTTAACGATGTGCTGATCGTCCAGAACCTGCGCTTCAACCTACTTTTCGCCGCACCGCTCAAAGATTGCGGCGTCGACCTCAGCACGGATAACGCAACCCGCGACATTCTTTTGCACTATGAATCGCCGTCCTTCCCCCGCAGGCAGATTAGACGAGCACACTCCGAAAACGGAGTATACATACTGGACTTCGACATTCCCGGCTGCAGCGGCAATTCAAACGAGCTAATCGACCTCGTTCCACTGCGCTTCGAGCACATCCACCACAAGGACTGGAAGCACCCTGATGGAAGACCGTGGGCGCCGCATCACCCCCACCCACGCGAGGTGGCGATGCATGGCCCTGACCCAAACGGCATCTGCAGGGACTGCCACACGCCGACGGCATCGACGAGCGTGATTGCCGGCCGTGGACTTGCCGCCATCGCCGAAGCAGAGCGCCACGCGCCGCCAGACGAAGGGATGTCACAGTTGGAGCTCGAAGTCACCACGCGCAATATTTTCGGGACCCCCCAACACCCACTGATCGGACCCCCCTTACAGCACCTCCAAGGCATGTTGCACGGCACTGGCGTCGGCACCTTTGATGCAAACAACGTGCCGCGACCAAACACTCGAGAGAAGTTTTTGGAGATATACTCCCATCAGCGCGATTCCACAAAGAAGCTTACTGTGGAATAAGAAGAAGCATTGGCGCGCCGCGAATCTGAGGAGCTTCACCGACAAAGCCCCGCCGAAGCACGCGGAACAATCGCTTGCGGCGCATGGGGAGCCGAAGCGGAAGAAGAAAGCGCCACCAATAAAGGGGGGTGGGGAAGCGCTGGCGGATGGGGAACGAGTGACACCGGCGGATGGGGGAACACCTGCAGCACCAGGGCAACCGCGAGCGGCGGATGGGGCGTGGAAATTGGCGACGACGGCAGCGACCGGGGAGCTTCCCGCGAAGAACAAAAGGGGGGAGAAGAAGCTGAGGCATCACCTGCAGTTGTTCCCCTTGGTCGCCCCCCGCGCTATGCTCCACCTGCATTACCTTCTCCCGACATTTCGACGCACCGCGATCCCTGGGACACCATTGACTGGGGTCATGAACCGTCAACCCCGCGCCGTACCGTTTACGGACCTGCTCCCGGGCCGCGTGAACCCACCTTCGTCCCAGGAACCATCCAAGGGACCAACATCTCTCTCTCCGAAGTCCGGGACAGAGAATTCCTGGCGCTCATGCTTACCATTAACAACGACGAAGATGAAGTAGCAACAGAACCTACCCCTGTGCCTGACGAGCACCTTGAAGAGGCTCATGCGCGCTGTATGCGCGCCTCAGGATTTCGCGCCGACGATGCGCTCTGGCACCAGCGCCTCGGCCACCCTTCCCGCGCGACACTGAAAAACTGCATTGACGCAGAAGTTTTTGCTCCCGGCGCACTCCTGCGCCCCGACGGCACCGAAGTGAGAGGCGCGACACACCCGCGCAACTGCACCATCTGCCCCGAAGCTGCGCTAAGCCATCAGCCGTTCCCGCTACCCGAGCCAGGAACTAACCGCTACCCCGAATTTTACAAGGTGTACAACGATTTTCTGAACGTGGGACACTGCGGAGTCAAAGATGAGTTGTATACACTTACCTTCATCGACGCTGGGACGCGCTACGTGTGGGTTGTAAACGTGGAAGCGCGCAACAAAGCGTACGAAGTTTTTCGCCTCTGGCTGGCGCACGCGCAGCGGCAATCTGGGGAGAAACTGAAGATCTGGCAGTCGAACGGCGCAGCAGAGTTCAGGAGCAAGGAGCTGCAGGAGTTCCTGGCGCACAAGGGGATCGAGCACCATATTTCTCAGCTGGCTCAGTATTCCCGCAAACCAACGGCTGAGAATCTTCTGGACCTGTAGCGAGCCCTACAGTTCTTCATTTCAACTCCCAAGATTGGACTGTGCTACTCAACTGTGCTAACCCCATCATTTAACCTCATCGGCTACGTGGACGCCGATCATGCAGCAGACCCCGACAATCGACGGCCCAGGCCTGGCTTCCGATTCCGACTCGAACAGACGGGACCAATCTCGTGGAACTCGCAGAAACAGGAGCTGGTTGCCCTGTCATCAGCTGAAGCGGAATTCATCGCAGCAACGGCAGCAGTTCGCGAAGGTCTCTAATTGCAGGAAATTCTGCAAGAGGCGAAAATTCCAGCTTCGCCCACCTTCCGCCTTCACTGCGACAACCAGAGCGCAATCCTTATCGCGAACAAACCTGGTTTCGTCAACCGCACCAAGCACATTGCGCTGCGGTACTTCTTCGTCAAGGACGAAGTGGACAAAGGCAAGGTTGACTTGACCTATTGCCCGACCGGTGACATGGCAGCGGACTTCCTCACGAAGCGACTGCCACGCCAGCAATACCAGCGCTGCTCCGAACTCAGCGGAGTAATCAAGCAGGTCAAGTCGAGCTACGACCAGGAGTGAAGGGGGGTGTTACAAAAAGTAATGAATGAAGCATTGCCGTGCACTCCTACCCGCAACTAAAGGAAGCACGCATTATCGAGAATGAATGCGAGGAGTCAGAGTTGACTCGAAGCGACAGACGCTTAGAGTGGATTCGGACCGTCGGACCAGAGGGCTTCAGGCAGCTGCAGGGAAAAGGAATTGGCGGGAATAGTTTCGTAACTGTACGCGCCGCACGGTTGGGAATGAATTTGAATAAGGGAATGTACCCCTTAGGGTACATGGCTAGCTAGGTTGATTCGAATTCTCTTGTACTCATTTTATATCGTTGTATTTGCATGTTTTAACCATCTCCAGCATTTTACATTCACTCTGTTATTGAGGTCAAGGGCCCACTACTACCAACCTCTCAAGCGAACCTTCCAGAGGTGATCCTAGGGTCGATCCCCTTCTGATCGCAACAGACTCAGGCACAAATAAGTTGCCAAATGCAACAAATATTAAGAAAATAAATATTGGTACATCTGTGCATTTCCCTTAAGGGACCTGAACACTTAAAACAATTATTTTAGGGGAGATATATTGAAAATCCAATAGTGCAACATGGGCAAGGTCTGGTCTGGTGGAGTTAAAATTAACAATTAACAGTTGACACTTGAAAAGCGCCTTACTGATGTAAGTGCATTGCATAATAGCTCCCTGGTGAGCACACCGCCGTACTTGACCGTGGTGAAACACGAAGTTAGTGGACTGAGGAGGAACTGCATTTCGTGCCGCGATTACTTCGGAAAGCGTGGCTGGGGGATACTGTTCGTGGGGTGCTGCTGGAGTCGCTAAAACCGCGGCACATCCCACCTGCCTGTTACTTTGTCGTGTTTTACCGTAATCACCGTAGCCCAGCCCATAGTACAGACTGTCAAAAGTGCATTTGTCTTCAAACTCGAATCACAGAGCTTCGCGCATCCATGTCACCCGCGTAATATACGGACTAATTGTGCCGCCAATGTCGCTTTACCGTAGCCAAGAATCTTATGCTGAGGATGTGCTTGTGTGACGACGAGGCAAAAATGTTCCCGCGCGAAATCTCCAAATCTTCCACATTGCGGTTCGGACGCATTCAGGTGACCTGACGACCACCAGACCCCACCACACCACACCCCTCCCAGATTCAATGTCTTTCAGCTGGCCCCTCCATTCCACATCAATTTTGCAGTTTCTCCTTGCCCATGAACTTCTGTGTATGTGCACTGTACTTCCTCCAACCATGGCTCGTTGACCTCGAAATGCGGTTCGAGACGGGAGCACAGCACACGATGGTCCATGAGTGGCAGCGATTGTCGCCGCCCACTAAGCTGGCACCACTTCGAACGGTGGAGCGCCTCTCACGACGAGGAGATAGTGCCGTGATCACGATGAAGCAGTGGGTGTGATCGCGTCGCGCAGAAAGAAAGTCAACTCGATGGATAATTGTCCAATTTCCGCACCTCTCTCTGCGGCATTGTAGGCGCTCTCTTGTTTGATGACCAGACCAGACCTAAATTCCGCTTAGTGCGCCTCCCGTCTAGCATTTGTTCTAATGAGAGCTAGCTCGTTCGATCACAATTCCTTATTCCATTCTCAGGAGCAAGTTCTCTAGGTGATTATTTGCATGCAGCCAGAGCCTGTACGGCAACATTAGCATAAACTTCAGCACTGCTCCAAGTCAGCTTGGTTTAGCAAGAGCTCCACCCATCCCTTCCACGTTGTTCGCCGTTTTCCTAATTTCTAAAATTTTCGCTAAGTCTCGCATCGTCAAGTTAACCAGCAACTTCTCGAAGCAGCTCAGAATGGGCGTCAGCGGTTCGAAAGCGGCTCATTTTCCCAGCTTCAAGCGAGCTCGGAAGCTCCGGGAAAAAGTCTCACACGCCATACGGCGATCAAAATCAGTGGACGGAAAAGTCTCACACGCCATACGGCGATCAAAATCAGTGGACGGTCGCATCGCGAACATCCCCGACTCGGGACGCTTCTCCGTCGAATCGTACCCTCAATCATCTCGCGTATTCCCTCGATCGGAATCGGACATAATTGCGCCGTATCCGCGATCGGATTCGGATAAAATCATGGAGGCCTACAGCAGCTCCGACGGCAGTTCGCCGTGCACGCCGCGGCTGCTGCTGGAATGGCAACACCGGATCGGCGACGACTTTTTTGACGAGGCGCTCGAATTGGAGTTTTACGAGAGCGAGGGGAACGAGTGCGACGCGGGGAAGGAGTGTGACGCGCAGAACACGCGCAACGACTCTGAAAGGACAGGCTTGGAGAAAGGGAATTTAAAAGACGGGAGTTCCGCTGAGCTGACCACCTCGGAGTTGCCGCCGCTACGTTCGGAAGCTGGCGCGGTGAATGACATTGAGGATCGGAGGGTCATCGTGGGTCGTATGCTTGGTTCGGTGCAGCAGGCTCTGGAAGGGCCTGATTCAGGCTTGTACGCCGGTTTGGGGAGGAATTATCCCATTGTTATGCGACTATCCGACTCATGTCCGCTGCCGTCGTACGTGGTCGCCCATTCGTAACCACTCGCATGCGACAGGCGCGTGGAATCGCAGAGACGTCGCAGCCGTCATACGCATGACGACGAAGCTGCCATGTTCAACGCTCCGGGACTTACGATTTTCCAGAAGGTCCCGGTGCTTGTGACTAACAGTGTGCCACTTACACCATTCATTTGCTACGCACGAGCAGGGGCATGTGATACTGACACTTGGTATTTGTCTTGGCATGTTACAGTGCACCCAAGTTCTGTGGGCCATGAGGTTTCGACATTTGCTCGAAAGTAATGCAAGCAATCCTGTTAGCTTCATGCCATGGCCCTGCGAAGCGAACAGAAAAAGTAGGGAACATAGCGGGTTGTGATAGGTGAGGGTTTAGCGTGACATATGTACCTCTGTCCCTCATTAGTGGAGTAAAGCGAAGCTGTGCTACGTGCATTTCCTCAGTGACTTCACAACACTTCGACCCTCATTCAACCTACCGTAACCAGAGAACACGTGTTCCTGTACCGGAGTTGAAATTGACAAACAAGCCCTTGAATCAGTGTTTCCTGATATCAGTTAGCGAAGGTTGTGATAACCGGTTATCTGATATCATTTCTTGATGTTGATGATCACGCTTGCTAAACACCCCAATCAAACACTGCTTCTCCCCAACAGAATTCATTTCCCACGCCCTTAGCCCCCTCCACTCCTCCTCCCCTTTCCCCTTCCACACCCCACCCAGATGGAGTAAGATGTTTTGGTACAAGTACCGTATCACTTCCCGATACCCAACAGTCCTGGCCTTGCTGGTCTCCTCCTGAACTACCTCTATCATAACTACCTCCTGAACCACTCCTTCCCTCAACCCCCGCTCAACCGCACCCTAGTCCTCCACCTCTGCAATAATCTCCTTGATCAGCTGCTGCTTGTAATCCTCAAAGCTTCCCGGAAACTTCTTGGTCGTGCCGTTGTCCACGACCCAGATCTCAGCCCTCTCCTCGTCGTCACACACGCGCGAGATGAGCCGCGAGTCATGAGACACCAGCACCACGCCTCCAGTGAACTCATCCAATGCATCTGCGAGTGCGTCGATACTCTGTTGGGGGTAAGGGGAATAACAAGGGCGGAAGGGAAGATAAAGCTGAGGGAGATGAGCCGCGAGTCATGAGACACCAGCACCACGCCTCCCGTGAATTTGTCTAATGCATCTGCGAGTGCGTCGATACTCTGTCAACAGGAAGGGTGATAGCAAGGACATCCGGGGAAGGTTGAAGGTTGAGTCGTGCGTCACCAGCACCACGCCTCCAGTGAATTCGTCCAGTGCATCTGCCAGCGCATCGATACTCTGTCACAGGAATAATCAGGTAGGGAAGACAAGATTCAGGGGAGATGAGCCGCGAGTCGTGAGACACCAGCACCACGCCTCCGGTGCACTCATCTAATGCATAACAGGGAAGGCACTCGAGCGGTGACTTTTGAGTCGACACAAAAGACTTTTGAGTCGACTCAAAAGACACCAGCACCACGCCTCCGGTGCACTCATCTAATGCATAACAGGGAAGGCACTCGAGCGGTGTACAGTCCAGTGCAACTGCCAGCGCGTCAATTCTCTGCATAACAGGGAAGGCACGGAGAGGGGTGGTACAAATGAGAAATGAGCACAAATCAGACCCCAGGTTTGGTCCACCACCCCAACCACCTAGATCTCAGCCCTCTCCTCATCATCACACACGCGCGAGATGAGCCGCGAGTCGTGAGATACCAGCACCACCCCTCCGGTAAATTCGTCTAATGCGTCTGCCAGCGCGTCAATGCTCTGAAAGAAGACAAGGGATACAAGGGCAGGGGAAGTACAAACAACATGAGCTTCCCGATCTCAGCCCTCTCCTCGTCGTCGCACACGCGCGAGATGAGCCGCGAGTCGTGAGATACCAGCACCACTTCTCCGGTAAATTCGTCTAATGCGTCTGCCAGCGCGTCAATGCTCTGAAAGAAGACAAGGGATACAAGGGCAGGGGAAGTACAAACAACATGAGCTTCCCGATCTCAGCCCTCTCCTCGTCGTCGCACACGCGCGAGATGAGCCGCGAGTCGTGAGATACCAGCACCACCCCTCCGGTAAATTCGTCTAATGCATCTGCCAGCGCGTCAATGCTCTGAAAGAAGACAAGGGATACAAGGGCAGGGGAAGTACAAACAACATGAGCTTCCCGATCTCAGCCCTCTCCTCGTCGTCACACACGCGCGAGATAAGCCGCGAGTCGTGAGATACCAGCACCACACCTCCAGTAAATTCATCTAATGCGTCTGCGAGTGCGTCAATACTCTGTAGAAGGTCCTTTACCCTACTTACCACCTCATAAAATACCTGCATTTGAACTGTACGGGGTGGCATACCACCATACCTGCATGTCCAGGTGGCTTGTTGGTCTATCCAGCAGCAGAATGTGCGGCCGGGCCATGCTGATCGCAGTGAACACCACCCAGACAGGTACCAGAGGGTGTGCTGGTATGAAACATGAGAGTGAGTGGCATACCACTGTACCTCCATGCCACCATACCTGCATGTCAAGGTGATTTGTAGGTTCGTCCAGCAGCAGGATGTGTGGTCAGGGCCTGCAGATAGGTACCCTCCGTGCTAACTCAACACAATGACCTAAATACCTGCACCACTTACCAACACACACACACACACACACCTGCATGTCAAGATGATTTGTAGGTTCGTCCAGCAGAAGAATGTGCGGCCGGGCCATGCTGATCGCAGTAAACACCACCCGAGCCTTCTGCCCTCCGCTCAGCTTCACGATCGGCGTCAGATGATTGTGGCTCGGCAGCCCAAACTTCCCGAGCCTGCTCCGAACCGCCTCCTGCCGGCTCGGGCCCTCCTGGTTTGGGTACAACCGGAGCAAATACTCCACAGGGGTCTCATCAAACGCCAAAAGGTCCACAAAATGCTGTGAATACCGCCCAATCCTTAGCTTCTGACTCTGCCTAGACTCCCCATGAGTCGGCTGCAAATCCCCTGCGAGCAGATTCAGCAACGTCGACTTCCCCGCCCCGTTCGGCCCAACTATCGCAACCCGCGTCCCCATGTCTATTCCCACATCGACCTCCGAAAGCGCGAAATCCGGGCGGTTGGGATACGAGAAGGAGACTTCTTTGAGTTGGAGCAGAGGCGGCGTGAGTTCGGTGGGTTCGGGGAAATGGAATTCAACTGCGTAGTCTCGCCATCTCTTGGGGGCTTCGGTTGGCGTGTCGTCGTCCGCGTCACCTGCTGAGCTGGCGCTCTTCTTGCCGCCCTTCCGAGCCTCCTTCTGCGCGTTGAACTTGGCCCGGTCCTTCACCTGTGATAGTATCGAATGGGGTGGGGTGGGGTGATTGTAACGAGATGGGGCGGAGTAGACTTTAAAGTTTATCCAAACGTCACTCCGAGACTCAGACCACTTTCTGTGTGTTAAGTTAAACTAGGCTCGGTCCTTACCACCTCTCACCTTATCCTGGTTCTGCTTGTTCCCGGACTGCTTCGCTGCTTTGAGTTGCTTCTCATACACCTCGAACTTCTTGTTCTTTTCCCACCCCAACCTTGGTTGGTTACCAGATTTTTTTTTAATCAGGTTACTCTGGTTACCTGGTTACCAGCGCCCAGCTTGTCCTTGTTCTGCTTGTTGCCTGACCGTTTGGCCCCTTTAAGCTGTTTCTCATACACCTCAACCTTCTTGTTGTTCTCCCGCCACAAATCTGGTTGCCAGCAGTACCTGTGCATCTAAATACTGTGGTTACCTGGTTACCAGTTCTCACCTTGTCCTGATTCTGCTTGTTCCCGGACCGCTTGGCTGCCTTGAGCTGCTTCTCATATACCTAAAACTTCTTGTTCTCTATACCCTTGAATTACCTGGTTAAAGACTCCACTCACCTTATCCTGGTTCTGCTTGTTCCCGGACCGCTTGGCCGCCTTGAGCTGCTTCTCGTAGACCTCAAACTTCTTGTTGTTCTCCCGCCGCTTCTGCTCGTACATCTCCTCAAACCCCTCGAAGTTACCCTGCAAGGGAAAACGACAAATAGAGGAAGGGGGGGGGGAATATGAGAGGCTCCCATGATATCTCCCGCCGCTTCTGCTCGTACATCTCCTCAAACCCCTCGAAGTTACCCTGAGGGAGAGGGAGAGCGAAAGGGAAAACGACAAATTGAGGAAGGGGGGGGGGGGGGAGGGAGGAGAGAGGCTCCCATAATATCTCCTGCCGGTTCTGCTCGTACATCTCCTCGAACCCCTCAAAGTTACCCTGAGGGAGAGGGAGAAGGAAAGACAGGCAGACAGAGAAAAGGGGGAAAACCTGAGTGGCATATATACTCTCTCCCGCCGCTTCTGCTCGCACATCTCCTCAAACCCCTCGAAGTTACCCTGCAAGGAAGAAAGAGAGAGGACAAATGGGGAAGAAGCAACAACAGGGAAGGGAACGAAAATGTGAGTCAGATAAACCCTCCCGCCGCTTCTGCTTGTACATCTCCGCAAACCCTTTGAAGTTTCCCTGAAAGGGAAGAAAGAAAGCGGACGCATGGGGAAGAGGCAACAACAGGGAACGGACATGAGATTCAGACGAACACTCCCGCCGCTTCTGCTCGTACAACTCCTCCAGCCAAACTCACTCTTTGTAAAAGAACAGTTTCTCGTCGTGCAGGTGAATAATATCCGTGCAGACCGAGTTCAGACATCCGCGTTTTAAGCCCCTCGATACCACGACACAACACAGAAACAACCAAACTCGTACCTTGTAAAAGAACAGTTTCTCGTCGTGCAGGTGAATAATATCCGTGCAGACCGAGTTAAGAAAGTCCCGATCGTGCGACACGACGATTAGAGTCTTCTTCCACCTCATCAAATACTCCTCCAGCCATAGGACCGCCCTAAGATCCAGGTGATTAGTAGGCTCATCAAGCAGCAGAAGCGTCGGCTGCACGTAAAGCGCGCGCGCGAGCGAAATTCGCATGCGCCACCCCCCGGAAAACGATTTCGTCGATCGCGCCTGCATCTCCTTCGTAAACCCTAACCCCGCGAGGATCTTCGACGCGCGCGCCTCCGCCGCTTCCGCGCCGATCTCGCGCATCTCGTCGTACACGTGCGCGAGCTTCTCGCTTGCGCTCGCCTCGTCTTCCTCCTCTTCCGCCGTCGCGGCTGCTGCGGCGGCGGCGGCAGCTGCTGCGGCTGCTGCTGCTTGCGCACCCTTCTTCCTCCCTTTCCCTTTCCCCTTCCCTGTCGCCCCACTATCCGCCGTTTCTTCCGCCGACTCGCTACTCTCTACCTGCTTTTCCTTTTCCTCCCCTTCCCCTTCCGCATGCGAGAATTTATCCAGAATCGCTCGTAACCGCGCTTCTTCCTCGCGTAACTTCACCAGCTTTTGGTCTGCAGTCACGACAGCTTCTAACGCGGACCTTTCGTCCCCAACCACCTCCTGCTCCACTAAGAGCACGTCAATGCCACGTGGCACCGGTAGCTGCCGCCGCGCAAGCAGCTTCATCACCGTCGATTTACCCTTGCCGTTAGGACCCACCAGCCCGTACCGCCTTCCGTGAACGATAGTTAGCGACGCGTTCCTAAATAGTTCCTTCCCGCGCGCCGAGACCGAAAAGTTCTCCACTTTAATATCGCGCACGTTAGCGTCGGCCGCAGATCCCGCCGCGCCGTCCGCGTCTTCCGAAGCGTCCATATCCGCGACTCGAGATCCGAGAGTGACGGAAAACGCGTTAGCGTCGTCCGCTTTAAGAGCCTCTTTACGCGCCTCCTCCTGAGCTTGCTCAATCATAAGCTCCTTTTCCTTCTTCTTCTTCGCTTGCTTATCCGACATCTGCAAGTTTCCCATCCCCGATACAAGCCCGCGACCTTTCCCCGTTTTGGATCCCCCCATATCGTCGTCCTCAACGTACTCCCCATTATCTGCGCCGTCCATTATTTCTTCCTCCTCGTCATCGGACGGCGGGAGATCGACGCCCGCGAGGTAATCGTTTTGCGGCTTCTTGCTCGGCGGAGCGCGCGATTTCTTCCCTCCGCCGCCGCCGCCGCCGCTGGAAGAAGTGACGGACGGTTTCCGTTCGCCTTTGCCTTTCTCCTCAACGACGATGCTGCTGACGGAAAACTTTTTCCGGTCCGCGGCGGCCGGCTTGCCTGACCCCGCTTTACCGCCTTTGCCGCTCGTTCCGCCGGCGGAATCGCCTTTCTTGGGAGCCATGGCCGGGGAATGCGCTTACACGAGTAATTTAGGAGACGCGTTGGTTACAGAATACGTCGAAAGCGGAGAAAACCGCAGAAGACGCAACTCGAATATGCCGAGTTCGCGACGTTCTCGGGGTACCTTCGAACGGCTAAACGAGCGTAGTCAACTCTCAAACGGGTGACAAAGCTTTCAAATCCCGAGGTTCCTGAAGGCAAGATCTGTTCTAGCCGAAGTTACCAAGTGCCGCAAGCTATAATGTTTCTTGGAACTAGCTTGCAACATACTATTTGAAAGGAGTATTAGAAGAGGTTCAACACGCTACTACTCATTTCAGTGGGATAATGTTTGTTTCAATACGGTGGCAGCTCAACAGGGAACTAGCAAGCATCCCAGGGGGCAAATCCAAAAGTGCGATGGCAGCCGCAAATTGTTTGCCACGCGGCATCTTAATTGAGCTGGCGCAGCGTCATGGGATGCGCACTTCTGGGATGCTCCAGCTCCACCGCTGGAAGATGCGACAACCTTCATAATGTACACTGGAATCACGCTGCATGTATTTTGATCAGTTCAGAACATATCATACATTGATGTTTAGGTTTGGTACAAGAGATCATGCTTGAGCTTTATGGTCTTGAAGATCCTTGAAGGCGTGTGACATTCTGCATATTAATCAACACGGGGGGAAGAGCCATAAAGAATCAAATATGTGATAAATCCATAAAAGACGACTTGCCTCCACGATAAAATGATTGAAGCAGGGCGTACCTCCAAGGGAGGTGGTCGAGGAACATGGAGGGTGAGACGAGAAGATCTCGCAGCGACTCGCGCGGGATGAAGCGTGCGCGGTGGCGTGAGGAGGCAAAGGGGCTGCCTGCCAGCGACCGAAACGACTCCAGTAACCCCGGCTTGGCTGCTGCTGCCTCCAACACTCTCTCCTCCTGTGACCCGCCTTGCACTCCGCCTTGCGCTCCGCCTTGCACTCCGCCTTGCATCCCCCCTTGCACCCCGCCTTGCATCCCTGCCATTCTTGAAATCGAGGCTTTTGCACCCCTTTCAACCCCCTCATCCCTCTCACCCCCCTCACCCTTCTCACCCGTCTCACACCTCTCGCCACCCTTGCCCTTCTCACCCATCTGAACCCCTTCACGCCCCTCATCCTTGCCTCTCGCCCATCCGTTCCCGTTTTGTCGGGCTCCTCCATTTCCATCACCTTCAATAATATCACCTTCGATAACATCAATGCAGATCGCACCCTCATTCCCATTGCCCACATCGATCCTTACAGACGCTGTGTCAGCCTCAGGCGGGCCGGCTGCTGACGTGGCAGCCTTATCCTCCCTCGCCGTCCGCACTGCTGACGGGGCAACCTTATCCTCCCTCGCAACATGAACTGATGACGTGGCAGGTCTAACCTCTTCCCGCACTATATGCACGACCTTTCCCAGCACATACACCTCCCCTGGAAACTCCTGCTCCTGCTCCACCAGCCAAGCCGGCCGGCTCCTGTTATGTGTTACACCCCCTCCAATGCGGTTACCAGCACCGCCGCTCGCACTCCTCCTTGCACCAGCATCACCACCAGCAGCACCGCTCCTACGATTCCCTCGTCCTCCTCCAATCCCACCCCAGTGAAACCCGCTGCTACCACCCCAGCCAATGCCGCTGCTGCCGCTGCCACCCCCGTCAGCATCGGCTGCAGCAGCTGCCATGTCGTTGGCGCTGCTGCTGCGGCGGGGGAGGTGGGAGAGGAGGGAGCGGGACCGTTTCATGCGCCCGTGATGCAAGGGAGGGAGCTTGTTGTGGGGCGATGCTGCTGCAGGGGGATTCTCTGGGCCTGGCCTGTGATTCTGCTGTGACTTTGCTGCACTGCTGTCTTCCCTACAGCTACCCTCCCCAGCTCTGGCAACATCAGAGGCAGCAACAGAGGAAGCAGCAGCAGTGACAGCACGAACAGGAGTGGCAGTATCATAGGCAGATGGGTCACCAGCAGGAGAAGCAGCAGCAGCAGCAGCAGCAGGAGTAGGGAGTCTGGAGAGACTGTTAGAAGCTGAGGCAGCTGGTTCAGCTGATATGGCAACAGATGCTTCCTCGTCGCTCCCTCTGCATCCGCTCCCATCACTCTCCCTCCTCCCACAGGTGTCGCTGCTGCCAGCGCGTGCTGCTGGGAGGGAGGGAGGGGCGACAGTAGCAGGAGGGAGGGGAGGAAGAGCGCGTGAGTGAGTGGTGGTGGCAGGATGAGGAGCAGGAGCAGCAGAAGGAGCAGAAACAGCAGAAGGAGCAGGAGCAGCTGTAGCAGAAGCACCACCATCACCACCCCCACCACCAGCAGCAACAGCAGCAGCACCACCACCACCACCAGCCTCAGCATCAGCATCAGCAGCAGCGGCACCGGAACAAGCAGCAGTGGCATCTTTATTTGCATGTTGATATGAATCAGACTGCTGCATCCCAGGAAGCTCCATCTTGGTGCGGCAGTGCCCGTGCTGGCTGGCAGATACAACGAACCCAGCCACGCCAGACACAAGGCACCACATGCCTTGCATCTCATAAGCCGATTTCACCAACCGCCGCCTGCTGCTGCTGCTGCTGCTGCTGCTGCTGCTGCTGCTGCTGCTGCCCCTGCCGCTACTCCTGCCACTGCTTCTTGTGCTCCTGTTGATGCTGCTGCTGCTGCTGCTAAACCCAGGAACTCTTTCTTGCCTGTCTTCGTCTGTTCCGCTTTCTGCTGCTGGCATTGCGGTGCTTGGTACTGTGGGTGGTGATGTTGCCACAGGTGGCACTGTAGCAAGTGATACTGTAGCAGGCTGCACTGCAGCAAGAGCCAATGCAGGTGTTGTTCCTTCGGCTGCACTCGATGAGTTATTTTGTGGTAACCCTGTCTTCTCAGCTCCAGCTGACTCAGCTAACACCCCTTCATTTTCCTCAACTACCTCTGCTCCTCCTCCTCCTCCTCTTGCTGCTGCTGCTGCTCCCGCTGCTGCTGCTGCTGCTGCTGCTGCTGCTGCTGCTGCTGTTTCTCTTGCCAATCCACCTGAACCTACCGAGCCTCTCATATAGGAAAGGTCCGAGATGGACCTTCCGAGGCTAGGTTGGCCGCTAGGTTTGGGGCCAGGCTTGGAAGCCTCAACATTTGATCCTCCAATAGCGGAGTCCCTTTCACTTTCCACCTCCTGCACTCCTTTTAACTGCTCTCCACCGTTCCTCACACCTCTCTCCTCAACACTTCTCCGCCCCACTCGTTCCCCATCAACCCCCACCCCTCCCCCTTCATCCCTCCCCCTCCCCCCTCTCCTCCCTCCCCACCTGCCCCAGAGATATTTCTTCTTCTGCTGACGTGGCAAGACGTTTTCTCTCAGCCAATCCCGTGCGTCCTTGTCCCCCTTTGCCTGGCAATACTCGATCAGGGAAGCATAATCCTCCCTGGCATATCCCGTCAGCCTAGGGCCGCCAGCAGCAACCACAGCACCAGAAGCGCCAGCAGCCCCAGCAGCAGGAGCGGCAACAGCAGCAGCACCAGCAGCTGCATCAGCAGAACCACCAAAACCAGCAGCAGCACCACCAGCAGCAGCACCACCAGCAGCAGCACCACCAAGGGCACCACCGGGGGCACGTGGACGCTTGGCAGTGGGAATGATACCCAACCCCTTCCACTGCCTTGGGATATGCAACCCATGCCATACAAGCTCCTCCTCTTCCCCCTCCTCCTCTCGCTGTCCCCAGTGCCTGTGGAAGGCAAAGTGGTGGTGGTGGTGGTGGTTGTGGTGGTGGTGGTGGTGGTGCAGGGCCGAGAGGTGTGCAGCGTGGTGCAGTGCGGTTTGCGCAGAATGAGCGGCAGCCGAAGCAGCAGAAGAGGCTGCTGCTGACGCTGCCAATGCAGCAGACGCAGCAGCAGTCCTCGCAAAACTAGCCATCCTTTGCAGTTTTGGCTTCCCATGCTCTCTCTGCTGCTGCTCCCCCTCATCCTGTCCTACTGACCCTCCTCCCTCCACCCCACCCCCCTCCCAGCCCACATCTTTACCTTCATCCCCACGTCCTCTTCCAAACGGGAGAGTGAAGAGCCGCGACAGCAACCGATCAACAGCAGCCACCCTCATTCCGGCTGATCCTGCCTGCGCGCCCGGCCCCACTGCCGCTACAGCCGTGCCTAGGAGGCCTCCTGCGCGCGTGTCGGCTGCTACAGCCCGGAGTGCTGCTGCTCGCAGACGCATGACTGACGCTACAGACGTGCGCGGGGAGAATTCGTCATTATATACGAAGCTGTAGCGGGTTGGGGAAAGGAAAGATTGGGGAAATTGCAGTAAGCAAGGGGAGTGGGATGCTGCAGTGGCGCCTCCGAGGGCCCGGCCCCACTGCCGCTACAGCTGTGCCCAGCAGCCTTTTGAGTCGACTCAAAAGGGCCCAGCCCCACTGCCGCTACAGCCGTGCCTAGGAGCCCCCCTGCACGCGTGTCGGCTGCTACAGCCCGGAGCGCTGCTGCTCGCAGGCGCATGACTGACGCTACAGACGTATGTGGGGAGAACTTGTCGTTATATACGATGCTGTAGGGGGAGGAGGGGGAGGGGGTGAGCAGAGGGGGAGGGGGTGAACAGAGGGGGAGGGGGTGGAGATGGTGGTGGGGGATGGGGTAAATGTAGAGTACGTACGGGGAAGTCCACACAGGGCGTTGAGCAATGCACTGCCTATTTAAGTGAGAACTCGTGACACAGTGAAGCGAAGGCATGCACGTGGTGATGGAGTTGGAGCAGGCAGAGGCAGTGGCGAAGTCCACATAGCAACACAGTGCACAAAGAGAAACAGGCACCCCAATCAGCAACGCACTGGTGACCAGAATTGGTCGCACAGTGAAGCGAAGATACACACGTGGTGATGAAGTTGGCGCAGGCTGAGGCAGTGGCAAAGTCTACACAGGGAGCACAACACTGATTGATAGACTAATTACAGTCAGCAAACCTAAACAGGCATCCGTAGGCAAAGAGAAGCGAAGCACGCACGTGGTGATGAAGTTGGAGCAGGCTGAGGCAGTGGCAAAGTCTACACAAGGCATGGACCCATAGCCTATCGCCCGCAGCTCGGGAAATCGCTTTCTTAACTGCAGGGGTGCAGAGGGGTAGGGATGGAGTCTACGTCTCTGAGGCACCTGAGACGTGGCATGTCCATGTGGACACCTGAAAGGTTCCTAACTGCCATAACTGCCATAATTGCCATAACTGCCATAACTGCCACAACTGCCACAACTGCCATAACTGCCATAACTGCCGTAACTGCCCCCTTTCTTCTCCCTACCCCCCAGCTCACCCGAATGGCAGTGAGGCTGCACACTGCACCGCCCATGGAATGCCCTACGAGCCGCAGGCCATAACCCTCGCACTCGCCCCCTTCCCCTAGCAGCTCCGACAGAATGCCTGCAGGGCAGAGAGAGGGAATGGAAAAAAGCGCAGACAAGGGATAACAACACTGTTGAGATGAGACATCTGCGCCCCTACCCTTCGCACGCATCCCCTGCGCCCCTCTGTACACTAGGTGACTTTTGAGTCGACTCAAGAGTCCCTTCGCACTCATCCCCTCTGTACACTCGCCAGCGTTAGCTTAGAAAACCGGCATGCACCTCTCAATGCACCAACATCAGCACACACCTCTCTCAACCGACCAGTACCACCACTCACCTCTTCTCGGCCGCTTCCTCTCCTCCTTGTGCCCCAGTAGCGACCCCTCCTCTTCATCCCCTCCCCCATCCTCCACGCACCCTGCTTTTCCTCGAGTCCCCTCCCCCTCCTCGTCTCCCCCATCCCCCATATTATCCAGCTGCAGAGCCAGATCGCGTGCTGCTGTCACCACCCCCGCGTGGCCAAAGTATGGCACCAATCTATCCGTCACCAGAGGGGGGTGAAGCTCCGATCTAGGGGAGGGCGGGAGGAGGGGGAGGGGCCAGTGAGAAGAACATGGGGAAGTGGGAAGTAGAACAAGAGCCAAGTCGCGTGCTGCTGTCACCGCCCCCGCGTGGCCAAAGTACGGCACCAGCCTGTCCGACACCAGAGGGGGGTGAAGATCTGCCACTCACCTCAAGATCTGCCACTCACCTCAAGATCTGCCACTCACCTCAAGATCTGCCACTCACCTCAAGATCTGCCACTCACCTCAAGATCTGCCACTCACCTCAAGATCTGCCACTCACCTCAAGATCTGCCACTCACCTCAAGATCTGCCACTCACCTCAAGATCTGCCACTCACCTCAAGATCTGCCACTCACCTCAAGATCTGCCACTCACCTCAAGATCTGCCACTCACCTCAAGATCTGCCACTCACCTCAAGATCTGCCACTCACCTCAAGATCTGCCACTCACCTCAAGATCTGCCACCCACCTCAAGATCTGCCACTCACCTCAAGATCTGCCACCCACCTCAAGATCTGCCACTCACCTCAAGATCTGCCACCCACCTCAAGATCTGCCACCCACCTCAAGATCTGCCACTCACCTCAAGATCTCCCACTCACCTCAAGATCTGCCACTCACCTCAAGATCTGCCACCCACCTCAAGATCTGCCACCCACCTCAAGATCTGCCACCCACCTCAGGAGCTGCCACCCACCTCAAGACACCTGTCACGCACGCACCTGTCGATCCCGCCCATATCCGCATCACTGAGCGAGCATTCTCTCCCCAGCCCGTCGATGATCATATCCCCCAGGGACTCCGTGTCCCTCACTGCCATCATGTCTTGCTTCACTGTGTCCCAGCTCACCTGTCAATCCCTCCCATGTCAGCATCTGAGAGCGGGCATTCCCGCCCCAGCCCGTCGATGATCATATCCTCTAGGGACTCCGTGCCCCTCACTGCCACCACCACCAGGCGCAACTGATGCAGCACCACCACAAAGTACACCGCCTGCCCTGCTGCCTCCTGTTTGTGGGAGGGTATTGTCCAAGGCGGAAACAGATAGGAGAGAGACTTGAACACGTTTGTGAAGGAACCACCACCAGGCGCAGCTGATGCAGCACCACCACAAAATACACTGCCTGCCCTGCTGCCTCCTGTGGATGTTGGACGGGGGCAGGGGAAAGGGGAGTGAGCATTCTGCTAAGAGAGAGCATGAGGAGAGGAGGCAGTTGAGAATGTTTTGAAAAGGCTTTGCCAATCTCTCGGAAGAAGAGTTACTTAAAGCGACGGTGCACATTTGCCACCCGAACCCCTAAACCCTGGCGACCAGTTACTGCGGAGGAAAATTCCCCGCACGAATTCCAGATTTTCGCCAGCCAACACCTTCGCGCTGGCAAGCCTGGTTCAGAACAAAAACTTCTGAACCTCCGCTTGTCAAATCTAGATTCTCGTTTTAAGCAAGGCAGTCGCGTGGCCCACCTTCCCCACCTCCAGTTTTCTTCACACGCTCCAGAAGACACCTGCGTCAGCGCACACCTGTACCGTACCGAACCCACCTACACACATTTATACCAAAATACACCTGTCCCAGACCTCATCTGCCTGTCACGCGTCTTCCGGAGAGCTGAGGGCGGCAAGTGGAGGTACTTGAGAAAGGCAGATGCATGCCCCCCCCTCCCCCCCCCTACACCGTCACCAGCTCATCACTCACCTGTCTGATGCGCGTCTTCCGGAGAGCAGAGGGCGGCAGCTGGAGGTACTTGAGGAAGGCAGATGCATGGCCCCTCCACCACCCTTGCTACCACACCAGCTCACACCTGTGTGAGCACCTACATCCCAGCACCTGAACCCACTTGCAAACATGCAACAGCAGCAGCACTCACCTGCCTGACGCGCGCCTTCCGGAGAGCGGAGGGCGGCAAGTGGAGATACTTGAGGAAGGCAGATGCATGGCCCCTCCACCAGTTGTCACCTTGCAGCGCGGGGTACCTGGGAGTGGGGCAAGAAAGTGGGCAGGGGAGTGGGGGAATGAGTGGGAGCAAAGGAATGACGTGAGAAAAACAGAGGGCAGCACGGGAAGCAGTGGCTGAGGAAATGGGGAAGGCGGATGCATGGCCCCTCCACCAGTTGTCACCTTGCAGCGCGGGGAACCTGGGAGTGGGGGAAGGGAGTGGACAGGGGAGTGGGCAAGAGAGAGGGAGTGCGATTCGAGAGGGTGGAAGTGGAATGGTAGTTAAGAGGTAGGAGAAGCAGCAGCTCTGCAGCTGTGCCGTATCTGCGCTGCTGCAGGCATGGACCAAACCTGTGCTGCTGTCATGGAAAAAATACCCTGTTCCTACCACACCCAAGCACGTGAAAAGGTGCACACATGAACAGCCGCAGCGTGTACCATACCTGCAGTGCCGGCGTGGACCGTACCTGAGAGTCTAGTCATACTGCAAGGGGGGACTGCTGCCATGGAAAGAACATCCCGTGTCTGCACACGGTTGAGCAAACATGGGCTATACCGTACCTGTAGGTTCGACCGTGCCGTACCTGGACTGCTGCCATGGAAAGAACATTCCTTGCCTCCACACCCACGTGCATGCAAAGGTGAAAGGATACCGCCCAATGTCCAACAACGGACCCTGTGCAGAGGAGGAGTGAGAGTGGAGGGGAGGTGGACAGATAAATTGATAAAATCAGCCGAAAAAGGATGAGAGGGAAGCCTACACACGATTGGGAACTGCATGCAGCCAACCAACCAATTGAAACCTCTATGTGCAACCAACCAGCCAACCAACCAACCAACCAATTGAAACCTCTATGTGCAACCAACCAACCAGCCAACCAATTGAAACCTCTATGTGCAACCAACCAAGCACCCACCCACTGTGTACGCAGCAATGGCAAGGGGCAGCAGAGCCGCTGCTTCTTCAATGAGGGTTATCGGCACAGAGGCAGGGGGGGAGGGGAACGGACCCCCCTCTGCCAGCCTCTGACTGCTGCTGCCCTCGCTGCTAACCCTGCCAACCCCACGCCTGCTGACAGCATTGCTGCTGTCAGCAATAGCCCTCACGCTGCTGCCTGCAGTGCTGGCAGCAGAGCCACAGACAACTTACCGTGTAGGCGGCTATTGCAAGCGGCAGCAGAGCCGCTGCTTCTTCAATGAGGGTTATCGGCACAGAGGCAGGGGGGGAGGGGAACGGACCCCCCTCTGCCAGCCTCTGACTGCTGCTGCCCTCACTGCTAACCCTGCTAACCCCACGCCTGCTGTCTGCATTGCTGCTGGGGGCAGTGTTGCTGGTGGTGGTGGCATTAGAGTTGAGTGAGTCAAAGACAGAGGGTGCAGTGGTAGACGAGAGGGGGGTAGCTGTGGTGGTGGATGGTAGTGCGTTCAGATGGGTGGGTTGGGAAGAGGAGGGGGAGGAGGAGGTGGGGGTGTCGACAGCTGGCGGCGGCCGATTGGCTTGGAGAAGAGCAAGGCCTGCAGGCACAGAACAGAAGACAGAGCGGTTGGTATGGGTTTGACTGTTCACCCTGCAGCCAGGCTAGGTTTGAGGTGAGGAGGTTATAGGGGGTTCATGACAAGTGGCAGTGGGAGATTGGCTTGGAGGAGGCTGGTAGTATGCCATCCCATGGCATGGCATGGCATGGCACGGCATGGCATGATATTGCATGGTGAAACCATCGCCATTACCTGCGAGCAGCTCCAGGTGACTGGCCCCCACCACCCTGTACGCCATCACATCCCCCAGCAGCAATGCCGCTATGCCTAGCACCTACCACGCCAACACTGCATGCGATTCACCCTCCCATCACTGCCATTCACCATCAATAGTAACCTCACCCACCTGCAAGCAGTTCTAGATGACTGGCCCCCCCCAGGGCCCTGTCAGCCATCACATCGCCCAGCAGCAGCGACGGACGGCTCTCTCTGACAAGCACCTGGCATCAGTCACTCACTTCACCATCACCCCACCTGTCCTCACCCCACCTGCGAGTAGCTCCAGGTGACTGGCCCCCACGGCCCTGTACGCCATCACATCGCCCAGCAGCGATGCCACTATGTCCACCTCGTCATCTACCTCGTCCCTGGGGACGAGAGAGAGGGGAAGGGAGAGCAGAGGGGGAGAGATGATAAAGTGGCAGCAGAACTCTTGATGGCCATCGCATCCCCCAGCAGCGATGCCACTATGTCCATCTCGTCGTCTACCTTGTCCCTGGGGCAAGAGGCAGAAAGAAGGGGGTTGGGCTGAGGCATTTTCAATCACCATCCATCACCATCCCCCAGCAGCAATACCATCCATCGCCCCATGCAGCACAGGATCTCCCAAATGCTCCAGTACACTACAGCAGATAATACTGATGTAACACTTCTCTAAATATGCAGTGAGTATTCACGTACGTACCAAGGTCTAGCGCGCCCCATGCAGCAGAGGATTTCTCGGATGCTCCAGTTGAACATCTCTCTGTAGTGTGCTCGCCATGCGCGGTCCCGCATGGCGTAGAACGACCGCCACATCAGCACGTCGCTGCCAGCTAAGCACTGCCCACCGACGGCAATCCAGCTGGCAACGAGGACGAGGAGAGCCAGTGGGAGGAGGTAGGTCGAGGGGCCTTGATAGCCCACTGGCATGGCATGTGGTAGATAAGGGGGATCATGAATGGAGGGGGAGGAAAAGGGAGAAAGTGGGGGGAGGGAAACGTGGTAAGGAGGACGAAGAGGGCCAGTGGTAGGAGGTAGGTCCAGGGGCCTTGGTAACCCACTGGGATGGTGGAAACACAGGGAGAGGATTGAAGGGGGAGAAAAAAGGGGAGGAGGGGAGAGTGAGTGGAGGACGTGGATGGTGGTAGTAAAAACAAAGAGAGCCAGTTGGAGGAGGTAGGTCCAGGGGCCTTGATAACCCACTGGCATGGCATGAGATGGATAAGGGGGGATCATGGGGGGACAAAGGGGGAGGTGAAATGGGGAAGAGGGTGGAGAGTGGTCGGAGGGAAATGGTTGGTGGCATGAGGAGAAGCAGTGGCAGGAGAGGTAGGTCCAGGGGCTTTGGTAACCCACTAGACTGGGATGAGGAAAACAAGGGGGTTTCAACGGGGGACAGTGAGGAGGAAGGATGGGGGGAGGAAAGCGTGGTGAGGAGGATGGGGATTGGCAGTGGGAGGCGGTAGGTAGGCCCAGCTGGCAGTGGCAATCCCACTGGGCAGTGGCAATATCGTCCCCGCGTTTTCCTCCCCCCACTGGCATGTGGTACACAAGAGGCGTTGGATTGCAAAAGCCCGACTTGGACGAGAAGAAAAAAGTCAGGATACAGGAGTCAGGAGGGAGGAGACGTACGCTTCAAAGGGCATGAGGGCAGTTCGGGGTCCAGCATCGATCGGACGTAAAAAAAGTCGCATGAGTCAATACCGACAGGAGACAGGGTTCAGGTGGCAGGAGAGAAGAGACGTACGTTTCAAGGGGCATGAGGGTAGTTGCGAGTCCAGCATTGATTGGACGATGGCGACAGTGAGGAAGAGAGCTGCGCCTGTTTGTAACAGGGTTACCACATGGCCCACCCTGCTCCACCGCACCCACGCACGGTAGCGGCGCTGATGACAGACATGAAGGGGAGGGGGAACAACAGATCAAGCAGTCAAGGGGGACAGACGTTTGTAACAAGGTTACCACACGAGTCACCCTTCTCCTCCTCACCCACGCATGGTAGTGACACTGACACACAAACGAGCATGGTAGAGACACAGGTAAGGTGGGTGGTTGTAGGAGGGAGCGAGGGGAGGGGAGAGAGGAGGTCCTATGAGCATGTGTCTCTCTCAGAGGCAACTCAAGCGTGGATTCATAAGCACCTGTCGCTCGGAATTGTTCGCGCCGCCAGACAGTGAGGTGGAGGACAGCCTGATCGCGTGCCTCCCTTGCAGCTCGTCTCCACCATCCGAGTCAACATTCACTCCCCCTGCCATTCATTCCCAAGTCACCCCCCTTTCATCCCATACATCTCATAAGCACCTGTCGTTCGGACTTGTTGGCGCCGCCAGACAGTGAGGTGGACAGCCGAATTGCTTGCAGATCGTCTCCCGCCCATCCGAGTCCGCGTCACTCCATGGATCCCCCACGCTACCCCCCCTTTCACCCCATGCATCCCACAAGCACCTGTCGCTCAGACTTGTTCGCGCCGCCAGACAGTGAGGTGGACAGCCTGATTGCCTGCAGCTCGTCTCCATCCGAGTCCGCGTCACTCCCCCAGCCATTGATTCTCGGGTCACCTCCACTCCCCCCTGCTTGATTACTTTCTCTTCCTCCTGTTCCTCCTTCTCTTCCCCCTCCTTCGCCTCCTTCTCTTCCTCCCTCTTCTCTTCCTCCTTCTCTTCCTGCTCTCCCTGATACTCCTCGTCGCCTGCTTTTTTCTCGTGCAGCAGCGACTCGGCTGCTCCCCCCTCTCCCAGGAACGTCATCCTCCTTACAAGCTGATTTCTCGCTATCGTTAAAAGATGACAAGTCCTGCGCCGAACCGGCTACGGTTATCGCGTCAGCGGCTGCAGCTTGAGCCGCTGCTGCGCCTATGGCCCAAAACACGCGCAGGAGGCAGGTGAATGCGACTGTAATGAAGGCGATTGTAACGGTGCTGGAGCATTCATTCTTCTTGCACTGTACACCTGTGGCGAAAGAAGTTCCAGCAACGAGCAGAATGAACGGCAGAAGGATCAGCGAAATCGTGCGAAATCGACGAACCCCGCTACAGCAACCGAAGCCTTTTCGCCAAGCCCCCATTTCTTCCGCATGAGAAGAAGCCGAGCCGCGACTTGATTTAGCTCACAAGGAACACACAATCAGGAGAATTTGGAAGTCATTGACGGTCTTAAATACCGTCTGATTTTTTCTGAATGCGAGCATCTACAGAATCCTCGGACCTTCTTGGATGTCTGAACCCTGCTTTGTCGGTCTCCTCAACCTTCTTAGGGTGCATTCTTGGCTCGTGTCTGACATGAGGTCAGACACGAAGTGAAGTTGAGGATGACCTGAAGTGACCTCGGACTCTGGCAAATCAATGTTCGGAAGACCCGAAGTGGGCCACTTCGGGTCTTCCGAACCTCCATCCAAACCTCCACTTCGTGTCTGACACGAGGTAGGAATTCGCCCTTAGGTGTCTGAGGGTGCGTTTCTGGCCCGTGTCAAGCTTCGGGCCTTCCCGGGAAGGCCCGAAGCTTTGGGTCAGACTTCCTATCAAACTTCATGTCTTCCGGAAACAGGGGCAATTTTTGGCCGGAAGACCCGAAGTTGGTCTCGGATGGCCCAAAGTGGGTCCAACTTCCGGTCATCCGCGGATGACCGGAAGCTTGACACCAGCCAGGAACGTACCCTGACATTATTTTAAAGCCCAGTACAGCTGATGCTCACCCCATGCACGCGAATTTGCCTTGCGCCGGATGGATACGCTGCACCCGAGGTTGTTTCCCCAGCTTCATGCACCTACATTACAAGCGCGTCGCGTGGTTATCAACCAGTAGTAACGAACAGACCGACGTCAAACTAGGTACAGACCGAAGTCAAGCAGAGGAGACTGAAGTCAAACTAGGTTACAGATCTTGTTTATAAGCACATGCGAATCATTTTTAGCTAGCTGCGAATTGCCGAAACTTATGCGAAATGCTCGTGACAGCTTATACGCCCCCTTCGTAAGGCAACCGGGAGGGGCTCAAACAGGCATCAGGTGTACCGTCAACCTGGTGGGAGCCCCTTTAGAAGCTGGGACTCAAAGCAAGCAATGCGAACGAACGAAATGAAGCTGCTTGCCAAATTGCCACATCCAAATCGATCTTTCCTGCATGGACGACCTGGTGAACCGTGTTTTTGAAGCTTCTTGTGAATACAAGTGGGCCAGAAAAGAAACACGGGCAGATACACGGGCCTGTTTGTGAAGGGTTCATTCGTAATTCTGATGCAGAGCCGAACGGAGACACCCTCGAGATTGCACTCTCAGAAGGGTTGGATGTGGCTTGGTGCAATACAGAAGCTTCCAGAGCGGTTGAGAGTCAGGCCTTCCTGGTCGTCGAGTTTGTTGTCGCTTGCAACTCCAGCCCAAAGATGCATTTGTTCACATTCGGTCTTGTCTTGGTGCGTGTAGGTTCGGGAGTTGCAGCCGCTGCATTCGAGATTCGGGATGATATACCTCAGCGGACGAAAAATGCCGCCCAGATTCGCGGTTCAAAAGAGACAAGGCCCCCCCTCGGGATTGACGACCTCCCGACGACCTCCGAGCTCCCAGACGGGCCCAAATGGCGTCCCAGGGGCCTCGGGAGCCCTCGGGATTGTCGACAATCCGACGACACCCGTTTGCGCTGGGAGATTCCTGAGAAGGAAATCTCAGCGGACAAAATTCGCCACGTCGAGCCGCGGATGCCTCCACGCGGACCAATAGGGAGGTGCGAGACCCGCCCCACCGATTACAAGGCTGCCACGACGTGGGCGTCGTGGCCACGCGTCGCTCTAGCGGTGCAAACCCACGCGGCGCAAATCGGACCGTCCACATCTTCACTGTCTTGTGGCATCGCGGGTTGCCAGGGAAGTCGGTGTCGACCAGATCATCCCAAGGCACACAAACCCGGCCACACGGCACGTTCTCTGCCAAGCGCGCCGAGTGGAAGTCGGCGCCGATCATAGGCCCCCCACGGCATGGTTGCCACGCCGTGCTTGAGTCATTTCGGGCCTCCGGGAGATCCATGTCTGCTTGCCTTAATTTCTGCACTGGGGCGCCAATGGCGGTCGCAAGCCACGTAACGCACGCCCATTCCGACGTGGAATGGCACTGGCTTACGCCCCTTCCGTGCAGCGCGGCGCCCAGCTAGCCATGCCTGGCACGTGCCACGTCGGACAGTGCGCCGCCTTTACGAGAACACATGCACGGCGGCGGATGCATTGGGGTGTGCGTGACGCGCGGCAGCATCGTAGTCGCTCAGGACCATACCCGTCCGTTGCCCCGCGAGCCTGCTCATTCGCTTGTCCGTTCCTGCGTTCCTTCCTGCTCTCTCGTTCCCTTAGAATTTTCAGCTGCCAGTCTGTCATCGCGCCTGTAGGTTGCTCGACAGCCGATTGTTCGTCCAAGTCGGCACAGGTTCCACGTCGCGAGTCGACGTAGCAAGTCGGCGACGCATGGCCAGAGGTCGCCCGAGGGCCCAACAGCCGCAACCCATCCCACCCCCCGCCGACTCGGTAGACGCCGACATCAAGGCGCAGCTGGAACAGCTTGAACTCGAAGCCGAGTTAGACGCGCTTGAGCGAGAATTCGAAGAAGACGAAGACCGCCTGACGCTTCGCGCGTTCGCCGCACCCGTCACACAGTACCGTCTCTGGTTTACCACCCCCCGCGATCTCGAGGTCGACGCCGAGATAGACGTTATTGAGGGACATCTCGAGGACGACCGCCGCGCAACTGTTCGGGCGTACACCGCACCCGTGACTCAGTACCGGCAGTGGTTTAACAACCTCCCCAACGCACACGGACGACGGTAGAGCAGCAGACGTGTACCGACATGGCCGACGTCGACATGTCCGACGCTAGGCCATCCACCGACCAGGGTCCGACGACCACCGACCGCAGTCCGACATCCACCGACCACAGTCCGACACCTACCGACGAAGACAACCTGCAGTTACTCTACGATCTGGACAAGCTGACGCAGATCCCAGAAGGGGTGTTCACCACGGACGTTCCGCCACCGCCGATAGGGAAGTTCAACAAGAAGAAAAAACAGACTCCTACGCAAAATGGTCGGCCAGGTACCTCGTCGGCACCGGCCGCCCCTGGAAACCAGGTCGATGACGAGGACGCGGAGGAGGAGGGGGGGGAGGAGGAGGAGGAGGAGGAGGAGGAGGAAAGCGATGACGAAAACGACGACCGTCCACCTCGTAGCTCTAATCCGCGCACCTTGGACGAACGACTCAGGCGGGAACTGCAATTCATCGACATACTGCTCGACCAGGACGAGGACGAGGACCAGGAGAACTTGGCGGTGCCGCGCGAACAGTGGAGAGCGGCAGACTTCGTCGAGGAGGACATGGTTTACGCGTGCGTAGACGTGCTCGTCATGGACGCTCTTCGCCACCTGCAAACCGTGGAGAGGAACAGCACGCTGAGGCAGTACACCTCGTGGATCTATCACTACAAGAGGTGGGCGGCGAAGATGTTGAAGCAAATTCGCAACAAGCTTCCGCAGGAGTACAGGCTTAAGCACGTCGACGAGATAGGGCACTACATCCGGGAGAACAAGAAGAAAAACTGGGACCAAGAGGCCGATGTCCCCCGGTCTCACGTGTGGCTGCACGGCCCTAGGGTCACCAAGGACCGGCTTCGCGCATACGTGAAGTACATGATTCGGGAGTTGAACCTCGATGCCGAGTCCGGCAAGGGGGCCGACAACGCCACAGGAACACAGCCGGTGCAGTCGACAACGGTACACACGCTCCTCGGGCGCATAAAGGCATGCCAGATGGCGGCGAGAGTGGAGGCGACGCTCTTCCGGGAGACGGAACTGAGCATCATGAGGGAGATATCGGTGGTCAGGTCGGAGGTGCGGTACATGATCCGCACCAAGAACGAGCGGGACATCAAGTGAGTTTATGTTTTAACCTACGTCGACCACTCTCCTGCTGTCATGATCTTTGTCGACGCCGCCCTAAATACCCCTTGCCCATGGCATTGTTGGCAGGAACTGCGCCGATCGCCGTCGCGGAACCATCGGCGATACCTACACCGCCGAACAGTTCCGCCAGATCATGTTCAGGGTGCTGCCGGCGTGGGCGGCCAAGGCGTGGAACCCGCGGGGTACGGGTCCTTCGCAGACGCTGTGGAGGTTTCTTCTCTTGAAGGTGCTCACGCTACTCTCCCACCACTCTCTCCTGCGCGGTGCAAGCATCCGCGAGATCACTCTCCCCGACATCTTCTTGTACCGACTGGCGAGCACCT